AGTGCGCGACGCTAGAATAGGGAAATCGACATGCTGCGTACCTGGAATCCCGCTACGGTATAGCACATGTGCTGCCAAAATGAACTGGATGCACTAGTTGAGAGACTGTCAGGCCATCCATATAGCTGGCAGCTGCAGCATGCGGACATCTGGACGTAGAAGGCCCCAGATCTAATCTAAATGGGACAACTTGCACTATCTGCACCGGGATGTTCACACCATCAGCAGGTCGCAAGAGCTAGGAAGCGCGCAGCGACGTGCCTGCTTGCGCTCGTATTGTTGGATGGTTGGTGGACCTCCCGCTGGTGTCGATATTATGACCATCCCTCCAACCGATAAGTTTTGACAGCTCCCCTTTGAACCTAATTGCATCCTTCTTATAAGCTGTCAAGTGCACCCCTTTGTGGTTGACCATGTTGGTCACGTTCCCGGCAGAAGCTGCAGCAGACTGCAGGATGCTGTAGCCGCAGGTTCTCCTTTGCAGGCAAAGTCTTTCTGAAGGCATTTCAAGGCAGCCAGACACAATGCCAGCTCGCATTCGCAAACCAGACAATAATTACCAAAGGTTCTTCCTTGCTCACAATGCTCCCGTTCCAAGAGAAATCTCGCATTCATTCATTCATTGACCGATGGCTGCGAACCATCCGAAGATACCCGAGGCTTGAGGCTTGAGGCTCGAACGCAGCACTGTAGGCAGCCGTTTTACTTGAACGCGTGCCAGCCATGAACTCTGGAAGACTGAACGCTGGTACAAGCGAAGTCGAGTTCGTAAAGCCTATAGACAATACGGCCGAAACCGCAAACTGAAGTAATTATGCACCAAAGAGTCCCGGGTCCTGGCATGAAATGCTCTGTCTAGGAGGCCGCTCCTTCCTGAACAGAGACAGAGGCTTGGAATGGGGAATGGCGTCACTCCAACGAATCTGCCCCATGCGCTACTACGAGGTCCCAAGTACTGGCATTTCTGATGCTTTACAAAGAATGCATACAACTAGAACACATACAGTATTGAAGAACATACATATACATATACATATACATATGACATATGACATATGACATATGACATATGACATATGACATATGACAGCAATTACAGGAACCCTTCTGCATCCAGGACAGCACTGGGGGCCAGTCGTAGGACCCCTGGAGCCCCTAAGCTGTAGGGGCCTCCCCATCAACGCCCTCTAAGTGCCGCCAAGGTGCCGGTGAAACCAGGGACATTAAGATGGCCTCCTGGATGGCTGCCTCGTCTGGGTCACCCATCCCCTCGTCGCCTCGGAGCCATGGGCGCTTGGGAAGCACGGGGCTCCAAGGATTGGGGCAGAATGACACGATAGGATTGGTTGAATGTGTGCATGCATAACTTACACCGCTGCTCGATGGTAAGAACAGCTAGCAGAGCGCACATGTCTGTGTCCAGGATTCGGCTGGACCAGCTCTAGTGCACTTCAGGAGGTTTTGGCAAAAAGACAGATGGGCTATGAGCAACTGAAAAACCGGACCTGGGCGTCCTATCATGAACTGCCCGCCTTGGGGCCTTGGGGATAACTGTTCTAAAGTCAACGTTACCCTACAAGTACCTTCTCCGAACGCCTGTGGCAAGCCCGATGCCTCAACATCCTCAGCTCACACCGTCCCCTCAACACTCAAGCCTTGCATGCTCCCAGAGGCTGAGAGCAGCCTCTGACCTTGGGGGCCTGGCCGAACCCCGGTCGGTCCACATCCGGGATGTCGTCGTCCTCCTTTCCAAGAGATTTCGACGTGCACTCGAACAGACTCTTTCACGTCGGCAGGCAATGCATCTAAAAAATCCAATTCCAGCGGGTAAATCGCCGTCTTCGACGAACCTAACTGTACCGGAACCAGAAAGGACACCCGTTCGAACCCAGGCTGGACTGTGACTTGCTGGGAAAGGGGCAAAGGACACCCTGGACCCTGAACGCAAGATACTATGAAAGCACAGTCTTTGAAGATGTTGTGTGGTTTCTTCGGTTCCCGCCTGGCGCGCAGGCATCCCATTTGGCTCAAGGGGAACCCGGACCGGTGGTAGCTCTCCTGGGAGGCCTGCAAGAGGGTCTCCGCACTTTCAGATGCAATTTTATCACGGCAAGGAAAGAAGGTTACGACAGTAGGGCCAGTAGGGTTAGGGCTGGAAGTGCCTGTGCAGCCTTGCACGGGGCTGCGCCAGAACTAGTGATGGGTCCCTGACAGGACAAAGGGGACGGAACTGACTCGAGATGCTACGCCTATGCTCTGACGAAACATGCCACGCATGTTTCGAGGAAAAACATGGAAAAAACCAAACAGCAGGCGGTTTATCCCTCTCTCTCTCGAGAAGACCATAAACCTCAAGTCGCTCAACATCGTTTGCCCCGGCTGCTCACGGCCTGCGGGTAAGCACAGCCGTTCCTGAACAGGACACAGTTATCAGGTTCATCAGGTTCGTCGTCCAAACGTCCACATCTGCTGCTGACGACTCCCAAAATCCCACCAATTAGGCCGCCACACCCAGACCATTCAACATTGCACACTCGCGAACGTGACATTATTTACTAATTAAGAACGCCAAATGCTGTCTCACTCCCCATTCTGACCACAACCATGGAAAGCAAGGAAGGATCTCTCCAGGATCAAAAGCAACGCAGATACTGGCTTTTGATGGCAACGGATGCCCTTCACAGGAGGCATGCGTGACCCACCAAAAAGCTCCAGTTGTCATGGCTCATTGGCGCACGAGTATTCATACGTACACCTGACATGCCAAGCTCTCTGCATGTCGCCTGCATTCTCCTGTGCATTTAGACACATGTGTCGTTGCAGCTTCGTTCTGATACATTCCATGAGGGAAGGGGCTGGTCTTGGGGCTTCTTGCCGTCGAGCTGCAAAAAAGAAAATGGAAACACTGTCCGACAGGTACTGTGGCCTGAACAGGTGCATGCCGCATCCAGCTGCATGACTCCACGCACAGACCCGTACCTCAAGACCACTTCAAAAAGCACCTGCCACCCTCTACACACGTCTACATACACATACATACCTACGTACACATGCATACACGCACAAGTACATGTAGCACTGTGTATGTGAAAATATGAATATAACTAACTCAGACAGAAAAAGGAAAACAACATGCAAACATGCACATGCAATCACATATATTATGTGTGTCGATATCGTTGCATGCATGCATGAAGGTGTGCGTTTATGCATGAACATGTATGAAGCTGAAAAACTTTACGGCATCCTGAAGCCCTTTGACAGGCCTCCCTACCGCAAGCTTCACATCCCATGTTGGGCATCGGGCGGGCTTAATGGAGAAGGAAGTTGCATTGCCCGAAGCGAAGCATGGGAATGACTCATACGATGTGACATAGCCACGCTTATCTGGCCTGGAAGCTACGCCGCCTTGGAGCACAATCCGTTACATGTACAAAAGAACACTCACAACAACAAAGAGTGGAGAAAGGAGGGAGGGAGAGGAAGAGGGAGGGAGGGAGAGAGAGAGAGAGGGAACGAGAGAGAGAGAGAGAGCGCGAGAGAGCGAGGGGGGGAGAGTCAAAGAGCGAAATAGGAGAGAGCGTTGGAGACGAAGAGCGGGGGAGTGGGAGGAGAGAAAGGTAACACTTCCAACTCTCGACTCTGGCCTGGCAGAGTTGTGGTCTCCCTCGATCATGACCTGTCCGACAGGAGAAATCTATTGGGACTGAGGCTTATGTATTCTGCAACGTGCAAGTCCTGTCCACAGCAAATGGTAAACCAGATTTGGAGGTGCGAACGCCTTCCAGAGTAGGCACTAGGCTTTACAACTGCTGCACTAACTTTGCCGTTACACTCACTTTCCCAAGGTGGCCGGCTGTCTATCAAAGCATCTGCCAACCCCTTCCGCGCCATGTTCTTGTCGCCAGCATAGCGCTCGTGGATGTCGTGGGTGTGGTGTGGGCGGATGAGGTCGTCATCAACCTGACTGGATCGGAGCAGGTATACCAGCTGGTATTTAGATTTCAGCTTTGTCCCTGCGCGATTGAGCTATTGAAGCAAGAGTCAGACAACATAACCACCGTAGCAGCTGACTAGTCAGAGGCAGATCCCCAGCACAGAAGAAATGGGTTTTGCAGTTGAGGAGCGCCCGCAACGAAGAGCGCTGGAATGAAACAGGTGTGGACATTCCTGGGGTCAAGAAACTACTGGAAAGACCGGCGGCCAAAAATGAATATGCAAACAAACAAGTTTGCCACTTTACCAGAACTGTCTACGTCATCCACCAGCGCCCAAACCTCAAGGACTGGAAGGCTCAAGTGCGCCAGGGATTCTCAATGGGCTTCAGCCTGAGGATGTCCATCCCGGTTCCTGAGATTTTAAAGGTCTCGATTTATAGACGCATGGGGTCGAGCGATGTGGCAGGTCTCAGCACTAAAAGCCCTGCACCCTGAAGAGAGCTGGAACAAAACATTGCTGCGCCCCGCACCTAGTGACACAAGATGCAGGAATGAGGAGCTGAACTTGTGGCTACGGAGTTGCTCCATACATGGCAAGATATTCGGTTCAGGGCGGCGGCATCCTATTGTTGCTGGCACTTGCATCTGATCACTAAGGCGCATGTCGCGAGATGTAAACATGCATGCGTTTTGTCTTAGGCCATGAGCATTGGAGAGGTTGATACATACGCCTACGCTGAGAGGGAAGCAATCCCATACCAACCAGAGCGGAAAACGAACCAGGGTCGTCTTACAGACGACGCAGAAGTCAAAGGTCGTTTCTGCACTGTCCGGCGGACCATGCGTATCGCTGCCCCCACCAGCAACGAAGGCTTACAGCGCAAAGGCAAGCTATCCTGGGTGGCGCAGGGTTTGCATGTCAAGGATGTTCGATTGGTAACTGGGCTTGTGCTTGTACTAAGCATGCTTAGCATGCCAAGGTTGCAACACGAGACAAAACGCAATGAAGACCTGGCGAAAGCAAAAGGTCCAGGTTCTCCCGTGCGTCCTACGCCGAGTAGCTTAACTAGAGCGCAACACTGGCAGCCTCATTGGAATGCTCAGATAGTCCAGAGGAGGGCTCTCTCTATGATGCACTGTCAAACTGTTACTGCAACCAGCAGCACGAATCCAGCAATCCTGCAACTTTTGAAGTGCCAGATGTTCTGCAGGCTTCATAGGTTGCAGCACTGCATGCTGTGCAAATTTTCCTCGTCTCTTCCCCCCTGCTGTCCAAGCAATATCTGCAGAAAGGGCTACTGAGTGCCTCCCAAGACATCTCTGGCCCCCAACCCCAACTCCCAAAACCTGGTTGACTTTCATGTTCCATCGCTTCGCAGAGGCAATAAGCTCCCTGACGACCATCTCCAAGCTCGCGAAAGGCGAGTCCAGTACCAGCCCCGCAATGCTGGGGTCACGGTGCCCATGCCTTAGGGGCTCACGAGGCAACAGCTCAGAAGTTTTTGCCATGTTTTACCCAAAACCCCTGAGTTTCTTCTTAAGGGTTCTAGGCTTGCAGCTCGAACTCCAAGCTATCGCTGGCTGGGGTCTCGGACAGGATATCAGGGCGTTGGAGGATTTAGGATTGTGAGCGCGCTCCAAACTAAATGCGCAGTAGCTGTACGAAGGCTTCGCTTGGCTTGCGACACGTAGATGCTTCACTATACTCTTCGCCGGGGATTCGGGGATGGTAACGACAGAAAAAGGCAGGATCAAAATGCATCAACATCACGACCCTTTTCCCGTCGCTGAGAACACTTGACGGAGAAAGCCTCTCTGCAGCTTGCATGTCATGTGGCAGCAGGGCCGTTGCCGCACCCATGGAGCGACCCCACAGAGCAATTGTGGACACCTTCAGGCTTGCAAAAGGTATGGAACGGAGATAACATGAGATAACGGGCGGTATTCCATGCCTTGGGCTGGGCTGCTCTCGTGAGCTGTACGAGGTACAATCTGTATACAGGAGTGTGCTCCAATGTCAGGATTCGGGGCCTAGGAGAGTGGAAGTTAGTCGATGTCAGAGCCTCGCCACTGTCGCGAAGATAGGAGATGACAGTGCTGACATCTTCCTCCAAGGCATGGTTAAGGTGTGCAGTGTGCCCAATCCCTGAATGTAGTGACAAGACCGGTGCTGAGAGGAGTGAGTCACAAGTTCAGGCCAGCGCAAGCTGAGGCGTGTAGAGTGTCGAGGATGTTCTTGAGGCTTATCGGGTATTTCAGGGGTGTGGTCTGTTGCTTTACGATGGTTCGGACATGCCTGCCCTGAACTCTCCAACCCGAAGAGCTGGAAGGGGTCACTGTAGGGCGCTTGAAGCTTGAACATGTGCCGGAGGTGCGGGGCTACAACTCAGGGTACACAAACAAGGCATTGTTCTCACAAGTCCCGCTCGTGATAGCCCAGGGTGATGTAGTCACCTGGCGACGCATTTGGCGTAGCTTGAGTGGCTCGCGTGGCCAGCAAGGTCACCGCATGGGAAGCTAGTATAGAAACTACGCGGTTGCCCGAAACAACGAGGTTTCAGCGCCTTCGGAGAGCCCGCAGCCCGCGAAGTCGAACGCAAAGAGGCTGATACCGCGTGTGAGGACCTCATAGGCTTGCCGAAATGTCTCCGCATGAAGCACAAACATTCAAAAACCCTCGCGCACATTCAGTTCCCATTGCGGTGGGCACTAAAGTGCATGTGCTTGCAAACTTGTGCAAGCAATTTCATCAGCATGCGGGATGCAATCCGTCACAGCTCAGGGACGAGTCTGCATGTGACTCTGCGCTAGACAATGCTCGACATGTAAATACCTGTACAGGGCACTTGCGGGCCGACCCACCCGAATCCCTGAACCGTACACCATGATGGCAAAATGTGCTGAGCCCTGCGCCATCCGCACATGTTGCAAAGCTTCCAGTCGACAGGAGGAGTTGCCATGAAGGCAAACCTTAGATTCACGTCCAGACGGCACGACACAGGTTTGCATGAACTGGCTATACTGCTGGTCAGGGAACCTCAAAGCAGAGATTATGAACCATACGTGTGGGTGAGTGATCTGAGGACCCTCAGGGGCCGCACAGGGCATGCTCGAAGAGCCACCGATCACAGTGAACCCTGTCGGCACACTCAAGACAGGGAAAGTCTGCTGCCGCCGCCGCTGCTGAAGCCCAGAATTCCGAATCCGGCATCTCTGTGAATCTAATACTCATCTAATCTCTCGAAAGACATGTCTTTCACCCGAAGTATTTGCCACGGTTCTTGGAAGTCCCCGGCTCAGGGACGCGGGTTTTTGTATCCCTAAAGAGCCGACAGATCATCTAGACAAGCTGGCAACATCCCGCATGCTGTTGCAGGCAGGTAGCGACGCAGGGAAGCGGGCTCTCCGATATGAGCTCCTTAGGCTCAAGGGTTCTGGTGCTTTGGCATGGGGCGAGATATTCTTTGAGAGACGGCTTTTCTTGTTGCGAGAGTTTTCGAGGTTGTGAAATGGATCTCGACGGCTGTTTCAATTATGCAGCTCAAGCTGCGCGGTTGCTCGGACGCCACCAGCTGCACTCCAATGTCAATCCTGCAGGCGTGTGTGCTTATACTTGTGCATTCGGACATCTTAATTGATTTTTTTGCAAGTCTCAGCAAGGATGGCAGCTGAAATGATAGCGTGGAGGACGTAGTCCGGCACATGACACAGCACAACGCATGCGAAACCCTGAAAACTGACTATGAATAGCCATGCCCAATTGCAGGAGTGTGGCAATAATCCATCTATAGAAGAGAGACATTCTGCATGCTGCCGTGTGCACAACTCCGGAGCTCCGTCAGAATATGTAGCCCTGGAAGCTACCAAATTCGAACCCGGAATAAGGCGCGCGTCAGAACCGCAACCAGTTGAAGTTAGCAACCCACAGCCAATTCTCAAGCCTTGCGGGTTTGTGATCTGGAGGTCGAAGCGTTTGAAGACGTGGCCGTAGAGGAGAAACTTTGAAGGACCTGTGAGAAGAGCACCCTTGCGATTGGGCCCATGAACTATTGACTTGTGCCTTGACATAGTTCAGTTATAACTCTTTACTCAAGCTCTTCTGGCAGCATCGACAGCAGGATCTTCGCAACACTACTTGATCACTTTGCCGCTAAGACTGCGGGTTTGCCTGACAGGGTGACGGCTGCTACAGAGTGACTACGTCCAAAGGCCATCCCTGCAGCTGCAATTAAAGGCTTTCAAGGCTTTAACCCAAACATCCCCAAACCTTGCAAAGCTGTTCTCAAAAGAAGTCAAGCTCTAAAAGTCTGGAGGCCCAAATTCGAGGCTTCGTATGGAGCCCTCGGCGGCCGGATGATGGCTTCCCTGGGCGCCCCATTTGGGCTTGCACTGGTGATGTGTCGGGCTGCAGGATTCACTGAGAGACTGTCGGGCAGGTGAGGACGAAGGTCACTGGCCCTGTCTTCATGCGTTTCTCGCCCAAGGATCTTCGGGACAGCGAAGGGGCAAGAGAGAGCTTGCAAGCACCTACTCAAGGTCCAGGAGGGTACCGCAGGTGTGGCCATCGGTTTCGGGGTCTTGTGGGCATTTGTCCCATGTTGCGGCCTGACGTGAGAGGTAACCTCGGAAACCTCCTAAAGTATCGAGTCCGACCAGAGCCAAGCTTCACGATGGACTCGTACGTTCCCGAGAAGGGCACGCAGCTTCCTGAGACGTTCTCAAAGAAATCTCTGTTCCAATCTTCTGTCTCTCTTGCTTAAACGGCTACCTGCCTGGGAGGTGAACACCAAAGTGCAAACTTGATACGCGAAATTTGCTGAGGATAACACGTCTACACCAAGTCCGTTGCTGCGGCTGCTGTAGAGCCCCCCCCCCCCCTTAGCCCTTGAATTCCCGCAGCATGACAAAGAGAGATTGCGGCCGCGTTGCGCTTGGACTTGCGGGCCGAGACGACCTGCTGGACCTGCTGGGAGGTACTTATTCTGCAGACACATGGTGCTTCAGTGCAGGCGACAATCTGCAACAATCTGCATAATTAACACCTCATCATGCATCATTGACCGTAGCTCAACCCAATTGACCCTCCACTGGTATCAGTGTCCCGAGACCTGCTCGTCTACCTCGTCGGCTTGCCTCCGACTCCTGTGGGCGGGGCAGGGCTGATGTAGCGAAATCAATGTTTCGACTTCCAGCTGCCGGTGCCCTTGGCGAGCTTGTTCTGTTAAGGTTTTGGCTTTCACTATATGACATATAGGGGGCCAGAACGGACGAAAGAGAAGCCACCAAACAACCCTTCAACCCTTCCACCACTCTTCCACCCATTCCACCCCCAACCCCAAGAAACCCGACATCCCGAATGCATCAAAGATTGAGACGGCCAGAGTACTGGAATGGGCCTTTTTAAGCCTTTCAGATGCCAAGCCTCCACATGGCACTGCAGCTCAGCCCCACATGGCACTGGGATATTCAGGGCCACAGGAGCCGAGTCAAAAGGTTGATATATATATATATATATATATATATATATATACTGAGCGCTGGCTTCTGCTGGGCCCCGAATGGGCCCCCGGCACATCTCAGGTTACCTCTCTATGGGCTGTCTGTTTGATCCCGCCAAATCCGCCAAAGGGCATGTGTTCACGTGCAGCCTCTCACTATGCCATGGGATCTACCGGCACTTGAGCACAAAGGGCTCTCTGGAAGCCATGCAGAGAAGATACTCCAAACCCTACAGCCCTGGGACCTCCATGAAGCCTACTCCAAACACTAAATCTCCAGTGGCAAGCCGCCTGTATCAGCTTGATGCTAGCTAGAGAGAACACACGGACCATCAATGCGAGTAAACTTCGGGCAAACCTTGCGGACCTACTGCAAAGTTAAAGGCACGAATACCCCGGCATCACTGCCACTGCTAGCCGAACGCATATGCATGAACATGACAGAACACGATACTTCAATGCCCTCTGCTGCAGAGCCTACACAACGGCAAGTCCCACCTCCTGCGCTTCACAGGCGCCGCTTTCTGCTGGTGCTCGGACTTGTGGCCGGGGGGCCTGTGACAGTGTGAGACACAGCTGCAGGTTCGAGGCACTCGAGTGCCAACTCCATAGGGGCTTCACGTAGTTCATGCCTAGACGACACCACGTTACGCCAGGGAGTCCCGTCAAGGCCTAGGCCTAGAATCGGGCCTAGAACCAAGTTCAATCTTTGCAGGCATGCAGGCGTAAGCTTCCACAGGTGTTTTGCAACACCCTGACGACTGCCCGAACTGAGGTCTTGGCAGAGTGGCCCCTTGGTGGTGGCCCAGGAGGTGGCCCAGCAGGCGGACGGTTGGCAGCTTCACGTGCGGCCCTGGTAAACGGCGTGGTCCGAGTTCTGCCAGTATCTTGTTGCAGGTAACTGGCACTCAAAGGGATGGGTAGAGCTAGAAATTCGAATTATCGAAATTTCTGCATTGGCATGAGGAAGGCCCTTGAAGGCTTCATCATCGGCGGGTTGGCGTGCAAAGCGGAATGGACACCAACAGGCCAAGTCCAGCCTCTGCACGATGAGACTCTTCGAGGTCCCGCAATGTCCCGCAAAAGTCCCCCCCCCCCCAAAAAAAAAAAAAACTTCCCAACCCTTCAAACTTCAAGCCCCAAAAGCATCCACCACTCCAAGCAAACCCCTGCAAAGACGCACAGACGAGATGCCGTCTCCACACCTTGCTGTAAGCTACCCAAACCCCTCTTGCGCCTATATCCTGGCTTGATGAACTGGCCTCCGAATCGGCGACGCAGTTGCCAGCAACATGACTTGTGGCATGACTTGCGACGAAGGGCTTGCATCTGTTCATGTCAAGCAACAGTAACAGTAGTGCGGGCGATGCATCAAAACTGTGTCAACGCATCCGGCTGTGAAAGTGCACCCACACAGCCGCTGAACAGAACAACGGACCAGCTCTCGATCAAAACAGCAACAACTCCCTTTCTTGTCCCTGCTGATGCCGAGGTTGCTGCCGATAATCTGCGAGACATCCTGCATCAGGCAAATGGTCGAAGCTAGATTGCAATGATTCGAGCATCTCGCCGCAAAGGTTTGACATGATGCAACTGATTCATTTTGATGCGGCTGATGATGCTCATGCGGCCTTGAGACCATCCACTTGGGATGATGGGACGATGCCATGTTTTGATCGTGATCGTGATCGTGGTGTAGTCTGGCTGCTGCGGATACACTCCCCCAGGGAAGATGATGCATGAACAACTTAGTATGTAACGAGCTCCCAAGTCAGAAACTGAGACATGCTGCCGCCGACAAGTCCCACTCGTACGTAAGCCAACCGTAAACCCACCAATCGCGACCGAGCCGAATGGGGATGAAGAAACTGAAAACGAAACCTCCTGAAACATCTTTGCGAGAAGAGGCACGTGAAAATCCAGCGAGCCCACATTGTCTGTGTCCAGATACTTGAAGAACTGGCAGTACATGTCAAGAAGCCACTTGGCCATGCTTGTGAAAGGCACCGCTTCGCATGTGAACACTCAGGGGACAAGTGCCAGCAACGAGGACATGCTCCCTGGCGGGGCCACGCAGACTAACTTGTTATTTGCGATGGTCAATGAGACAGGGACATTTCCTCACACAGGTCGACGGGAAATCAACTGAAGATATTTGAAGTGTGAGACGCTTGAGTCCAAGCCTTCCCTGCGATATGGCTCAGCTCAACCTGCTTGTGAAACAAAATAACCACTGATCCAAATTAGGATCAAGCCATCCGCTGGTCCGCATGTGTCTTCGATCCTCTGCAGTTCCCAGCCGACAGCCGACCCGAGCAGCTGCCGCAAGCCTTCCTCGCGCTGCCTTCCCATGCCATCAACGTCGCCACGGCCACGTCTCGCTCACTACTGGTCCGATGCACTCCGTACTGGGACGCGTCCTGAGGAGGAGGAGGAGGAGGAGGGAGAAACATCACAGGAGGCCTAAACCCTTCGGGGAGTGCAGCCACATGTCAACTGTCAAGCCAGTGGTGAGAGAGACTGGCGCCGCCCTGGGGTTGTCAGCCAAACCGCAGTAGATCAGTCGCCAGATTGATCGCGGAGTTCTTGAAGCTTCATGAAGACGGGCAGCACGGCGTCCTGACCCATGCTTTGTTTCCATTCCTGAACATACTGCAGACCTTCTTTTGGCAACTCCACAACTGGCCCATGACCCGAGCACTTCAAGAGCCAGCTCTGCTTGGAAGAGCAAATGCTGAGTGCAGGGCTAAAGTTAATTTGTCTAAAGCCTTCCCGATACGTCCTCTTCGCCAGGGTTCTGGTCCGGATGGTACCTTTTCTCGGTTAAGACCGGTTACGAAGAAAAAGCGAACTTTATACTCCTGCCGCTACTAGCTTCCCAGACAGAAGACATCAAGTGCTGGGCAGGAGACTCTTTCAGAAGCCGACGAAGAGTGCTTCGCCGCTCCGCATCATTTGCCGCCTGTAAGAGCGGGAAAGAAAAGCTGATGTGCCCAACTTACAGCCTGCCGCGAGCGTAAACAATGTCATATGGGGTTTTGTCTACATGTCTTTGCCTGAAGGTGGCCGATAATTGGTGTTCACTCGGGCCCCGCCTTATAGAGAAGACAAAACGGATACCCAGCTTGATCGCAACAGAAAAGCATGAAATGTAATGAAGCCAAAGCGCGGACTTATGTCGCTACGCTTCTGCAGAGAAACGCACGAGAGGGCGAAGGATTGAAGGATATAGGTTTGGGTAGGGTTGCGCGTCGGTTCTCAGAAGCACTGCCCTCGAAAACCTTAACATGCACAGTGTCTGCCTGCACAAGGCGAATGGGATCTGCTGGCAAAAACGAAGGTTGTCAACTAACCACATAGCGCGCCGCTATGTCATCATCCTAGGATATCACCGAAGTCTAAGTGGGATCTCATATGTGCTAGTGGATTAGACAACCATAAGCTTCATTCTGAACGGCATGTGGTTGCATGCCGTGTTAGCAACTGGATTCTGGCAACATACGGAAACTTGGATCGTTTCATGGACTGAATTCCCCCTGCGTGAATCGCGTGAAACCGCACACGAGCAGGATAGAGGCACCTCCTCGAGGGCCGCGCGCACATTGGAGGGCAGAGGCGTGGAGTCCGCGCCGTCGTCCTGCAACGCGAGCTGCATGCATCGTGGAAGGACTATGTCAAAGGCCTTGAGGTTTGGAGGTTCTTTTGCGGCTGCGGTAGGCCTGCTCAGGTCAGGGCGGCAATTCTCCGCAGTACTGTGGAATACAAGCGGCGACACCGTGCAAAGAATCAGCCTCGTCGGACTCATCGGCAGGCTGCCCTGAACACAGAATGAAGGGCTCAGGGGCTTGGATGGGTTGGAATGGTTCAGGGTTGAGTGTTTCGAGCAGGCATAATAGTCAAGTCAGGCATGGCCATGTCCATGTTCACGGTGACTCCCCCTTGTTAAGTTGCATCATAGACCAACGGGTATAAGCGCTCACCAGCTTTGCACAAAAAGCGCAAAGCCAGACCCCCTCTAGCCCGACATCTGCTGAGGAATCGTGCTGAGGAATGGCACTGCCCGTCGTCGTTGTCGGCGAAGCAGGCTATACCCCACCATCTGCCCACATTATGCAGGTAGGTGCGTAGGCCTCTTAAGTGCTGGGCCACACACATGGTCCTGAACTATATATTAAAAAATCTCAGAACTGTATATAAATTTTCGAGCAGATGATTTGAAATCGCTCCAGACAGTCTGGAACCGCTCGGAACCGTTCTGGACTATATATGAACCCGACGTTTATAAATCATTCGGAACGGTTCCGAGCGAATTATAACCACTGTGGGGCTATTATTGCGACTTTGACTTGAGCGATGGTGTCTCGCGGCAAGGTTACAAACAGTCCAGAACGGTTCCGAACGATTCCGGACGATGTATAACAGTTCGGCCAGTTTTATAGATAGTTCGGGGGTACTTTATATATAGTCCGGACACATGAAATCCGGTCCAACAGACCCATGCCAACAAAGAGGCCCATGCACCTAGTAAGGTCTGAGAGCCGACGGCTGATCTCAAATCTGCTGGCAGTTGCAGAGCATGCTGCCCTGGCACCACAGTTGCCATAGTGGTAGCTGGCTCTTTCGTAGCATTCCTGGAGGCAAAGTCCATCGACAAGCGCACGACATGTTTAAGCTGTGGCGGTGCCAGACGTTGCTGGCTCAGAAATGGATAGAGACGTCCAGAATAAGTATGGCAGCTGCCAGGCCAGCTTTCATGGCTGTTGATAAAGGCACTCCGGATAAAATTGGGCTCATTGAACTTAGAGCTGACAAGTGTAACTCTGGAAAAGGAGATGGCACCGTTTTGGGAGTGCGCCCCCGGTCGCGCGCTCACTCCGACCCGCTGCGATTTATGGATGCGGCTGTGCTCGAGGTTGGGCTTTTAAGAAAGAATTTGTGAGATTCGCCGCTCATCCGGACACCTGCTGGAAAATTGTCCCTCCGGCAAAGTTGCCACCCTTAACAATTACTAGCTGCGCTTGCGAAGGCCCCCCCCACTGCAACATTCTGCAAGCGCTCGAGCACATGGGCACGCAGCTCCACAACCAGGCCCGTAAACACGGGTCCAGGATACCGAAAGGAGCACGCAAGAGCAAACCGAACGCATGGGAGCGCAGATGGCAGCATCATGGCCTTGCAGGAGCCTCCCAGCTCGCCGGCAGTTCTCCGCAGTCCGTTCCAGGGCCTGAATTTTTGTTGAAGGGTTTTGAACCCGCAGAGAGTTAGGGGGTTAGGGGGTTAGGGGCTTGGGGTTGAGCTTTAGGCGCCAGGGTCTGCTCATGGCCAAAAAGAAGGGCTTGACTTCGAACATCAGCTCGTGACAGGCATGCGGCTAAGAAGTGGCAGTGGCCCCTGGAAATCACAAGAGGTCAAACCCTCGAAAGCGTGTCCTGCAGGACTTCACCTCGACCTACCAGGTTGCGGACGCGAAGAACCCGAAAGCCCGTGCATGGTGGGTGCCTGAGCAGCCACTGACCCCTCGTTGATCCGCCCGGCGAGCGAGTCGATCTGGGAGAGGCGCGTTTTCGCCCCCACAAAAACCCATTTCATACATCTACGGACGTACAGTTTCTGTTGTATTGTAACAGTGGGTCTGGCGAGATGCCGGATCGCTGCGGCAAACACCAACCACGTCAAGAAATACTTGCAAGCGCACGAGCCGATCGAGATAACAAGGTTGAGAGCTGCCAGTGGTGCCAGTGAACAATCACATTAACAGGCCGCTCCCCCCCCCTCCACCCCATAACTCCTTACAAAAAAGTCACAGAATCCAAGTTGCTTGGCCTTTGGGTGGAGCCAAAGCCCTATTCCCAGGACCCGAATGCCCTAATCAACCGCCCGGCCATCAAAAGCTCTTTTGTTTTTTGCAGGGGTCGCTGTAGAGGGTCCGACCTTTGATCACTTAAAATAAGGTGGCCCTATCGGCTTGTGTCATAACTTATAACGGATTGACATCCCGGCTCCTCAGCGCTCAGCCGGTCCAGAGCGGCGGCAGCCACAGCCGCCGTTGGCGCGGACTGGCTTTGATTATCCCAGACCCCCTCCCAAAACAGTCCAAACTCATTCTGACCCACAATCGAGTCGAAGCTCTCGGAATTCCTAGTCTCACCAAAAAAACGCGCACCCCGTACCAGGTGGCGCCTGCTCGGCTCCCCAGGTCTCGAAGTCCTCCTCTGAGTCCGGATCGCCAGGCAGGGCAGCTCCAATGGAGGAGAAATCCTGGCGGCAAACCCAAATGCACAGCCCAAAGTCGTAACAGCCCTTGCCTGAGGCCTAACTCGGCGGCCTAAGATTCCCACCGTCGTGCCCGGAGCCAACGCCAGAGAGAGTCTAAGAGGGCCTTGAGAGCAAGTCTCAAAACATCAGCCACTGCCTCCTCGAGAAAGTAGTAGTCGCCTGGTGCAGTAAGCTCTTCGGGACTGGATCTCAGCAAAACCGCCCCAAAGCAGCACATGTAGCCAACAACAGATAGAACAAGTAACAATTCGACCGTGTTGCCGAATCCAACAAAACAATCCAAAGTTGACACGCCCCTCAGGACACGAAAACGCGCAAGCTTCCTTGACCAGCCCGCCTGCGGCACCAGCAACCTCCAACTCGCCGGAGAAATCCTGACTCACAACGAAACCACGTGGACTGTCCGGAAACGTTTGAGACAGCTTGAGACACTGTCGGGCAAAGTTTCGGTGTGGGCCAACATCTCACTGGGTGCACCATCATCATTAGCATCTGCCGCTGCAAATCTTTCTGTCAATCCGCCCAGAAACGCTTTGCAAGTGGGTGGGACTACTTATAGTCAAAGCTCCAGCACCAAGCCTCCGAATCTAGAAGCACGGAAGGGTCCTGAAAGCCACAATCTGGCTTACAAGTGTGTTGCAAGCTTCGGGAACCTAACCAATTTCCTACATCTGCCGCTACCCGATAAGCTGCATTCTTCGAGAGCAAGGCTCATACCAGTCCGCCAGTAAGAGTGCCTCAGCAGCATTCCTCCAGCGGGACACGGGTATAGGTGGAAGGTGGTTCCCTGAGTCTTAACAAAATGCCTTCGTGTGCCGCCAGTCTCCTTGCTGTAAACTGCTGGCTTTCAAGGTGAACCACATGGCCACACGTCCGAAAACCCGATCCTGCAGTCTGAACTGCACATGGGCCCCAAACCCTCGAACCTCAAGGATAAACGAGCTGATCATCCCTAGATCCTCAGAACCGCTTGAGGGGTTCAAAACGCTTCAATGCACAGAAAAAGCCCCTTGCCTCAGCGAGATGCCCACTGAGCCCAATGTTGCGGGGCTCTCGCCGCGGTTCGCCCAGCCCTCGTCACCCATGAAAGCCCTGGGCAAGGACACCGGGAATGGTTTTCAAACCTTCTGACGACCGCTTCACTTCGGACAAGCCGGCTGTTCACACTGATTAAGACTACTTCGCGGCACTTCGTGGCAGGTCTGAATGACTGGACCTTGGGGCCCCATCCTGAGACCGCGCGGCAACCGGAAACCAAACCAACTACCCAGGCCCGTAGCGCATGGTATCACACTGGCGACTCGGGTTGCGAGCGACTAGTTCTGCGAGGCAGGGTCAGCTGTTGAAGAGGAGCTTTCATTGGCGGAGCTTCTAAGACTTGCTCTCGTGGGGTTTCGCTTGAGTTGTCTCGCTACTGCCCCCTCCCGGCATCTCCCCCTGCCACCTCAAAGGTACATGACCTAGAAGGACCTAGCCCTTAAAGCTCATTAGAACCCACCGGCGGCAAGCGGCCCGGCTGTCAGCATGTCATCTGCTCCATACCACAGCTCGTTGGCCACATCCTCAGAGGGTATCGAGGAGCCGGGTCTTGAGTGCCACGCGATGTACTTCTTTACAGACGTCTGCGTAACACGAGAAAGATCCTGGAAGCAAAGCCTTCAACAGCGCACTCACTCTTCTACTTCTCAGCAGTTGCTTTGGTCTTTGGTCTTTGCAAGAAAGCACTATGGTCTTGCAGTATACGACTTCAAGTCTGGTCTTCAAGCCCCAAGACATACGCCTCACTTTTCACCATCCATGGCCTTCAGCATCAGGACCAGCACACCAAGGAGCGGCATCCTAAATCCTAAGCCTTCTCTGAATACTTCTGCCTGCAGACATTAAGAGGTCATACACATGTAGGTGTATGGATCTCGATAGTATGCACAGAATTACACAGAAAAGTCTCGATGACGAAGCGGTTGTCGTGGTTGGGCTCCGGGGGCTCCTGTCCACCTGCTCGAATCACGCTTGTTATGGTGGTGATTTTGCCGAGCTGAAGCCTTCCTTTTTACCGAATTTTTATGTGCCATCGCGGAGGACAACTCATGTACGGACAAAGAAGTCAGTAGACTATCAGACTACCAACACTGACACCTCTGCCAGCACACAAGGCTCCCTGTTGAGCTCGGCTTTTGCGACTAAGGTCCGACCGTCGCACCCTACATTTGCGGGGCGGTGCTAGACTAAACGCCCCTCACGGCTTTGCTTCCCTGCCTGTTCTTCCTGGCAGGGGCAGGGAGAAGTTCCAGAAAAACCTCGGCCAGCCATCATCAAATCCACCGAAAGACACTTATAGCAGAAGATCTCGAAGCCCTCCAGCACAACCCGGCAAACATGAAATCATCCTGAAATCGGCGATTGCCCCAAATTCAGAGGTCGCAAGATGTCACTTAAGATTGCATCTCCAGACCAAGCAGCTGAAATGAGAAGCTGAGGAAAACAAGCCCGGTCAATCTGCGGCGCCAGGCCATCGAGCGGACGCTCCCACTTTGTGCTCCCCCAGACCGAGGACTCATAAGAAGAGTCTAAGATACTTCCCCCTCCGCTCCCCTCAGGGCAGTATCCGCACCCACTCACTAAACGATGGAGCAATCTGACATAAGCGCTTTTCACTCAAGGTTTCCTTCCTGGTCAAGCGTCGAGCAAGTAGCCGCAGTGTGCAAGCAAAGCTGGAACATGCCGGTGCTATGAGCTTCTGAAGTGGTGGGGAGTTCAGGCTGTTCGGGGTGAAACATGGCGGAACTATTGCCGACATGTTCACTCAGCGACACTACTCAACGCAAGCGAAGGAAGGAAAGCCCACATTGTGCTGTACATCTGCTCATCACCGACACTTATGCCATTGTATTCGCTTCCCAGCACCTGGTCCGCCACGTCCTCGGGGAGGTGAAACATGCGCAGTAGGTGCTGGATCTCGTGTCGTTCCACCTTGGAAGAAGAAACAGCACAGCACAGAAGCATCACATAATCGCCCTTACCCGCCCTAGCCTTGCCAAAGGGCACCAACAGCTTGCCTAGCAGCATCCCCGGCCTTGATGTATGGAGGTGCTTGCTAGCGGGTGTCCGAGTCCTCGATCTGGCCTATCAGCCCTAATAAGCTCAGACCTCAGAACGCCTGGAGAAGCAGAAAGCCAACCCTGCTCCACTTTGTACGGCACTTGCTGTGTCCCCTTCTACTGTGGACTCTCTGTATAGAATCTGTATAGACCTGGGTCCCAAAAGGCAATGACACGAACACGATTCAATCTACACGCATGGAAGGGGTGCTCTCAGTGGTTGTGGTCGGACAGCTCCTTAGGGCATGAGAAGGCCTTCCAAGGCCTTCGGCCTTCGATGGCCAGCTGCGCTGCCCCCCAGCTGGCAAAATCAACTCACAAGAGATCTCAAAACACCTCACAAAACCCGTTGGGGACCTCAGGGCTCGGATGGCCACCTCTGTTGGGTCCCATCAGAAAGGGATCCACTGAGATCCACAGTAGATCGGCTTCTCTATACGCCACGGTCCGCGAGAATATGCCAGAAAGTTGTGTAGTATTTTAAGGGCTGAGGTTCTGAGTAGTCTACAGTGGCTTACCGATTGGGGACTCTGACGTTTGCTGCAGACTACCCATGTTGTGGGCAACTGTTGACCCATGATGGAGTCTCCCTGTAGGGTTTGCATCTGCAGGGGACGTTGCTGGCCAAGCGGATTTGCATTGGCCGGCATCGCATCTAGAAATGAAGGTGAGACTGTTGCAAGCTTCGCAACGCACTTGCACGGAAAATCAGCTGCGGGACTGCTTCTGTTAGGCATCTACGCTACTTTCGGAAACTACCACTGAAATCCCTAGCCAAAACCGCTTAGGAACAAACTCCACAAACTCCACAAAACCTTGCCGGGGGGAGTCAGAAGTAATCAGAAGTAATCGGTAAACAGCTGTGGTCGGTCTCCCGGTCGGTCTCCCTGGGGCTTTTTCAGAAGCTGCGCCACCTCAGGATGCTTACGACGGCTGCCAGCTAATCCCTTCCCCCCTAATGTTAAACGGGGCCCAACGGCCCCCCCCCCCCCACCCCCTAACAGAAAACTGAAATGTGTCTTTCTTATTAGGGTGAGGTTTTTATCCAAATGTCATGTTTGGGGTCCAGAGGATTTAGGGTCTATAGGCTGGGAAGGGAGGGAAGGGAGCTTCAGGATGTTGGATGGCTTGCGGCGTTTTGGGAGCCCTGAACCCCCCCCCTAAGTGGGAATAGGGTTTACAAGGCGGGGTCGGTTTCGGCAGGATTTTCCGGAAAGTGTTTTCATAATTAGGGGGGGCGTTGAATAAAGGGGGAAGGGATTACTAGCCAAGCCCCATCTATATCCCAAATGCAGCGCCACTCTCGCCCCTGCTCGTAACAAAGTGAAGCAGAGGCTCTGTGCATTGCAACAAGCTTGAAAAAACCCTTCAGCTTCAGGCGTAGTCTCGTGCGCAATGTGCTGGATGGAGCGAGTTAATAATTATCAAGGCTGTCGCCACCAAGGTCTGGGAAACGCACTGCTATGGAGTTGTCAGGGGAGTGGACAGTGGAAGAGGTTGGGAGGCTGGGGAGCCTAAGCATTCCCGGGGCTCGCCTTGCGGTGGAACATCTGGACCTCTGCAAGGGTTCGCTCGATCCGGTTATTCTGCCGGTGCATGAGCGTCACCTCAAGCAGCCATACAATGTATTGCTGTACCGGCAGAGTCTATTCGAGCGTAGGCAAGCGCCATGGCCGTCATGGTTGCTAGGGCGACGAGACATCCTGATTAGAAACTTGCCAGCAGTGCATGAACCGACTATTGCCAAATGGTGCCAAGGTAGCCTCGTAGGCCATCGACAGCATATCGATACTCGTGGCTGGGCCCTTCATGCGCATGCAGCCTCGCGGTCAGGACAAGTAGTCGAAATGGGCTAATTCTGACCACATCACACACATGAGCACTGTCACAAGGGTTTACCGGCTTGAGCCCTATAGCCTTTCACAAACGTGTCGATATCGATGTACTTGTCGGATGCAACGCCCGCGAGCATGTCGAAGAAAGTCTTGGCATCGTGTATCTCAAGCCCAAGCGAAGCCAAGTAGATCAGGGCCGACTCATCTGATACCTTCCATCCGCATGTGCAGAGTAACGGCCCAGTAGTAGTAGTCGTAGTAGTAGTAGTAGTAATAATGATAATAGTAGTAGAAGGAGTAGTAGTAGTAGTAGTAGTAGAAGTAGTAGTAGTAGCAGCAGTAGTAGCAGTAGTAGTAGTAGTAGTAGTAGTAGTAGTAGTAGTAGTAGTAGTAGTAGTAGTAGTAGTAGTAGTAGTAGTAGTGGTAGTAGTAGTAGTAGTAGTAGTAGTAGCAGCAGCAGCAGTGGCAGTAGTGGGAGGTAGCAGTAGCAGTCGCAGCAGCAGCAGCAGCAGCAGGAGGAGCAGCCAGCAGGAGGAGAGGCAGGAGGAGGAGGGGGAAGAGGAGGAGAAGAAGTTCGTCGTTGTCGTTGTCGTTGTCGTCGTCGTCGTCGTCGTCCTCGTCCTCGTCGTCGACGTCGTCGTCGACGTCGTCGTGGTGGTAGCAGTACTGGTGGTGTAGTAGTAGTAGTAGTAGAAGTAGTAGAAGTAGTAGTAGTAGTAGTAGTAGTAGTAGTAGCAGTAGTAGTAGTAGTAGTAGTAGGAGTAGGAGTCGTAGTCGTAGTCGTAGTCGTAGTCGTAGTAGTAGTAGTAGTAGTAGTAGTAGTAGTAGTAGTAGTAGTAGTAGTAGTAGTAGTAGTAGTAGTAGTAGTAGTAGTAGTAGTAGTAGCAGTAGTAGTAGTAGTAGTCGTCGTCGTCGTCGTCGTCGTCGTCGTCGTCGCAGTTGTTGTTGTTGTTGTTGTTGTTGTTGTTGTTGTTGTTGTTGTTGTTGTTGTTGTTGTTGTTGTTGTTGTTGTTGTTGTTGTTGTTGTGGTTGTGTAGTGTAGTGTAGTGTAGTGTAGTGTAGTGTAGTGTAGTGTAGTGTAGTGTAGTGTAGTGTAGTGTAGTAGTAGTAGTAGTAGTAGTAGTAGTAGTAGTAGTAGTAGTAGTAGTAGTAGTAGTAGAAGTGGTCGTCGTCGTCGTCGGTAGCAAAGGGCTTCCCATGCTTGCCATGTGCACTGCAAAGCCTGACCTCGAAGGTCCTGAAAGCCTGCATCTGACACTTCTGACACACGAAACCTCCCTCCCCCAAATGACATGACAACAGCGACATCCTTAATTAACAACGAATCCAAACTCCTACATGCGGAACCACCGTCAGGGAGCGAAGGCTTCAAAATCTTCCCAGGATATTCGACCTGTGGTCTCTGTATCAATCGCTTCGCACAAGCGTTGCAGTCCTTGGCAGGATGGGCTTTCGACCGTGCCCTAGCAACCCTTATATTTTTCCCTTCATCAAGACCAAATACAGCACGTCCACTTCCTCTCGACTCAAGTGCTCAATGTCTCACGTATAAGGGAGCAGGAATAGTGTTCCCTAATCATTGCATGAGATGTCCCAACTCATGGGCCCCCATCCTTTTCAAGAGTTTGCGAGGCATGATGTCTAGCACTACGTCACGACTGACAAATAACGAGAGAGTTTCGACTGAGATACTGACATGAATGCGCCTTGTGCCTACAAGCTAAGCTCATGAACCCAGTTGCAACTATGACCTATAAGCCCAAGTCCCCCGCTGCAATGAAGCCCTTCGCAAGGATGGAGCCGCAACCAAACAAAGCATCGATACCAAGGCCCTACTGTAAACCCTACCCCTCAACCCTAAACCTTTGATTGCGCAAAGGCGCGCGAGGCGTCCTGAAGCTCTTGGCTCCGATGCTCGGTGATGAGGTTCCTTTGAAGGGACTTCCGGGGACTGGAGGGGGCTTTCGGGTTTAGGGCCTGCCCCCCCCTGCCACAACGGGACCTTCTAGGAAGGGGCTTTAGGAGGCGGTAACATGGGCGAACTGTACTGGAGGCCACCGGCCCTTTTGCAGGCTTTCGTTTGTACGGGCCGCGAATTTTTCGTTGATCGTCAGGCACGACGAGATATGCAATGCGGAATTGGCTGCTCGCAAACATGCAAGCAAGGATGCAGCTGGCAAGGATCTGCACAGGAAGCCTCAACTGAATGGAAATTGAAGCCAAGCGTCTGGTTGTCACTTTGAGACCACTTCATGGCATGATCCACGAACATGCCCGTGAGCACCTGTTGCTGACAATGCTGGTATCCCTTCACCCAAATAACACATCTTCGAACATGGTGTCGGTCTCCAGTCTGTCGATTGGCATCAAGCCCGGTGCAGGAAGGCTGTTGAGGGCCTCTCTGCGGAGGGTTGCGGGTCTGCCTTTCTGCTTTCAAGAACGGCGTAGCCTCTGCCTGTCGGTTCTTGTTTCACCTGGAGATCTGGTTTCCAGCCGACGCTCTGTTAAACCAGGCCAGGGGGGGGAACACGCATGCACTCCAACATGAGCGCACAGACACACACACACACACACACACAAAGCACGGCGCTGCACCGCTTAGATTGATTGTTCATCATGCTTGCCGTTTTGTCATCAGGGGCCCTCAACAAAACCGGTGCAAACACGGGCTGCCTGAATTGGCCGTCGAGACTCGGAAGCACGGACATAATATGGCAGCCGAGCTACGTTAAACAGCGCAAAATTGAAGAACGCCTCGGGGCTATACGAAGTCATAGGCTTGCTTGGGCTTGCTTGGTTTGGGATTCAGAGCTGCAAGCTTTCGGGATCAGAATGTCCGGCCTGATCAGACGGACTCGGAGGATTTTCTTGTGGCAGGATTAGAGTACAAAGATGACTCTGCGGGATACTGTCATCGACAGTGGAGAAGGCATAGACGGCATTTGACGCTTCAGTCCCTTCTGAACCCCTCTGAGTTTTTCATTCTTTTATCGACACCCCACTGCTCCCTCAACTGCTTACCACAACCAACCGCAGCTGCTTTAAGTCGCTGTCCCAAGGGGCAATGTAAAAGAGCCAAGCCCAGGATCCCACCGAGCCTGTGAGCTCCAGCCTGGAGGCTGAGGCTTGGGAGGGGGGGGGGGGGTAAAAAAAAAAAATATTTTTTCCCGTAATTCTCGCATATAGTTACAAGATTGACAATACCCCCCATCACCACTATAACGCGCTGAAGGCTTTGGACTTTCAAATCGCAAACTTGAAAACGTCATGGCTTGCACTTCTGCTGAACGTCTCACACTCACACCTGAAAGAACCACTCCCTCGACGAGCTATCAACGACATCTACGCACCAACAGATTTGGCAGCGCCAGTTGCACTCGTCGCCTCTGCCTTGTCACCTTGTCTTGCCCCAAAACACGGCAACCATCTCAAAGGCAACCACGCCGCAGGTGAAGGGAGCGCTCCCAATCGAAGCCACCAGTGGTGGCCAGGTACAGTGTCTTCCTCAGCATGCGCTGGGCTGGCTGCCAGTCCCAGCCAAGAGGTCTTCGACGACATGTTTCATCATGCTTTCAGAGGCACAGTTGAGCACGAACGCAGGCGTGGGAAGTCGGGGAAGGTGCGACATTTCAGGGGGTTGCTGGCAGGAACGCGTAGCACTGAAAAAATCGGCATGCGTGGTATGCTACGAGCAGATTGTTTGATGGCCACGACACTGCCGTCTCTTAAAAGCTATCTCAGACCAGAGCCCTCGGTTGCCCAAGCGGGCATCGCACCGTCCGTCCAAAGTTGCGCAGAAACAGAACAAGGTCGGACACCCTTCACACCAGAGCACGGTATAGCACGGTGAAAGTGCCAAACACGACGCTCCTCCTCCCCAAGCCGGAATAGCAAATCAACCTACTCTCGTACCCTCTCTGTCTCTCCCGCCTTCCTTCCCTCGCTCCCTCTTTCATGGCCAACATGGCATTCTGCACTTGCCCGCCACACGCGGCTGGCATAAGTGCGCTTGTCGGACAGGATGTCGCGACGACTTCGTGCTTGGGGGCTTCCAGTTCAATAGGGCACGGTGCTTTCTGAGCTACAGTACACGGGAGGGGTGCCGCATCTTCTGGTCAAAGTGAAGGTATGTTTGGAAAGCCTTCGTCATCATAAGCACCTGCCTCTAAGCAAAGGCCGGGCTGCATCGTCTTGTCCAGGGACCCAAATGTTTCGAGAAAATCGGTCTTGGTGGCATCGTCTATCACGTCGTGTTCCACGACGAGATAGTCGGTGCACAGCTGAAGGAAGAATAAGGCGAACATGCAGATGACCAAGGTGATTAGCACCAAGCACCTCGTTTTTGCGAAGCGGGCTGGGCATGGCTGGACATCGCCCCCTTTCAAGTGGAGGTGTAGCCTTCCATGTAGCCTTAAATGTAGCGCCAAGCCACCAGAAGAGAGCCGTAAAGGAGCTGATGATGGAGAAGACCATCATGCGAAGTTCCCGGATCACGCGGATGGCCCTCAGCCTCGGGATGCCCCGCCGCCCTCAAAAAAAAACAACCCAAAAATCCCCCCATCCCCCTAACTCCGAGCTTTAGTCTACCTACCCTTTTTGCAACTTTCCGACCCGCAAAACCAAACCATCAATGCCCATAATTACACCTCAAAGCAAAACCCTCCAACACCCCACTACAACCTCAAACCCCAACGCTAAGCCATGGGGCAAGCGAAGGATGCGCGACACTCGCACCACGCGCAGAGAGCGCATGTAAGTGAGCCGGGTCACCGCCCCCGATGCTGTCTGCAGGGAAGTTGTGCTTCAAGGAATTCAGGCTGAGGGCGTTTGGTTTGGAGGCACATACAGACACCAGAAGAAAGCCACATGAAGGCAATAGGAAGGTACATGAAGGCAACGGCACTTGAGGCATTGGAAAGACATATGAAGCCAACCGGGAGGTAGGTCCGGTACATGAAGCATCGCCGCCAACAAAGGTGTACGCAACGTTTAACATGTCAGCTTCCTTCAAGCCCTGTCTCGCCCAACGAAAAGCCATTGAGACACGCAAGCTTCGAGATGCTGGGCGGGGTCAAAAGAATGCGATGCTCCCCAAGAACTGACCCCCAGCAGGCGCTGAACCTCGGCTTGAACGAGGAACTCCACGACCTGCTCCTGCACTGCCATGACGACAAGAACGAAGTCCTTGCCAAGGGCATACACGGAGCAGACAGCTTCAGGGGTCGAAGCACCCATCTTTTGTGTTTGTAACGCTCTGCTCCTACGCTTGAAGTGTGGGAATGCGCATCAGACATTCTAAGTCTGCGCCAGTGCCGCCCGAGCCGCAAAGACATTCCACTTCCAATCTTCGCGCCAGAAAAAGAAGAGCCGGTGAACGTAGAACCTTCTGAGAGCCATTGGGCCGGCACGAGCACAGTGGGGCGCCCTAAGCCGAATCCATGCTACCCTCAACCTAAAGCTCCCCCTGGTGCTCCTCGACAATTAAGAAATTAAAGCCCTTCTGGTCCTACATCCCTCTAAATCCCCCCCCTTTCCCCTATATAACCCTATAAAACCGCCTAATCCTGAATCCTGCGGCTGCGGAGCCTCAGGAGCAGCTCCAAGACCTTCCGGGCTTCGGGCTTCAAATCTCAGGGGGGGGGGGGGGGGGGGGGGGGGGGGGCTCTTGGGGTTCCAAGTGGATTTCGTAGGACTTCTAGTGCATGTAGGGTTTTGTGGGTTTTGTAGGGCTTCTAGTGCATGTAGGGCTTGAAGCTGTTCTAGGATGAGTTTTTTTGGTGACACTAGCAGAGGCGTTCCTGCGGGCTCCTTCGGGATTTGGGGTTTCTCGACCAGCGCTCGCGCTACAGCATAGGCTTCTCGCGCTCTTGCCATAGGTCTCGTGGTGCCAGAGGTTCTCTCATCTGGGGTCGCGTGCGCGCACGCTTATGCAAAGAACCGCCGTCGTGCTTGAGAGAGCTTGCAGTGCCGTCTGGGAAGGGTCGCGGAGGGAAACCGTTAGAGGTCTACGCCAGCACAGCAAGGGTTTGCATGATTTTAGACGCTGGGGCACTTCCTTCTGGGCGATGAGAGTTTGTGGGGGCTTAGGGCTTTTTGGGGAGGTAAAGGTTCAGGGTTTGATTGCTCACCACTCGCGTCGGTTGCGGTGGAATCTTGGCGGAGGCTTGTCGCTTGAGGTCTTTCATCTGGTCGGCCAATGCCGCACGGAAGCCTAAACTTGCAAATTGAGGCAGCCAGCTTCACTGCATGCTGTTTTTCATTTAAATCATTTGTATGCATGCAGCATGCACACTTTACGCGCTCCCGAACCGGAAGGCCAGAAGAGAAGACTCCGGCAAGGACGCTGTCAACCTTCAGAAGAAAGATGGAACCGCAACATCTCACCCCCCGTCGCCCGCATATGTGCCCGAGCAGCATAGAAAATGGTGAAGGCCAGGTCCAACATGCGCAGCTCCTCTGGAATGTCGAACGTCTGGTTCTGCATCGCCCAATTCCTGGATGCTTCAGCGAAAAACAAGTAAGTAAGATGGCAATTGGGATGCCGGGCTTAGATTCGTAGATGCTGCTACACTTCAGGTGCTGCCAGTGATACTATGTGCAGCGCGAAACATACAGCTCATTCAGGAACCGGGCAACGCATTCGAGCCATATTCGCTCATGTCAGTCGGCATCTAGACAGCTCACATGTTGGTACCATTGAAGGCACAGGAGGCGTGCGAAATTCGCTGCCAGGCTGTCGCAAAACGTAGCAATACCCCAGCTGCCGCTCAAGGGTCGCCGAGATGAGCAGCGTCACGCAGTTGGCCAGGATGACAGCAGTGATGACCTTGCAAGATCTTGCAAGCGTGTTTCCTCAAGGTTGCACCACGTGCCACGCCAACGGACTTTACCGGTCGGAGGTACCGAACCATGAAGGAATACCCCCCCCCCCCCCCATTCCCGGAACACCCATGGCCAAATCATGGGCCAAACCAAATCAGGTTCCCGACGAACTGGAAGGCTGCCGACTGCACCAGCTCGGTGCAGCATCCGCTGCGGGCAGGCTCCTAGGGCCCGGGATGAGCGGGGGTCTTGGGAAGTTTGCTTGTCACTTTGAGCTTCAAGTGCTTTGGGATGCGAGTTCCTGCCTAAAGGCCATCTCGAAGCTTCCAAGTGTCTCTTCAACGTCCGAAGCCCCCGGTGCGCCCTCTTGTTTTTGTTTGTTCGCTTTCTTTCTTTATGTCTTTCTTTCTTTCTTGCTTTGGGGGCATGTTGGCCAGAAGCCCCGCACGATCCGCGCGCCCCAGCGTTGTGGAGTGACTGTTTGGTGTGAAGTGGAAGCCGTCTCTTTCTCTCCCTCCTGACGAGCTCAGTGCCACGTGTCAGCCGCGCGAGGCACCACCTCAACCCTATTTTCTCCAAAGCTCTCTAGGAACCCTCTAGGGTCCCTCTATATAACCCAAAGAGAACTAGTCCACGCTCGGAAGCCCTCTTTTGAAACTATGAGAACTCCACCGGAGCACCTGCAGCGCCCGGAGCCGATCGACCTCGGCATGCCCAGGGCTTCAAAAGGCTTCAAAAGGCTTCAAAAGGCTTCAAAAAGCTTCAAAAATTAAAAAAGGGCCAGCAAGCGACTGCAAGGGACTCTCTCTTGTGCTTCTTGAGTATGTTATGGCCGTTCTGCTGATATATGTCCTCTGTATCGCAGAGCGTGGCCTCCATCAAGAAGTGAAACACTGATGGTAAGCAAGAAGTTCAAAGAGAGCCTTGGGTCGGACCTCATTGAGGCCGAGGTGCCCTTCCGAGCACCGCTTCCATGCAGGGTCCTCAAGCGAGGTGTCAGGTGTGAACAGCGAACAGAACGCAGCATCAGGTAGGTCAAATTCTCAGTCAATCGACAAGAACATGTGTTTCGAAGGAGTCTGAAGAAGATCTGAGCGCGGCTCTGCAACCAACTGAATCCACGAGGATACCCAGGAAAGAACCTGGCACACTTCAAACGACTTTTGCTATGTTGCATCCCTTCTCCATTCTTTTTGCCACTAACATGATTCAAGCAGGACTCCGGATTGAGGTCTTGAATTTGGAGTCTTGCATGGAGCCATCCAACTCATTCTCTTCCCATGCCGGGTGATGAGGGTGATGACTGTGATTGTTGTGTGTAATGTTGGCTTGGGCTGGTGTGGCAGCATTCCTACGGATTGTTAAGCACAACAAAGGTACATGCAATCCGCGAAGCCTCCTGTAAAACCTTGAGCCATCCAAACAGCATTCCAGCCACGTGATCATTGGTTACGAACCGCAAAATACAATGAAGCTTCAAAAACTCCCCCCCCCCCCCCCAACGCACCTGTCTCGGGTCGAAAGCAATCCCAAATCTCTCACCCAAAACATCCAAAAATATTTTCCAGAAGGTCCTTAGGGTCAACTTCATCAGGCAAGCAGCCCTTCTGCACGTAGTGCTGATAGGACTGTTCCAGCCTGTCATGCACCGATCTGGCTATGGCCTTTTCGCCCACGAAACATCTTGAGGAGACTGCCGGCAAGCTTGAGTTGGCTTCCCTGAAACTTGCGGATGGGTGCGCAACAGGGTGCTTTGAAAGAAGAGATGGAGGCCGCACGTCTGTGCCCAAGTCTGTGCAGTGGTTTATCATCGCTTAGGATCCAGGACGCAGTCACATCTTCCGCAAAGCCCTCAGAACTGTGCTGGCTCACCGGAAGTTTCGCTGGGACGCCGTTGCCGCCTTCCTTGGTTCAAGCTCATTATCGCAACTTTCCGAACAATCAGAGCCATGAGAGTGCCAAAACCACCGCCAAGCAAAAAATCACGAACACAATGATGCTCAAGCTCCACAGAAGCTCTTTTCACAGCAGTCGCCACAGGAGCAAAAAGCACACCGCTATATATGATTCAGCCCCGGCGGGCCCCCCCCCCCTCCCCCCTTCCCCCCCCCCCCCCCCCCAATGGTACCCCCCCCCCCCCCTGTGGTGTGGTTGGGGGTTGGGTTTAGGGGTTTTAGGGTTTAGGGTTTAGGGTTTTAGGGTTTAGGGTTTTAGGGTTTAGGGTTTAGGGTTTAGGGTTTAGGGTTTAGGGTTTAGGGTTTAGGGTTTAGGGTTTAGGGTTTTCCCCGCGGATGGGGTACTAAGATGATCCCCCCCCCCCTGTGGTGTGGTTGGGGGTTGGTTTTAGGGTTAGGGTTTAGGTTTAGGGTTCAGGGTTTTAGGGTTTAGGGTTTAAGGTTTAAGACTTAAGGTTTAGGGTTTAGGGTTAGGGTTTAGGTTTTAGGGTTTAGGGTTTAGGGTTTAGGGGTTTAGGGTTTAGGGTTTAGGGTTGAGGGTTTAGGGACCGTAGAGTATACCATGGGGGGGGGGGGGGGATACCATGGGGGGGGGGGGGGGCCCAGGACGCTCGACGCTGAACCATATATGCGATATAGAGGGCAAGCTTAGCGTGCGACGCCTGGGGTGAACAGGTGCACAAGCTGCTCATCTGGTCTCTAGAAGACATTAGGCAACATTCAGAAAACTTCCGCACCACGAGAGTCTACGTCCATGGAACTATAATATGTCAATGTATGGAAGATCTCCACTCCCTAAATTGCTTGGCTTTGGCGCGAGGAGCCTCTCTGTCGCCAGGCCACTTCGTCACGAAAAGCTCGTGCTCCGACGTTCTCATGAACTTCGAGGCTCGCGATGCCGGCGTAGTAGCGGAGGGATTCTCCCCGGGCTGCAGGGCAGTCACTCTAAATGGTGGAAGAATGCGGACGACACGTGTTGCGTAGATAGGACCGGTATATGCTTTGTCTCACTGTCTAGTCCCTACTGCTGCACGGCACAAACTCAGAACTGCTAATCCCTCCCACGGTGATCATCGGGATCCTGAGTCCAGACGGACTTCTCCACCTGGGGCCCTGGATCCATCAGCTCCTTCGTCATGTCCCGCTTGGGCCTTGGGTCCACATGGCACCCCATCTGCGAGGCGAACTGTGTTGAAACCAACACAGTTTAACCGGACAGAATCATGATTCATGGTCCAAGAAGTCATAGCACACAGCAAGATGCCGCGCCAATTCTCATGAACCCTCGCGCGGTCCTAACGCTATCGTCTCAGCTCTTCAGGACTTCGTAGTTCAGTGCAGGTCATGCATTGCGTCCACGTGCGGGCGAGAAACCATATGGCACATGCGACCCAAGCTGTTAGATTATGGATGTCGTGGCGGAAGCTGTCCGCTGCAAATGCAAGCCGAAGAAAGCCAGCAACATGTGCTTTCAGCGTTGAGTTCTTTAGACTTTGCAAGCACATGCGATCATTCAGAAGGCGTGTCGTGCACCATGCTGGCGGGCCCCTTCCAGGCTTGCAAGCCCTCAACAAAACACTAAGGCAATAATATACTGACCATATGAATATGAAAACATGACTGAGTTACAAGCAATACTAGAATTTACCCCTCTGCCGCTCTGCGCGCATTTCGGAGAAGGTGCGGCGTCGCAGGGCTGAGCGGAATGGCCGCCGGAAGCTCAGAGGGCAAGTTCAACTCTTCAAGGAGCATCTCGAAGTCAGACACCTCTCGAAAGGTGAGTGCAGGTGTTGGCGTATTGAGGACGTTTGAGAATAGTATGTATATATATATATATATGCAGTTATTTTCCGTCCGCACATCTCCGCACTACATGTAATTTCCAAACTCTCTAAACCATCCAAACTCTGAGCAACGAAGCTGAACCTGCACCCGGACCCTCTCCCACGGCCACACCACCGGCCTCCCGCGGGGGGAGGTGGGGAGGGAGTGCGCACAAGCCCAGCCAAAGTTGGATACAATGATGTAGTAGCTAACCACGTAGAAATTGCAGAGATGCCATGAGATACTCTCACTCTGTCATTCATCCATACTGTCGATACTGCTACTGCTGCTGCTGCTGCTACTACTACTACTACTACTACTACTACTACTACTACTACTACTACTACTACTACTACTACTACTACTACTACTACTACTACTACTACTACTACTACTACAACGAGGACGACGACTTATTATCATTATTATTACTACCACTACCACTACCGCGACCAGCACCACCACCACCACAACCACAACTGCCACTACCACTACCACTAGCGCTACCACACTATTATACTATACACACGCCTTCTCATCGAGCAACCTGCTAAGGTCACTTCGCAGCTCCGCACAGGCGTTCCTGAGCATGCGTGGGACGCAGGTGCGCTTTGGGCTCTCGGATAAAGAACAGGAATCCGGGTGGAAGGTTCGCAGCTCTTTGTTCAGGTCTAATCGCAACAAACCGCACCGGCAATAACACACCCCCATCACCCACCCAAAGTGAGCCTGGACTGGGCGCCAACATGGCCATAGTGCACATAGAAAATGTGAGACTCTAAATCTACAAAGCAAGACTGAGTATCTGCAGCTCCGCCCGCGCATCACGGGAGCTGAGTTTAGCCGCCCCCTCCGCAGGGTCATCCATGACGGCATGGGTGGTGGCTCTGGACTGGTTGAGGCGTGATGTTCAGGGCGTGGGCTTGGTACACCTGATGCTGAAACAACTGAGTGACTCATATCTCATAACTCGGCAAAGCGATGCCTTGGAGTTCCCGAAATAATCCTAAATTCACGTTTAACCTTCATTTAACGTTTAGATCAACCCCAAGGTTTGTACTGCTCCATGCACCTCCATGTCGGACAGCACTTCATATCAAAGGGCTGCAGTGTCTTTTGAAAACGTGCCCCCATGGGAGTAGCATCGCTGAGTCGATAACTCGGATGGGCTGTCTTCTCAAATGCCGACCATGCAAGATGCAAAGATACATCATCGGCAAGGCCATGGGCAAAGCCTGAGCCCGTAGATCCCCCAAAGACGCTGTCGACTGCTGAGCTCACGGACCCTGCCATTGTGATCAGCATCCAACTGGGCGAAGCACGGCTCCATGTCCATGTCTAACCGAGACCAAGGAAGGCTTCTCACTTGATCTGGGAGATGTAGGACCCAAGCAAGGATAGCTTATGTTCGAGGGATACATAAGGGTTAGAGAATGGGCAGGAACATAGCAGAGTTTCTCACCGTCATGAGCGCCAAGATGTGCACAGTGATGTACTGAACCTAGAGATGACGGCTATAGCGGGCTGTGAATGTCAGAAGCCCCGACAGTGTGAAACTGTGTAAAGCAGCGGAGTCTTGCATCTGAGAGGCCATTCGGAAGCATTGCTGCAGTGAGGTGAATCTAGCTGCTGCCTGCAAGCGCCAAGCCCTGGATCTCCCAGGTTGTATACATGTACTTTAAAGACACCCACAAGATACACAATTTGCTCTTTATTATTTATGAGAACCCATCCTTGAACAAAAGCCAGAATAGCATCAACGGGCAGAGGCACTCCTACAATGCCTACGATACAAGGGATAGTCACGGACTTGCCACGCAGAGGACGTGCTGGCCTCGCGTATAGAATATGTTGAACGCAGTCCGCCGGCAAACGTTCACCGCCGTGCATCCTGTGTATAATCCAGGATTCCGCAACACCACAAGCACAAACCCGATAAAATTAACCTCCCAACGATCCAAAGCCCTCCATGCCTTGGTGCCGATGAGCTCAAGCATGGACTGAAAGTCTTGTGTCATCGGTCCCCGTGGCCCGGCCTGCGAACAGACAGCTGGTGATTGACTTTGGGCAGTGGGGCTTTGGGCAATCTTGGGCCTGAAGGAGAAAACCTAGGATCAAGAGGGCAATGGACTCGAATACGAGGCTCACCCCTCTGCTCCTCTAAGGCCTTTAGGCTGAACTGCCAGCGTCAACTGCAATGCCGCCTGTGCCGGAACGTACTCGTTGGCTTCCCTGGCATGCTGGGGCCCACAGCTTTGGGTTTTTGGCCACGGGCCGAGAAAAAGTACCGCGCTACAGTAGCTGGGTAGTGTAAGTTTCTGAAGGTTCGGTCGGAGGGTTCGGCCGTTCGCTGTGCAACGAACCCTTGTGAAGCCGCTTCCAGGCGAGGTGCAACACTTCTGATCAGGGAAACGCTCCTTCAAGTCGCCGAGTGACCAGGCGGCGGCGATCACAACTTTATCCTAGCTGCCTTCTCACACCGACCTTTCTACACCCTGACTAGCTGGACGAGCTGACACAACAAACCTGGTCTTAATGTCGCTTTCACAAGACTCCTGGTGACACCGGCCTCGCCGGAATGGGAGCCTGCAGCCAAGAGCAGTATAACTTCAACCCAACAAACATTACTGGTACACAAATCGTCAGAAGGCCCTGACACAAATGAAGCCCTGAACTCTCCAGGGCAAAGCAGGCTGCTAGAGATTCTATGAGCTTCGAGACACAGGCTGTAGCCCCCGGCTGAGCGTGCGGATTGTGGCCTGGAGGACCTGGCCACCCACAGGCTTTGTGCGATGGAGGCGGAGGGTGTTGGATGCATTTGCCAAGATAAAAGCGAATGCAACCGTTAGACAAGAAGCCCAAAGGCCCACCGCATGTCCCCAGCTGATGGGCTGTCACATTTTAGACCGCAGCACTTTCACGTTCGCTCGGGTGCCTATGTTTCTTCTTGAGGTCCCCCACCGTCTATAACGAGAGACCGTTGAGGCACGGTAAGATGAGGCAAAGGGGCCTTGCGAGCTTACGACTTCAAGCTGTGAAAAAACAACGTAACACATTTCGTCACCAAACGACATCAACCAGCCTCAATCCAGCACATGCATCAGAGAGCTTCAGCTCAAGCAGATGGCGGGGGATGTGGCTCAGATTCTTCTTGCTCGGCAAAAGGTTTCAGTGGGAGATAGTGGAAGCCCTCCAACAGTCTTCCAACCAAACACGTGGAAGGATGGCAGCGCAGATGCAGGTCTGTGCAGACCTCAGCGCAACCGCAACACCCGACTCTCCAGACAGGAGGGAATGGGCTACACTATGCTACGTAATGGTGTGCGTGTGCGTACGCATGCGTGCAAGTCCGTGTGTGCACGTGCGCGCGTGCACGCGTGCGTGAGCGTGCTCGTGCATGCTCATGCGTGCGTGCGTGGTATGTGTATGTAGGTGTGTAGGTGTCTGGGTGTGTAGGTGTGTAGGTGTGTGGGTGTGTAGGTGTGAAGCTGTGAAGGTGTGAAGGCATGAAGGTGTGAAGGTGTGTAGGCGTGTAGGTGTGTCGGTGTGTAGGTGTGTGTGTGCGTGTGTGTTTGGCTTGAAGCATGGCCGGTTGGGATTGAAGTGTTCCGGAAGCCAGAGCTCTCTTACGAGCGCCCTGGCAGGTAAAGCCCTCACACTTGGCACCCCAGCGCGCGTCGGCCGACGCGGGCCGTCTTCGTGCATTGCCTGGACAGCGAAGAGTCGCGGGAAATCGCAGCAAGTCAAACAGAATCTTCCAACCTGCACCATACAAAGCTCTGAACTCAAAACCCGGTCCTATGCCCTGAACCACAGCATGAATTTCCCTCGTTCGGGAACGTACAGATATCACTGGGCCCCGAGATGCCACACCTGGACGGCTTTCGCTGGCGGGTCTGAGACTTCCCCGCGACGACTGGCTGCGCACCTCTGAGATGAGACCTGAAAGGCGGAGGCGAAGCTGTAACCACTCACAGTGCAGAGTGTCCAGCGGGAAAGATCTGCGAGGTAAACAAGCCAAATGTAGGGGGACATCGGATGCGATTCTCAATCTTTGCAAGCCTTGCACATAGAAAATTGCAATCTTGGCGCCCGATCACACACCACATCTGCTGTGGCAGAAGCCTCACCTGCACCTGCACCTACCTGCCTTCCAACCTACACACCTCTGCACACCTACGCAATGTTCAGAGTGCCAAAGCAGACCCGGAAGCCCAGAAAGCCCAAACCTTTTCGAACTCCAGCAGTCCGGGAACTGGACTCTCCAGCTCGGACAGCCTTTGCCGCACAGCCTGCATGGGCAGGGGCAGCCGATTCCAAAATTTTCCCAGATGGCCAAGCAATGTGAAAAAAACTAGTGCTCCAAGATCGTAAGCTGCTTCTGCACGAGCAGAAAGTGTCAATTGCGTTTTACCACTCCGCTCTGGATCTGTGGCCGTGCGTTGCCCAAGCACTCTGCAACTCTCCGTTTGGTGATCCCATGGGCTGCCTGGGAGACGCTCGCCATGACCTACACAGTTCAGTGACATGTGGGCACTGACCCCTGAACTCGGTGCACTGGGCTACTCTTCACTGCTCATGTCTGGTAACCACTGCATTCAGCGACGCGATTCTGAGTCAATGGTATCGGGTCTTGGCTGACCTGGCCTGGTGCGTCAATCGGAGTCAATCTGAAGGTCGACGCCGCTCGACAGTGCCCATGAGCTTCTGGCTTTGCATTAACACTTCGCTATGCCATGCTATACCTTTGCTGTTGGAAGGTGAGGCATCTAGTGAAGAGCTCTGTAAAGACCTTCATGGTCTGAGAACTGAGGTCTGGGTCTGGAAGCAGGCGCTTCGAGTGAAGCTTCGGGCTGCGGAACTGGCATTGCTGTGCGGTCCGCTGGCTGCGCAAGCGCATCGTGCAGGATGATGCAGTTTCTCCAGAGGCCAGGACTGCAAAGGGACATGGGCAATCAAGCTCACAAACTCTCAGGGGTGCAATTTGTGTGTGATGCAATCGGTTTGTTCCAGCTGGTCACTCTTCGGTCTCTTCTAACTGCGCCACAAGCAAGCACAAGCGCGCACACACACACACACACCCACACACTTGGCATTTGCTTACTCGGTATCTCTCTTCTTCACTACATGTCTCTATCTCCCCATGTCCCTGCACAATAGCATAAGCACATCTGAGGCAGAGCGAATCGTGCACCTCCAGAAGGCAGAAGTCCACTGATGCCAGCGTTTCCCTCCCGCAATGCCTCTAAACACATCCCCGAGACATAAGCTTCGAAGTCACTGGCTGCAAACATTCTCACTCTCGAGACATCCTGCACTTTGCCACATTCCCGGCTCCTTTTCTTCCGTGCTCAGGAGCCAGAATTCGTGTCATGCTTGTAAGAAGGTTGGGCGGTTGTTTGGCTCCTGGCAAGAGGAAAACTCAGTCGAAATACAAGTCCTGGTTGGATAATCTACGGCAGCAGCAGTTGTCGGAGGCAGCAAGCGTTAGTCAACGCAGTGCAGTGCGTACTGTAGCACAGTGATGCAGCGCTGCTCCTCCTTCTTCGTGGATGACGCCTTGGAAGCATCAGCCGACTCCCTCCCAGACTCTGAAACAGCATCCTGCCACCCCAACCCTGGCACAAAGCTGCTTGCATCGAAACAGCAAGAGCATGCGAGAGAAAGAGAGAGAGAGAGAGAGCGAAAGAGCGAGTCAGTAGATCATATCTTTTGCGCCGTAAATGCGTTTCTGCAGTGCTGCAACATGCTTTTGGCTACCCATGCCAGAGCGTCTGCTCCATCTCTGTGGCTGCCACAGCGGGCCGCACTATGGAAGTGGCCCGAGGCGTCCGGACTTTTTCAAAGTCGCAGGAGGCTATGGAGGCTTGTGGCTTGTGCCCTTCTTGGATGTGGGTGCTCCTCCAGGCCGATCACGCCACAGCGGCGATTCTCCGAGGCTTCAGGCACAGTCGGAGGTTGTCGAGCACTATCCCTCCACCTTGGTTGCAAAAGCTTGAATCTGACTTTCCTTCGCTGAAGCTAGTCGCAGGAAGCAAACTACTCAAATACTGGCTTTTGATGCGCTGGCCACGTGTTCAGCCTGGAGATGCCAAGCCACATCCGTGGTGAGGCACAGGGCGAGCTTGATGATGTCATAGGCCACCTTCCGCCGCATCGAGGATCGATTGTTCCCAACAACGAGAATCGGAATACAACGAATACAAGATACAAGCAAGAACCTCGCCAATAGAAGACATCGACACAAGTAGCTTTGACTTTGAATCCGGGGATACAAATAGCCCCTCCGCACCAATTCCTTTGTGCTCCAGGCCACTGATTGCAGCTCGGGGCAGTAGGGATGCGCATCACAACCTCCAGCCAACGCCTTGCAGGCGATAAGCTTGAAGCTTCTTATACCCAACCAGCCCGGGAAAACAAAAGAAAGCCTCGCTGCAAGCCGTGACCATGGTGTCACGGATCGCCAACTCCAACAGCCTGATGAAAGTGCTTTCAACACGCGTGAGGCGTGAAACTGTCTGGCGCTTCTTGGGCCGACTGTTTGTTGTTGCTGAAATTCTTTAGAACCACGCGGCTTGTGGGAAGCCGGTGCTTTCACGTTCTGGACGCCAGTGTTCGAGAAGTCGCTGCCGCTGAGGATCGTCTTGAGGCCCATGTTCGCCTTTCCAACAGTCCAAGCAGACTGAACTTGGGATCTACAACTTCAAGTGCCCCCCTCGAGCTCTGCAACGCGAGGGAAGCGCCGAACCTGACCCCCAAGAGCGCTTGGGTTGGATGCTAAGTAGGGTGTCATCGGTAGAAACAAACCAAGAAGCCAACACAAAACAAGCCCTACGCTTTCGCCCTAGACCTCCACCAGGTCAACCAGGGGATTGTGAGAGCCCATTGCAGCCCTGAACAAGAACAACCTCAGCAACCAATACAGACTGCCGCTAGCCTAAATACCAGATGTTCTCTCTACAGTCCCATTGAACCAATGCCATGAGCGCTGCAATTCTCAACCTTACACCATCAATTTCAAAATCCCCAAACCCGATGAACAGAAGCGGACTGCGGTCTGCAGGTTGGAATGCAACTTGACTCTTGGCATGTCTATCTAAGGTGAACTCATTCCCAGGAGCCACCCGGCAATACCCGGCCCCAAGCCCCCAAACAACTGCCCTGAGACGCAAGTCCATCAACGCCCCCCGCAAGAGTCTTGGGTCGCTCCGCCTCGAAGGCCAGTATCCCTTCAAAGCTGTCCAGGTCCAGGGCTCCAGCCTCACACGCCTCCGGGAGAAAGCTGTCCCTGGCCAGGCGCTCTTGGGAGTTCTGGTGAGGTTCACGACAGGCCGTCAAGCTTCCTGCTCAAGAAGTTGAAGCCCAAACATCCGATCATATGTCGGACATGGCCAGGGCATAGTATTTAGATCCTTTCGACTTGTATATCGAGCATGCAGTTGCAGAATTAGGCAGAACTTGCAGAACTTGAGAAAGGATTTGAAGACGAAGCCGTCACATCCGCACCTCGTGAAGGCCATGTCGAAGTCCAGGGCGGCCAGGAAGGTTCTTGGAGGATCGGAGAGCTTTCGAACTGTTCAGAGGAGTTCCACAGCAAACGGGAGGAACACAACACAGCCTTTAAAGGGCCGTCCAGCGTCTCCACGCGCCCAGTCCCGGGAGGCTTCACCTCGGAGGCACCAGGAGCACGTTATCGGTCTATAACAAATCTTATGCCCCTGCAGGGTATGCGAAAAATATCTGACGAATATCTACTAATCTACTGCAGGTGCGACATGGCTTGTAGGGGGGATTCGCTAAAGCGTCAAATAGGGGACGCGACTCGAAGGGGCACGCTGGCGAAAGCAGCCGAACGAGGTCGTGCTTTGTCAACCCCATCGGCCTAAACAACATCCATGACTATAACGGTATAAGACAACACAGCAAGTTTGTGAAGCTCCAACAAATCCGAATGTGGACGTGCAGCCGTGGCAACCCAAACAAGAAGAACAGGGTCAGGGTATGCCAACAGTGACTCTACAACTGTCGTCCTGCCTCTGGCAGTGCCGACTCCTATTGAGGCCCGGAGCGTAGCGTGTAAAGCCCAAGAAGCCACAAAGTTGTTGCTGTGAGCGTTGCAGTGTATGCCAAGGCCTTGGCTCTAGACTCGAACCATCTCGAAACCATTCAGCTTCTCAGCTTCTCAGTGCATCCAGAAGCTCAAAGGCCTGAAAATAGTTGGTGGGAGGAAGTCACGTGCAGCTACTGTGCCTCAAAAAAAGCAGCGCTACGAGCATCACCCCTCGAGGTCTGGGTGTCAGTCAGTGCTATGCGCCTGTTCAACTGTCCATAACGCAGCTTCCTGTGGAGCAGCCTGGCTAGGCCATGGAAATGACTTAATCGTCAACTAGATTTGCCAGGCTGCTGTCTGCATAGGTTCCCCACGAAATGCCTTAGCAGCTTCTTGGCAGATTGACTCATACAGGAAGTGTCATGTAATCATGGATCGCAGCTTCGCTCCAGCGGCCCGTGCCATGTTCTACAGGATGTTCTTACCCGTGCTCTCAACATGAAACCAACCACCTCAAGCCATCTCAAGCCATCACAAGCCGGCTCCCTGCAGCAGGGACGGAGAAGATTGAGAAACCTCATCGGCTCGGCCAAAGTGCCTTCGGCATGCAGCGCTCTTAGTGTGGCACCACACTCCCAGCCCAGCCGCCAGACAAGCCACCTTGACAAGGGGGGCTGCGCGTTGCAAACGTGAGCGTAGTGGTATCAGTGAGCCCCTGTCACCACACTGTCTTGTGAGCTGCTAGTCGGCTTAGCTGCTAAGCCTGCTAAGCGCTTTGAAGGAAGGGCGCCGTACATCTGGCAACATCAAGTTGCGACAATGTGCATCAGCAACAAAACCTTGCTTGCGGATATGCTTGTGCGACACTGACCGCAGCGACTACAGAAACAACAGTGTGAACCAAGTCGCAAGACCACTGATGGCTCCTTACCTTGGCAGTGGCCATCAGTGTATGAAATCATTTCTTCAAGCCCGTGGCCGGCAAAGACCCTTCCTATCATAGACCTTTAAATTGCTTGCTGCTCCTTCTGAGGATATCTCATACAGTATCTGGTACTGGTACCTGCCGCACACCTCACAAATACCAAACATTGAAAAGCCATCAGCCACGTTGCTGCTTAAGGCTGCAAGGCCCTTGGCCAAGCTCTCACGTACCATGTCCCACCTTGGAGGACGAAGGGCTGTTTAACGAAAAGGGTCAATTTAGCCGAAGGGCCTTCTTACTGCTTCTGGGTGCCCTTTTCCGCACACTCGCCGGTCCATCATTGGTTTATTATCAAGCTTAAGCAATAGCCTATAGCCGAACCCTAAATGGCTAAAACAAGAACCCTGGATCCACTACACCCACCCTCCAGCTTCGAGATGCTCTTGACATGCTCAACCGATTTCATTCTCTGGGTAACCAGGGCGCTTACAAAACCCGTCCAAAATCCCGTGCGACAGGAGTTAGCCATGACATGAGAAGCAAGCCCAGCCACAGGGGAGCTACAGCTGCAGGCACTGCGGTCACCTCCGCGCTGGGGGGCGGCGACCGCTCTCGAAGCCTGAAGGTCACACGGTCACCATGGTTTCTGCCTCTCTTGAGGTCACAGAAAATACGTATTATGAGCTGAAACGCCCAAGCCTCGAGTTTGCCTGCTGCAGCTGGGTGGGCACGTCCGCTGTTGCCATTCCACAGCACACCAGGTCCGCGGTCTGCAGGACCTCTGAGGATTCTTCTTCGCCCCGGCCTCGCAAGATGCACCTCAAGGCCAGAAAGCTGGCGTTATTGGGTTTCAGATGCGCGAATGCTTGTAGAGCAGCTCTATATAGTAACTCACTGATGTATGCTTGGAAACCCGTCAAGGCACTGCGTCAAGTGCTCGAAACCATCAGGCAGTATGTGGGGTAGCAGTTTCAGAAGCCCGCCAAGCAAGTGGTCACCCAGCCGCGCGTTGCTGCACGTCTCAAAAACGGCGCAGTATCGTGAGATCTTTTGCAGCGGCCACGAGGGCTGCGGCGTGTAGCAGTAGCAGCCAAGGGGATGATTAGCACAATCCAGTGAAGCAGCTGCCAGTACCTCGCAAGCCAGCTGCGTCATCCGCAACTCCGTATCTGCGGTGTGCTTGAAGCAGCAACCACGCAGGGTCTGCTCGCCCTTGTCCCCTTTCACCTCGACCAAGAAACCTTCGTCTCGGTTTCCACAGCCCTTGAGCCGAAACCATCGCCCACGGGCTTTGACCAGGGCTGACCTGATGCCAGAGGCAACGCCTCGAACAGCACTTGGGGCCTTGGCATCCTCGCCCGTGCGAGAGACCTTCAGCAACGGCATATTGCAGATTTCTGGGGCCCAGTCTCGGCGTAAGCCTTCAGATGCTTCTGCCTTCCAATCCAAGGCGGGCATGGCCGGCACAACGACCTCATTGTAGCCCTCACCCAGACATGCTAATGGCCGCTTCCGCAGAAGCACATCCTCTGCAGCTTTGCTCCGCGCAGACGTCCCTGCAGGGGGAAGAGGGAGCCACTCGCTGGGCGCATCCTGCACAATACCAGGTACCGGTGCCAGGGTCACGGGAAGGCAGCCAGAAAAGAGCGACTCCTCAATGGCCAGCAGCGCTGCAGAGGCACAAACGTTGCACTTGCCGTTGGACACTTCCTGGCAGAAGCGCCGCTCAGCCTTGTCAAGGGGCATCCCCAAAGCTCCCAGCTCATAGCCCAGCTGCTCATCCCCGGTCATGCCGTTGTCCAAGTTAAACGTCACTGTCTGTGGAATGGGTGGCTTGGGAAGAAACTCCTCCATGGGAGCTGTCAAGAGCGCCGACCACTGCGACACCATCATCACAGCACAAGAGAGGCATGGGCAGACCCAACTGCCCACGTACCGCGTCTCTGCGTGCTTTGGCCGTGGGATGAATGTCACGTCCTTCAAGGAGCTGATCCGGCCTGATCTCTGGGATGTCACTTGTGCATACCTGTACCCTGAGTTCTACGTTGATACTTTATAGACCCACAATGCATCTGACCCGAAGTAAACGACACGAAAGCATCGTGTCACTCCCCGGCCTGGGTTCAAAAGCAAGACCGTCTCTTCCTTGCGCAGGGTTTTCAGGTTCTGCGGACATCAACGTTGAGAAGGTGCAGGAATCTTTATAAAGTAAAAGGCCCCTTGCTGTGGTTTCTTCCCACGTCCTGGAAGGCTTGCAAGAAGTCCAGCAAGTCATTCGCCAAAGACCCCTGGCCTTGCAGAATTCGTGAACAATGATGAACAATGAACAGGAAAATGGCCCATGGGTTTCAAGTCAATTGCATGCTGATTGTTAAGACAATGCAAGAGGGCCCGAGACCACATAGGGCTGACACACAGTAGAGATCTCCACCCTTGCAAACGAAACGGGGATGCCCAGAACGGATGCTAAACTCAGTAATGTATAGTGCGGAAAGATGTATATATATATATATATCATTTTTTATTTATATTTATGTATTTATACTATATGATATACTTTAGTCAGCTCTGTTCTCGCCGCTTCTTAAAATTAGGGCACCAGGGCACCGAAAACACACCTTATGATCCAAAAGCCTCGAACCGTCCTGTGGAATCCCACAAACACAGCATGCAGCCTCGATTGACTGGGCTTTCGATCCCGAACTCAAAATGTCCACGACCAAGTCTCGCAAAGAGTCCCGGCCCATCTTGGACAACGCGCGCGCAAGGAGCCCAGTCAGCTGCGCCCCGCGCGCGCACCTGACGCGCGGCGGCCAAGCCGTTCAGCTCTTCGGTGAGACTGTGGCGTGGCGAGCTTTGGGTCTGCTGCAGAGCTCTACATAGGAACGGAACGATTAAGTCCGGAGTGATTGCACTTCGCAGCAGCTATAAGGCTCAAGAAGGACGTATGTCGCTGCTGCATACAGCTATGAGGCCTTCGCCTACGAGGTGCGAGGTTCATGGCAGACCCAACCAACTATGGAATTCCAAGCGGCCGAAACTGGCGATCGCTCGCCAGAAAAGCTTCGAGTGCCTCCGCACCAACTTCTGCATCCGCCTGCAAGGTACACAAGTCGTTTCGAACTACGACAGTCAAGACTGTGCCATCGTGAGGAGTGTGGACCTCAGGACCACGGAAAGCCGCGTGAAACCCAAAAGCCTGCAGTCGCCTACAGGGCCTACAGCCCGTCTCTCCTCTCTCCTGACCCTGCAATGCTCACCTCCACAGTGGCACGGAGGCGGGAGAGGAGTCCTCCAGGCCGGTCCACCGCGCTCTTGACCTGGGGACAGGCAAAAAAGCCAACGGAGAGAGAGGCTATCCATGTGTCTATTCATGATTCATTCAGATTGTTGTCAATATGCTACATGAACAGAAACAAAGATAAATACGAAACAAGTGTATTATATATATATACATATATGTATATTTATTGTTTTGTTGTTTATGTGTTTTTCGATCTATTTATTTGTGTTTCTTTTTCTGTGCCTGTGTGTCGTTCGCCTAGACCCATGCATGTACTTGCTGATCTATGTGTATGTCTACATGCAGACGTGCAACATGAATATATATATATATATATATATCCGTATATATATATACATACATAATACGAATCGGGATTCGACGGAGCTCAGGAAAAACGGAGTTGAGGGATTCGCAATTGGCCGCAGTTGGCCAGGAGCTTTCGAGGGAAGCTGTTGCCATGAGCAAACAGCCATTCCAGAAGTCGAGATCCCAAAGTCGGAATCCTCCGAACCTCGAAGCTTCCGAGCCGCGGCTCCGAAGGTCGAGACCACGGAGTCGTAGCAAAAAGCGCAGACCTCCTGAGAGAGGCTTGGGAGGTTTAAGGATGCGGGGCAAGGAGCCCGTGAAGGGAGCAACAAAGCGCCCAAACATCGAACCGCCTGGACTTCAGACAGAATCTGTTCAGTCGAGCGGGGGGGCGGGAGGGGGGGGGGGGGGGGGGCGGGCCGACACATCTCCAAAAAAATGAATGCCCTTCGATAGCAAATTTGCAGTCAAGTCCTGTGGCCGGCCAGTGTACAGCTCTGTCATGAACCTCAGATGAGCAGCGGTCAATAGTACTTGTCAAGCTGAAGGACATGGATGTTAGAGATATCGTTTGCTGCGCGTCCCCTGTCGATTCTTCTATTTCGGCGCCTGATGGAAACTATCTCGAAGCTACAATGCAAGAGTCCGGGAGGCAGTCAACAAAATGTGCCACAGAACCAAGACCTCCATGAGACGACGGTCATGTAACACTAACCAAAGAAGATCGAAGAAATCGAAAAAGCATGCCCAACCGACCCTGAACTGATCCTGCACCCAAAACCTGTAGTAAACCCGGTTCAGAACAAAGCAGCTTCCACCCGAAGGACTGGCCAGCGCAGAGCGGGATGCATAGCTCCTTGCACAGGGAGTTCCTGGGCGAGGAGCTGTTGTGATTACAGTTTATTACGTGGGGGACTAAGTTGTGGGTATTGCAGCTAACACTCCACTCGTACCAGCGGAAACACGGGACGCCGCATGCCGTGAGGTCCGTTGGACTACCTGCTGCTTCAAAGTGACGTTGAGGCATCGAGCAGGACAAGTCAAGCAATGACAATTCTCCCCGACAGGGACAAAAGAAACCATGACTCAACCGCTCCAAATTCTCAACACAGCAAGTATCGAAGCCATCCAAGCCCGTTGCCGGACTGAAACTCGCAGGGGCTCAAGATTTAAGGCTAAACGATCCCTGGAGCACATAACCAGACGCATCAGACCAAACCTCAACAATCAAGACCAGCGCGTATCAGCCGAACGCGCACGGCAGACTCAGCTCTCACAAAGGTTTAGGTCTGTAGGTGTGGGTGAGGGGCGAGGGAGGTGAGGAAAGGAAGGTGACACAGTGGGCCGCGCCTGGCATCGTGCAATGATTGGGCGTGCAGGTAGTTTGAGACTAGGAAGGCACAGTATGAAAGCTGAACAAACCAAAAAGGACAAGCGCCCGTGGAGGTTGCTTTCATGGGCTCTGGACAGCCGGGTGTCACACAGTAGTCCCACATGACCCCGACATCGATGGCGTTGAAAACCACAGTACTCTGCCGGGCAAGTTCGACCTTGGACTTCCGGGGCATGCCAGCTGGAGAAGATTACCTACTGGTACCATGGACATTCGCTCCGTAACATTGCTGGCCTACGCTAGCCCCTGAAGACGACAAGTTCGGCTTGCGATGGCTTGAGGCAGCGGAGGACAGGTGACGATCTTGGGCCACTCCGACAGCGCGTCGCAGTGAACTGCGGTCACCTCCAATTCAAGAGCAAGACTGAGGCTGCAGAGCACTGTTGGGTTTGTTCGAGCAATTAAGATGATCATGACAAACCGAATTGCAATGTTAAAAGGCCATAGGCATGTAACTAGGTATAGAAACGGATTATCATGGACTTTGAAGAACTCATAAGAACTCAAAAACTTCAACCATTTTGTAAACAGCAAACAATCCTCGGCAACTCTGCTCGCCCAGGCCTCGGAACGCAGGTTGTGAGTTTCGAGGCCCGCTTTTGCCACATCCACTTTCCTGAGGTCACTACTCGGATCAGAATCAAAACACAAAGATCCTCTAAGTAGACTGCGACAGCATGCATCTCGACATGCTTCTGTAGAATGTGGCAAAAGCCGGCGTCAGAAACCAACCAATTGCACGTCCTAGTGGGACGGACAAACATGCACAATGTACAAAAGTGTTCGGTTTTTTCTGTCTTTTCAGACCAAGCATCCTCTTTCCCACGTCTTCCTTGCCCCCGAGGCACTGCCGGGTTAGGTTACTGGCTGCGTACACGTCGTTGTCCACCTGCCAAGGAGAAACGGTGCCCCCTCAGAGGTAGCCCCTCCACGTTGCCAAATGCCAGTACTGAAGCCTGTACTTAAGCGGGCCGGCTGTGCCAAGATAATTCGTTGGACACCCAGGCGCCCGAGCCTCAGAGAGTCTCATCCCATCCGATTTTCGTGTGATGCTCGGGCTTGAGAGGCATTTATATAAGAACCGGTGGAGAGCCGAGCGACGTCATGGCCACGTTCTGGCCGATGCCCCCAGCACCCAGTACAAGGCAAACTTGCCGTTCGATGAGACCTGCGGATGCAAATGCCAGTTCTTGGTCGTGCATCACTCGCTTCAGTCTTCTCCCCGCCCGGCCATCTAAGTAGGCATACGACGCCCCTACGCATCCCGGCACTCCCAACTGTACGACAGCGTTGGCCTTGCCCGCCAAAATCACTCCAAACATCTGAACACTTTTCAAAGATGCAGCCACCATTTGCCCCTCAAATATCTGCAGTAGATGTGGAGAAAAAAGAGTGCTTGCACGACGCTCTACGGGTCTCTAAGGAGTAGGAAATTGGCTGGAACAGTGGGGCAAAGCCGCAATATACAATTTGTATTTGAGAAACTTTGGTACCCGGTCTTCCGGTCGCTTGAAAACCTTCCAAGGCTGCGGTTGCTGAACCAGACTTTGTTCGGGCTGATTTTGCTGAAGTATCTGAAGTCGCATGTCAAAACTCCTCAGGTGCTGGAACGGCTCTCTATGCCTTTCGGATCCCCTCCCCCCCCCCCCCCCCCCCCCCCCCACCCCACTCACCCCCAAAGCAACAAAGAAGAAGGCAACGCCAGCCAACGGCCTTGGTCGAAGCCTGGGATCACGCGCTGACGATCGAAAGCATCCCCAGCCATCTCCTGCGAGATGGTGAGGAGAGATGGGGTGACTTCGCAACGTTTAGGTCAAGACCCAAAGTGCGGTCTCCTCGGGCGGTGGTCGCTTCCGGTTCCTCAACGGCTCAGTGTTTGCATGAGCGCTCCCCCAGAAGATCTCAGAAGACTTCCTAGCAGGTCCTAGCAGCAGCGCAACGGCGAAAAGCGCATATCAGGTCACGCCAAGCTTCTCGATCTCATTGCCGGCCTTGTACTCTGCAGAATCTTCTGGCCAGCTTTCATCCTTCCGCACGTAGCCTGCGGGCACCCAAAGCAAATTGCAGGAACGGGGGCATGCCTTCTGACGCAAATCCTGTCCAGGGGCCTAAACGTCCACTAGGTGGCACACATCAGGGGCTGCGATGAAGCGAGCAGAAGTGGCTACTCCCTGGACACCCATATTATTGTCCTCTCCGGAGAATAGGCGGAGGCTAGTTAGTTTATTGTAATAGTTTAAACTATTAGTGAGAAAGTTTCTTCCAAACTATTCTTTAAACTAGTTAGAAAGTGTGTTCCAAGAGCTTAAACTCTTGCTGACCGAGAGGAGATAGGGGGTGGGGGGAGGGGGGGAATTAACTAACTCGCTCGACCAAAGTTTGTTCGTTTCGAGCAAAAACAAACGTGGGGAAGTGGGGGGGGGGGGGGGGGGTTGGGGCGGGGGGGGAGGGGGAGCGGAAACTAACTAACTTGCCCGGCCAAAGTTTGTTTCTCCGGAGAAAAACAAACTTTGCCGGGGGGGGGGGGGGGCAAAGTTAGTTTTTCCAGAGAAAAACAAGCTTTGGGGGAGGGTTTTTTCTGGTGGGGGGGGGGGGGGGAGGGGAAACGTCCAGAGAAAAACAAACTTTGGGGGAGGGGTTTTTCTTTGGGGGGGGGGGGGGGGGGGAACTAACTAACTCGCCCGGCCAAAGTTCGTGTTTCCAGAGAAAAACAGCCCCCCCCCCCCCCCCCAAAAAAAAAAAAAAAAAAACTTGTTTTCTCTGGACAAACAAACTCTGGCCGGACGAGCTAGTTAGTTGTCCCCCCCCTTCCCGCCAAACCCTCCCGCCTAAGTTTGTTGTCTCGTCCGACCAGAGTTTGATGGTCCAGAGAACACAAACGTTTGCAACATGGCTCGAGTTCGTTTAGACAGGGAAAACAGACGTTTGCTGGGGGGAGGAGGGGGGGGAACTAGCTAACTTTCGAAGAATGAAATGAACACACGACTCTGATTATGGAATAATGAACACAAAAACGGCAATCAGATTCGAGCCGGGGGGGTGGAATCCACTTCTCTGGTTTTTCGAAGAATGAAATTGAATGCAAAAACGAAAATCAGATTCGAGGGCGGGGGGTAGAATTTAGAATAAGTCTCCCGTTCTCTGGCTTTCGAAGAATGAAATGAACACACGACTCTGACTATCGAATAATGAACACAAAAACGGGGGTGGAATTTAGAATAAGTCTCCACTTCTCTGGTTGTCGAAGAACGACATGAACACGCAAACGACAAACAGATTCGAGGGGGCGGGGGTGGAATTTAGAGTAAGTCCCCTACTTCTCTGGTTTTCGAAGAACGAAATGAACACAAAAACGACAAACAGATTCGAGGGGGGGGTGGAATTTAGAATACGTCCCCCACTTCTCTGGTTTTCGAAGAACGAAATGAACACAAAAACGACAAGCAGATTCGAGGGGGGTGGAATGCAGAAAAGTCCCCACTTCTCTGGATTAAGAATGGTTTCAGGGTTTAGGGGGGAGGGGGGGGGGGAAAACATGCTGACTCGTCCGGCCAGAGTTTGCTTGTCCAGAGAAAACAAACTTGTTTTTTTTGGGGGGGGGGGGGGGTAAGAAAAAAGCCCTCCCCCTTGTTTTCTCTGGAAAAACAAACTTTGGCCGGGTAGTTAGTTTCCCCTCCCCCCCCCAAAAAAAAAACTTAAAATAAAACCTCCGCCAGAGTTTGTTTTTCTCTGGATAAAGAAACCCAGAAACCCCGTTGTCCAAAGTTTGTTTTCTATGCAGAAACTGACTTGCCCCGTAAACCAAAGTTTGTTTTTGTATGCATAAACTAACCCAGAAACCCCGCCCCGTTGTCCAAAGTTTGTTTCTATGCAGAAACTAACTTACCCCGTAGACCAAACTTTGTTTTCTATGCAGGGACTAACTTGCGTCTGCCCTATCTACCCATTCCGAACAAAGGATGCCTAGAATTGTTGTTCCACTACTCTCTTGTTGGGGCAGTCCCCTTCCCCCCCACGAAAGTCTTGAGCCTGAACTCACACACCCCCATGCAATTTAGTCAAATTTAGTCGTTTACGGACGACACCGGCTTGGAGTCTGAGACTCAAGCCGCACTAGAGGGGAGGGTTCCCCAATACGACGTGAGCAAAATGGCTACGCCCTCTTTCTTTCTCACGTGGGGCCCTCTCAAAAGCACCAACCACTAGCCCACTATCACTAAACCCAATAAACCCCTTGTCGCCCTGCTTTAAAGGCCCTAAACTCCACAAACCCAAGAAAAGCGCCCTCTCAAGGCTTCTCAAGCCGGTGTCCTGGCCTCGGAAGTGGCTCCCTGTGAGCTCAGTGCGGACGCTGCTCATGGCTGAGGGAATGATTCTCACTTTGGGGTTGGATTTACTGTGCCGGGCTTCGCTGTTAGCATTCTGGGAGCCTAAGAGTACTATAGCGGGTATGGGTCTTGAAACTATAAACCCTAGAAACCCTAAACAACCCCAAATGAGGATGGGGCAAAGTGATGCTGCAGTCGGCGGGCGAATCATGGTTCATTGGGTCCTTCTGCGAAGTTTGCTTGAGCAACTGGAGGACACGCAGGTTTCCAAGGTGGTTTCTAAGGTGCCAGGGGCTGCCCTACTTCGGACTGAACAGCACCACGACCGCCGCTCTCCTGGCCGAATACCGAATTGTTGAGATCCCTGCCGCCCTTCGTTGGGCAGCGCTGGTGGCTCTGGGCGCCTTGGCACGAAGGGACGACTCAATCATCGATTGCTTCCTGGCATCACAACTTTCGGCTGCCCACAACTGCCCAAGAGTTTGGACAGGACTGTTGAGCCGGTTGATGGACATACCAGCAGCTGACCCGAAACTTTCGCTGAGGGTGTTGCAGAGGTGCGCGTCTGGGCTGAACCTGGCAGCATACTCGCGGCTTGTGCTTGGCAGCCGCATGAGCCAGTAGAGATATGTAGTTTAAGCTGGGGGTCCACGGATGTCCAAGGATGTCTTAAAGGCTACAAGGCTACAGACTGGAATAAGTCAGCGTGCCTGGTCGCCGTCGGAACCGCGGAGGAACTGGGAAGGACCTCACTCAAGAAGTTTTTGAGCTCATGAAGGTTCCCTTCGCATCCTCAATCTCTGTTCGGGCTTCGGGGCAGATGCACTTGTGCTCGTTTAGCAGCCACATGATAATCCAGAAAGCCCCTCCCACGAAATCGCCCGGACCCTCACATGCCTCGCATAATGAAGCTGGGATTCCCGACGGTCCAGTGTGCTTCCAACTGACGGCTTGCCAAACAGGGAGGCCCTTAAGTAGGAAGCGCGGATTGCTTTGAGTTCACGTGAGGCTTCAGGGATATGACCATGCCTCACCTTCATGACAATGACAGGTCACCCTGCAAATTGTGACTCGGCCCGAGGAACCCCAAAAACACGGCGCCAAGGCTTGACAGTTCACAGAGCAAGACCATCAACCGTCGACCCTCAACGCAACCTGAACAACCTTGCCTCAACTGGTGCATGAACCAGTTCAAACTGTCTGCAAAACTTGAACCTCATGCAGATGTCGGGGGCCTGGCCTGCCGCTGGTTGTCGTAAAATTCACGCGCCGCGCATTTGAGAGGCCCAGCTGGCCACCTGCACACACCGAGGCGTCTACCATAGAGTCTAGGGCTGCACGGGTAGGGCATAGTACGGGCATAGCGGCTTACATCTACAATGACCCAAGAGCTCCGTCGTCCGCAACAAGTGCTCAATGCAATGCGTCGTTTGTCGTTTGGTTTGCTCTTCAAGCTGGCCACGGTGTGGCTGCATGATGGACGCAGCCCATAGTGAAATGCTCGTGGCTCGCAAGAATGCGGACTCTTGAATCAAATCCTCAGCGGCCTAGGGCCTAGAACCACGTAAGCCCGTCAAAACTCTGCTGCAACAAATGTGTGTTTGTCCTTGTCACACAACCAACGCCTCGAAACAAACCATGACCACCCACAACCCTCCACAATGCGCTGAGAGCTGCACGTCCGCGACGGAGAAAACACGCGCCCCTCCTCGCAAAGGGGGATGTTGCGAAGTGCAGCTTCAGCGAAGCTGTATCGAGATGATCGAGTGGCTCGAGATCGGCTCACGAAGCCCCTGGCCAAAACTCCTAAGCAGTAATAGAGCCGGCGCTGCAACCGAATGCGCCAAGCCCGGCAAAGTTGTCAACTTCCCATCCAGGGTGAGGGCATCAAAAATGCTAAGCCGCTAAGCCCCCAGGTAGAAGCATGCACAAATAAGGCAAAAACATGCATTTGGCATGGTTCACAAAATTCTTGTAATGCGCAAAAATTGGGGCAGCCTCCTCATCCCCAACCGAAAACCACTAAAACCATCGGCTGAGAATTCCAGAAAGCCCTGCTCGAGCCTCCCAGATGTTCAGCTGCTTGGGCTTCAAAGTCCTCTCTCTCTGTGGAGATGCTGGAAACCGTGTTCAGGGATTGAGAGGGCTTGAAGGGTTGATCTGCGCTGGACTCAGGGGTTAGTTTCCAAGCTCAAGCCAAGGATAAAGAAACCCTTGAACCCGACAAATTTCTTTTAGCACCCACGCCAAATTCTTATGGCCTTATGGTTGCCTGCGAGATCCCACACGACAAGGATGCCTAGCCACGTCCCTCGACGGTACTCTTCTATGATCTTCTATGTTTTAAGCCGCCGTCCCAACTTCTGTACTTGGCGTGAATGGTCTGCAGGCCTGCCAGGCGCAGTTATTTTGCTAAGCAACCAGTCATCATGCAGATCGCCGGCATTCATGGTCAAGGATATCTCGCGCACAAAACCTCCTGTACTTCTTTACACAAGGTCGAGGAAAAATCTGGGTTCCGACGTTTTGTAAGCTGGAAAGGATTGAAGAAGACGAAAGGGTCTACACGGTCTAGAGGCTTGAGGATTGCGGCAAGACGAGGGTCAGGTCTCCCAACAAGAGGCTCAACCAGTTATAGCCTTTGTTGTTGAACTCCCTGCGCAAATTGGCGCTGTGAAGAGCTGCATTTTGTTCTTGTGCTTGGCATGCCACTCCGTCCTGCCTTGGACCATGTGGTCCAATGGAGGTCCAGCGGGTTGGGCGGCCTGAAAGCGGGCTGACGCAGGGCCTTTGGGATTTAAGATTTGCCCTGCTGCGACACGGATATACTATCGTACCAGCCACAAGGCCCGAAACACTGAGCCACATAGGGGTACCATGCGAAGAGTTGGGATTCGCTGCGCCAAGGGGGCCAGCTATAGGGCCAGGGATTATTCGATTATTCTCTTGAACCTGACTCATTCGTGACCATGGCACCAAACCCAATGTCAGATGCAACCTTGCAGCGGGCTTGGTGCCCCCGAGCCTCGTAATTGATTTCGGAGGGCTGGTAGGTTCCTGCTCCTCCTCAACCGAAGCAGCGGACCTGATGGGTTCAACATGGCACCTCTTACTTCCTTGCATCTGAGCACACATCTGAGGCTTTCCCAGCAAACAAGCTGCAAAGAAGATGCGCGAGACTCTGTGCAGCTTTGTTTACGCTTCTCTTTGGCTTCTCTAGCTTTGTACCTACAGAAGGTGCAGTAAAGTAGCTCTCGCTGGAACAGCGCATGTCATTCATGCCCAGCTTGATCTTAAACCAAAGCACTAGAACCTGCGGAACTGCTCTGGTCATTCGCTTCGAAGTTTTTTTTTCCAGCTTTTGGGCTTGGTGGTGCAGTTCTCGAGGCCACTGCGACGACTTGTGTTGAACCTGCTGGTCATCGTCATCGCCGCTGTCCTGCTCGACAGTGTGCTCTCAAGTCGGATGTTCAGCAGTTTTCTCAGATGTCGCACGTCGAGTGGTCCTTAGCCTTGGAAAAGAAAAAATGGGCGCAGCAGTGAAAATGAAGATTCCAATGCAGGAAGCTGCAAATGACGATTGTGTGAATGAGGATCTTCACCTACGTCAAGGCTGATCTGGGTTGGAATAGTAAATCTTGAACTTGCAGAAGGTTTGTAGATTGCATCACGACCAATCAAATTCATTGGCAGGCGCAGAGGATTCGGCGCATAATTATATTGCAGAGGGTTTGCTGCTGTAGGCATACCTGGTTAGTTCAGGCAACGCTTGCACTAGTTTGCACGCATGGCCAGGTCAACACACAGATGTAACACGTCCCACGTAGGTAACGGCGAAAACGCTGCAAATAACAGTGTTTTGGGCCTGTTTGCAAGCTGCATGCACACTTGTCACAGTGCGTCTGCAGAAACATCAAACATTCTTCTGCGGTATGTTTTCAGCACAAGCGCGAGACAGTCCAGTGTTGTGGGCATGTTCAGAAAAGGATCATGGTCGCAACCACCCCCCGCCACATGTGCAGAGTCGCATAAAGCCTTAAACAGAGCAACGCCAGTGCAGGGTCAACGAGTCGCAGCTTTGTTTTTGGCAAGTGCTCATCGTGGTAACTGTATAGAGCCAACTGAGAAACAATTCAGAAAGGGAGGCAAGGGTAACCGAAGTTCGGCCAACTGTAGGGTAAAGCTCGAAACTGCAATTTAAAAGCGCTCGAGTCCGCACTCCTCATCTCCTCTCCCTGAACTCTGAGTCAAGGCTCCCTGCCCTCCCCCGCCGCGTAAGCTTGGGTGTGGTCCGTGTCCCAGGCGCCCAGGGGGAGAACTCCTGCGAGGACCTGAAAGGCGTTTTTCGGGGGGCAACTCCAGGACTCCGTTTTTCTCCATACTGGGTTTCTCCTGGCTGCGCATATCTCAGCTCATACCTCTGGTCAATTTATCCATCGAGCTGAGCCTAGGGCCTTTGGCACGTACTGGCCTCAGGAAGAAATATCCATGAGTGAACAGGCACCGAACAAGTGTAGTACACAGGGGCTAAGATTTGATTTGGCCGCTGGGATTCCTGCCACGTGCCAAGTAGCGTCTGTTGTTTTGGCTTTCTGCATTTGGCAAATCCAGTGCACATGGCTTGGCTGGGCGCCGCACCTCCACGCAGTGAGTTCGCCTCACATTCGTAGCAGGCCCCGACAGCTCATGAAACGACAGACTTGCCTGCAGTTGTGTGGAGAAACAACAATGAATTCTTTCGTTGAAAGCTCCCTCACAGCATTGGATTTTTGCGCCTGGGCTATACCTTTCATGAGAGCTCGCTCTCTCTGATAGATGCCAGGACCCCTTGTGCGTTGGCAGCCTCGGAGATTTTCTCCAAGATCTCATTGAACGACACCTATCAAAATCTGCTCATGAGCTCAACCGCCCATCGATTCGATGCCTTTAGACACCTCAAGTGCAAGTGCAACGCTCAAACGGAAGTCAACACCTTGTCGTCCAGGTCCGGCTCCACTTCCTGCACAGGACTCCCAGGGCCTCTGAAGAACTCGAATACTGCCGAATACTTTCAGATTGTTTCCCACAAACGAGATTCTTAATTTGCCGGTTGCCTGGCACTTGCTAACACACGCATCTGCTGGGGCACCAAATTCTGCCAGCGTAGACCCCAAACGGTAAAAGAGCCATGTGAGCTCAGAAGACCAAAATCGGCAGCTTCGCATTTCGCGAGCCCAGAGATCCAAAAGCAATGACAGGGCGATTTTCGTCTAACATTCGGGCAGGCTCGAGAAAACTGATGGTCCGCGGGGCGTGCGCGGCCCCTGCGCGCGCGGCGCGTGCGCCGTGCGCCGATCCTGTCACGGTACCGTGTACCCTCGTCTTTGCCATGCTCGCCATATGGCACGTTGGCCGACTTCCCCAAGATCTCGGCGCCCTGAACCTGCTCATGGTGAAATCGGATGAAAGCGAATGCAGCACGGTCCTCTGCAACGGCCACGGCTGATGCTTGCGATTTAGTCTTGCCGTCGGATGTGGAAGATGTCCTGGATTGCTGCTTGGGTTGAACTGATTCTGCCGTTGTGGTCACAGCTGTGGAATGCTTTCAGATGCTTGAAGCAGAGCCAAGCAAACCATCTAAGCAATGATTCATCCAGTTCTAACCTGAATGTCAAGACATGTCCTACCATACCCTGCAGTTCTCGATCTGGATCAGTCTCGATCTTAATGGTCACCAGGAAAGATCCAATGGCCTACACCTTCAGCCGCGAATACTGGTCCTTTGTCGGCGCATTGAAGATCGACCACTTCAAACTAGGCGGCGTCCTTTCGGGCAGGATTTGTAGAATATGCAAGGGCTTCAGCAGGAAAGCTCTTGGTTGCAGAATGGCTTGGGGCGGAATATGGCAAGCTCACGTGAGTTCGGGCGATGTTCCCTCGTGTATAAGGCAGCTTCGTTGCTACTATGGCAGCTTCGCACACACCACCCAGTATATACGCTTACGAATATTAAATGACGAAATATTTCTCTATATATATGTGTGTACGTGTCGAGAACGAACATCAATGTAAACCCTGCCTCATATTTCATCTCCTTCCCTCCTGGAGCACGGTTTACGTGCATCTAAGAAGCTACATCAACTTAAAGGGTTGTTGCCTACGCAAGCCTTGTGAGGTTCAGGCAGTGCGAATCCCTACCCCAAGACAACTTTCCATTTTCCCGATCAAAAACCAAGTTCCCGGCCTCGGCGGCAACAGACAGCCCCGGCAGCAAGTGCTATACAGCTACAACCAGATCCAGGTAGTCTCAGGATCCCGCGAGAAACACATTAGACTTGAAAGGGGGCTAGCTGACTGTATAGGCGAATACTTGTAGCAATCTGCATTTTAACAGAGGGGTCCAGAGAATACCCGCTGATCGGTGTCAAAGCAAGCTCTGGTTTTGCCGTCCAAGACCTGTATGGGCCACGGGGTGCCAAGCATACCATGTCTAACGCGATGCTCACGTCGGTTTGCCAGCGACGGTCTTGGACTCAAAGCCAGTACTGCGTAGTAAATGTACACTCCACCCACTCAACACCCGATCAGGATGTCTAGGTGGAAACTGTCAGCGAACCCCTCAAGCAGGTGGCCCGGACAGAATTGGCTAACCATGCTGTAATAGCCGTCCTAGGTGGGTCCGCTGCGACGGATATGGGGGTTTCGGAAAGTAGGGGGTACCTTTTCGGGGGTCCCTGAAAGGGGTTTCTTTTCTATTTGGGGTATAACAGGGGCACCCCTATTTGGGAAATACCCACATAGATCATGGTGTAGGGAGAAGGGGGCCTTTAAGAACCTTGCCAGCTTCCGCGTTCAACGAAAACAGATCGACATCTTCGGAGTGACGGGTCAGGGATTACTTCTTACTGCACGTGTGGAGCCTCGGCACTTTGCAGAGGGTTCGCTGAGCGACGTCGCTGGGTGGGCTGCGGAGGAAGGCCTGACGGCCGGTTCCAGCGCTAAGAGCTCACCTTCACAACGACATCTGCTGGCCTCACCCTGCGAAACTCTGCTTGATCCGTGGTCAGCACAAGTCGACTAAATAGCTTTTCACATGACTTCCGAAAAGGTGAAGCCCACCACATCTGAGACTTTCCTTACAAAATATTACAAGATTGCTCATGGCCCGAGATCTATAGAGAGTTTCCCGGGTGGCGCCCTGTCTTCGAGCGCCGGTTATCGGAACGAAGCGCCGGCTGAAACTGCCACTTTGAGCCAGCTGGGACGAGCAAGAGGGTGCTGGTCAAATGGAGAGGCTTCGAGGGAAAGACTTCTTCAGATTTCAAGGCCGGCATATACTCAGAGAGACGGAATGCTGAAACGAGAGTCCACTAGCCTCGGCAACTCATTTTTCTCCGCTTTTCCGTTTCCTGCGACCGGGCCGCCAACGTACCCTGAGTGCAAGCTACACCTCGTCATCATTCAGTAGCATGTTCGGGATGCTGTCCTGGGAAGTTCCGGGGATGGGAGACCCTGACGCTTCTTAAAGGGCTCTTCCACACTCTGGCCAAACACAGAGCCCACAACCAAAGCCACAACAAAGCACGCGGCAAGACTCCAAACACAGGAAGCAGCCTCTGAAGCCCCTCCTTTTCCCCCCAAGTGTAGCCAAGCATAGTCAAATTGGGCTCCCGTGCGTTAACTGGGAACTCTCTGCCAGATTCAGGGCCTTGCAACTCCCAGGGCTTCTCGTCAAAGGTTTCCGAAGGGAACATATGCTGCTGCCGCGACTTGAAGGACCGTCACCAATGTCACAACGACTTCGCAGGGGGTTTGTTGAAGCCCGCAGTAAGCCGCTGCAATTGAGACTTTCCAGCGCACGAGTTTCAGCAGCAGAGCTGAGGCCCCAGCAAACAAGCTTCCCTTCTATCAGGTGCAAGTCAAAGAGGACCACCTCATCAGCAGGTTTCCAAAGTGGGGACAAGTAGACTCAGGCTACTCAGGCTTAGACAACAGGTGTGAGACATGGAAGAAGACTTGAAAACACTTGAAAGGGGATGATCCTCGAAAAGCCTTCAGGGGGCCCTCTCTGAGCCAGAGGCGTGAAGCCTTCTCAGGAAATCTTCATTCTGCTCCTGGGCAGAGATGCACGCACTGGAAGCCACAACAAAAAAACAGGACAAATAGGATCCAAGCCTACAAACTCGAAGATGCTGGCAGGCCGGATAGGAAGTGCTTCTCCGAGCGACACTCTTCTCAGGACGTCTCTGCATTTCATGCATGCGACTACTGCACCCCGGCTCTTGGCCCTCCATGAAAAAAAAAAAACGATTCTTTGATACTTTTTCGTAGAGGCGACGAGGGAAGAGGCAGCCAATCCGCCAGCAGGCTGCCGAAGGCCCTAATTGATCCTACAGCGATTACCCTCCACCGCAATGCGCCAGGATGCATGATCCGCTGGCACTGATGCCGGCAGCTCGGGGAAGGCTGGAAGCCTTGGGCCATGGGGGATCATCGGGATCACATCCCTGCGACTTGTCTACAGCGAAGCTCGGCAAAATGAAAGGATACCGCCATGCAAATTTCAAATGGCACGCGGGCGTGCAACGACTTTAACGGCCTCTTCAGCTGAGGCCGGGTCGCCTCACTTCCTGCGATGTTGGGGCATACCCGGACTTCGGCTAAGGCCTGCGATGCACAGGAGCTTAAATGCCAGGAGCAGTTGCAGTATTTTGCAGCGCATTGAGCCCAGCCATCTCGTCCTGCTCTGGAATGCAAGCTTGGCGTGCGCCTTCAACAAAGCATCATATTCGAGCTTTGGAATCATGGCGCTGACGAAGTCTTTGTCGAAGGGGCTCTCCTGGCAGTCTGCTGGCGAATGGGCAGTGTGGGAACGCAGGGATGATCCAAACCTCATATTTCATGGCTGCCGCTTGGATGATGAGCGGGTAGCCCTTCTGTACGCCCTTCTTGTTGCCTGGCAGAGGCTGGGTCAAGAGGGCTGTGCTGGACAATGCGACCGACTTAACAAACAAATAACATGCATGAGCAGAAGCTTAAACAAGACCGCGAGGCATTGGAGCAGATTATGTGTCAGCAGCCTCATCTGACCCTGGGATGCAGGCACACATCCTGGAACTTCTGTGGTTTCGTCAAAGCTGTGATCTTACTGACCAACCGCGATGATCACATAGCAAGCTTTGCGATATCACTTTCCTGGGTTTTCAAAGCTCGCCTTCAAAGCCTACCATGGCCTTCGGGCTTCTCAAGTCTGCCCCATCTCTCAAGTAGTGGCATGCTTTGCCCTCCAGAGTCACAACGCCGATCCATAAGAAACCTGACGAAGAGAGCCCCATGGAGCCTGAAGCTCCGATGCCTCGCGTATACAACTCGTATACAAAACCTGCAAGCCTTACTTCAATTGCTGCTTCAAAAACTGTCTCCCCTGAATCTGAAGAAGCCTTCTGACCTCAACACAGCCCCGAAGGCACCTGAGAGGGCCGAACGGCCGCGCGCCGTCGAATTGCCCCGGCTGGAAGCCCAAGCCACGGGGCCGGCAATGGGCACGTGCAGCAAATGGAGCATTTCTCAGTGTGGGGGGTTTCGAGGCGTTGCAAAGCTTAAGGGCGAGACTGCATCGAGGCTGGCTATCTTCAGAGCGGAGTGGAATTGACACACTATCTGATTTCCAGGCTTTCGGACTACTCATGCGCCCCGAACCCGACATCCGAGACCAAAGATTTTCGCCCGTGCCTCCAGCAGGCTAAAGTGCCCAACGCTGCCAAGTGCTGAAAGAATCCTGATACGTAGCCCAAAAAACCAAGCCCAAAGCAGCACTAGCGATCCACCTTGATGCTAGTGACGTACTCGAACAGACCCAAGTCTTGAATGCTGAAAAGTGAGTCCGCTGGAGTTTTGTTCTTCTTTTAAAGTAAATACTTGACAGCATCAAGCAGGTGTAGTTCCCCGGACTTGCGTTAAGTTTTTCGGGTCATCCGATAATGAATTTCAAACTGAATCTCGACGGCACGAGCAGCTCCCAGACCCACCGAGCCCCCTCTTTCTTGGGGACATTTTAGCCCCCCCCCCTCCATTAACTTAGGCAATTCGCGCGTCAAGTCGACACGCACGTTGCATCTACGGGCTTGATCAGTCGTGGGGCACTGCCACCACACTTGCCACGCACTTCATGGGGCTGACTCTCTGTGAACTATACTGCTTTTGATCTCCGCTGCCACCTTCAGAGGTAGAGGCCCTCGTCAAGCTTGGCGGCCACCTTCGAAACCGCGGGCGAGGCTTTAAGACTTTCAGATGCTGCAAGTGGAGACAGGAGGTTTCCTGCGCTGAGTTCCCATTCCACTAGAGCAGAAGACGCATTGAACAACAATGTCATGTGCCTGCCCCGGCGGACGGAACCGGACCTGCGCAGCGTTGTCACCACGACAGCGAGACTCAGCAAGCTAAGAGGGGTCTGCGTCTTGATGCTTGGGCTGTGCGGTGGCCTTCGGCGTCTTACTTCCCTCTCTCTAACAGCGATGTGCCACAGGGGTGCTGCTGCTCAAGAGTCCACCGGTGTGGCAAACTGCTCAGTTGCAAGCCTCTTTCAGCCGAAGGCCCGATGCGTCCAAGTCCTGCCGAAGCACTACAACCAGTCCAAACGCATTGTGCATTTCGGAGCTGCCTCTGGAAGCACTTGCATGCTCATCCATTTTTACTTGCTGCGCGCTTGAGGTGTAATTGCAATTGTGTCAGGCTAAACGGATCATGATTCCATCACGTTGCCTTGTTCTGGCCATGTGTGCCCTGCAAGAGTGGACACCTCGCACAGTGTGTTTTCATGTTTGTGGGTCAGCCGCAATTGGCCGAGGTTGCTTTTGGGGTCGCAGCAGTCTCTCCTGTGTGAGCTGTACGCACAGCTCCACGTCTACAGGGCTTTCGGCCTTGGCACAGGAACGAAACTTGGAACACAGCAGTGGCGCACGCCGTACACCTTATGTTTTGTTGGAAAATCAGGTTCGCGCAAACACACCTGCATACACCTGCCAATGATGGCGGTGTTATGCGGCTGTGGTAACACTGTGTTTTGCTAGCCGGTGACAGATATCCTCGGTGGCGCTGCGCACTTTGCACAGCAGCATCCCACAAGCACTTGTCATCCTGTTGGTCCCAATGTGTTGTGTGTTTGTGCGTGTGTTTGACTGTGTGACGCGCGTGCGAATTCACAGGGCGTTTCTGAGTCCGGCGAACAGGTGCACATCCTCCCTCAGCTTCCCTGAAAGCCATGTCACGCCATGGCGGCATAGGCGATCGAAGAATGCTGACCTCAAGTTCTCGGAGGACCTCTCTACTGCCCCCACCCCTCAACTAACCAGTTGAGGATGAATTTGCGGGCGCCCTACTACCCTACTAAGCCGGGTGCAACATTTTATGGCACATAAAGCAAAACCGACTCTCGGTTGTGTTTCTTAAAACTGAGTTGCCCTGCTCCAGGTCCGGATCTCGCTCCTGCACTCGGACCGCAGACTGCAAGTGCTAGGTGCTCCATGCTTAGATGCTGTACGAGTGTCACAGCAAGCACGGCACGCATTCAATGGCTCGGGAAAGTCTCGATGGTCAAGGAACAAACAAGTGCGCGAAGGAAAGCTTCCGATTTAGGATTTCCCTATTCGCACAAGACAATCCCAGGCACATGCCTGGTACTAGTTGCTACTAGCAACATCTACACTGCAGGGTTGAGGGGGATTCTGTGGGTTGAAGTCGACCCCTTGATAACTACGACTAGCCTCAACAAACAAGAGGGCTCCTGGACCCATGCCGATGCCTATAGAAGGAATACCAAATGCGACATGGGCCAAGCCCTCTTACACTGTTAGGTTAGGGTTGAGCAAGCTGCCTTGTATGCTATGACAGCAACACCGCCGTCCGGCTGCACCTGGGCTGTAGCACCCCTCCACATGTACAGGCTCTTCTCAATGAAGGTGTTGAGACCTACAAGCCTACAAATCCTTGTGGGTGCCGGTTCTGTGCAAGCTTTCTTGTCCATCCAGAACAAGGAACAAAAGACTGTGACAGCTCACTTGGCTCCTTTGTGAGTTCAGGTTGAAACTGCTCAGCACTCCACGCAAGCAACCACACTGGAGACCAAAGCCTCCTGCCAAAGTTGTTCGGCCAACGTGGCTGTTCTGGGTCTAGGCTACGCACAGCTTTCATGTGTTCTGTGCTTCGGCCGAATGCTGCAAGGCTCACCAGTCCAAATCGTTCAAACGCGCCTCGAAATTCAACCTGCCTAAGATGCATCGCTACAAGCAGCATCCCCTCCCCCCCCCGCCAATGGACCTGAAGCGCTCCGTCGTACAGGAGGTCTGCCAGGAGTAGTGCATCAAAAGGCGCCCCTTCCACAGACGCGCCCTGGAAAGCAGGCGAAGGACGGAGAAGTAGTCCGGCATGTCTCTTATAATTTCATCGTCCTTGACCTACCCTTTCTTTGCCCACCCCACCAAAACTTGCTCAACCTAGCTTCATGTGCGCAGCTGTTTGGCTCGACGATGCCTGGCTGTAGTCGTGGCTGAGGAAGAGCACGTCAGACGCGCCTAGGGGCATCTAGGGGCCAGGGAAAACAAAGAAACATATCTACACGGTATGTGAATGGTTACGTCCAATGAGGAATCCATTGCAGGACATGTTTGCAGCCTGACTCGGTCAGCACCCGATGGTTTTGCTTCCGGTTCTCCGTCGCCAGTTCGACAACCTGCTCATGAACATCTTTGGGGTGCCAGCTCGACCCAACTATCCTTTCATCGGAACCTGTCGCCCGACCCTCTTGAACGAACCCCCCCCCCCCCCTGCTTCCCCACCCCTGAAGCTTCTGTCTTCCTGTCCCTGGCAGAATCTCTACAAAGCAAGCCCGCTGTTCTCTCAAAAGGCTAGGCCCACCTCGGGCAAGTCCGTGGCCACCACTTCTGTGCCTCCACACATATCAAGTTGCGAACCTTTTGCGGGTCATGGGCAGGGATAGCGGCAGGGATCCAACCTTGCAACTGGCTGAGCAACTGCCAAGGCAAAGTCCAACGCTCACAAGTCGAACTCGTCTAGGCTTCGTGAAGTCTCTATGATCGAAGTATGAGGGTCCGGCCCTTTAACCCCTTCGAAACAGGCCCCTAGCCTAAGGACTGTGTTTGAAGAGTATCCTAAACACCCCAAGGACCTACGTAGGAGCCTGGCAGGCAGGAGCTCACGAGCGAAGGCAAAGCGGAGGCGCCGCAACCCAACTCCAGCCTCGGAGGCTCGGAGGCTGACAGAGAGAGCGAGAGAGAGCGAGAGAGAGAGAGAGAGAGAGAGAGAAAGGGAGAATAGAGAGATAGAGAGCGAGCATAAAGGAAACACGTTGAGCTCACGGTGAAAAAGGGCACGTCTGCTCGACAAGCCACTACGGATTTAAGGGCGTCAATGCTTGTCACGATTGATTAAGGTAGGGACACTCGCAAGGACCCACGCCGAGGCGTGGGAAAGCCTGGGCTCCATGCCGCGGAAAGCTTCGGAGCTGACTGGATACGCACTGACCGTCGTTTGTTAGTCTTGTAGCATTTGTAGCCTTATAACTCTTTAGCGAGTACCAATTCCGGTTAGACCACCAGACTACCAGCACCGGCTTGCCCTCCTCCTCCTCCTCCTCCTCATCAACATGCCGAAGCAACGCGGGCCTTGACGAGCCACATGACGCGCCAAGATGACTGCAGAGCCTGAGTCGAGGCATGTTTCTAAACGCACGAGATAGAAACTTTCTGTGTGGTCGCATGTTCTGGTTGCGGGGACTTGCATTGATGCTGTTGGTGGCCGCATTGTGCTCCGACAGAAGGGAGTTCACACCATCCGCTGGCTCAAGTTGCAGGCAAAGTGCTCCAAAGTAGTCCTGCAGGATATGGCGTTTTCAAACTGTTGGACTGAGAGGAGAGAAAGAGAAGAGAGAGGGAGAGAGAGAGAAAGAGAGAGATGTCGAGTACACTACAAAAGCGCAGACGCTCGAGCTGCTCAAATTTTGTCGCGGCAACTGTATGCTGAGCGGAGCCGTAGCATGCTTAAAATGCATCATGCAGTTCGTACGACTCAGCGACTTCCTCGATGTCATGTTTAGCTGCTTCGGGCATGACCTTCGGATTTTCCTGAAGCCATGCGGGCTTCATTCCTCTGGCAGGGGTTCAAAGCTTAGGGGCAATTAGCTTTGTTACGCGAGTGGAACCATCAGATCAGTGCCACATGTACATGTGGCGCATAAATGCGTACATGTGGCTGTACACCCATGGCTCAAACACAAAACGCAAGTACAACTACGCTTACACTGCAATTCTCTCCCACAGTAAGCATCGTGAAGCTTCCGCATCCGGAGCCAAGATTGCAGTGATTGTAGGGCCGCAAGTGTTGATCCGCAAGACAGAGGGTGCACGGCGGCTTTCAGTGATCGGGCACCGGCCTCCTTGCGCCAGCGCTGCGTCTTGCCGGAAGGCGAGCTCCACCTACGAGGAGGTGCATAGCACCGGAAGGTCGCATGAAACACGCCAATTGTGCATGATCATTCGCCTCGCAGCTCGCTAGTGTGTGAATTCATCAGAGCTTTCCGAAGGTCCGAAGGTTCCCACTGACGCGCGAAACGGTTTGCCGAAGTAGTAGCAAGGCCGCACAATTTTCAGCGGCTAGAGGTCACGTCGCAGCAAATGCAGCTCGCAAAACACTCGGACGTGGGCTTGGGGCCAGAGGAAGCATTCGAAGGTGAATTGTTCGAAGACGCGCAAAATGGTGTTCCATCTGCGGGATTCTACATGTACCGACGCGCATGCTTTCTCACTCCATGAGAGCAGGGGGTGGTGAATGGGCACCTTGACAGGGAGGGGAAGTTTGCCATTCGGCCTCGTAACAATGCAGTCCTGAGATGATGGACTGCTAAACGTCTGGAGAGCGCTTTGCCAGACACAGACTTTCGCAACCACCCTGTCAATTCACGAGCTGCAGAACCACGGCCCAAGCCAACCTTACGTGGTCAAACGATGCGGTCTTCACGTACGCAGGCAGGCCACCTTAAACCATAACTAGGCATACGGGTCCGAGAAGCCAAATCCCTTTTTTGAGCCCTAGAAAAGCAAATTCCGGCAATGCACACTTTAAAGTCATGGAATTATAAATTATAAATACACTCTACATATGCTAGAACCCGTCAACTCGTGTCACAACTTCAAAATCCTGAGGATGCAAGATTTGGCTTATACCAGTTGCCTTCACGAAGAGTGACGACAGATCTCAGGGCACTGGCCCAACCATGACTCGATGCAGACAAATATATTGGCCAATGCAGCCATCAGTCGGACAGAAGGGTGAACATGACCACACAAGAAGCTGAATCCATAATATCCCCGACACACAACGCCACAGCGCTGTAGCCAGCCCCTTCGCCCAATAGTCCTGCAGCATGCGGCTTAAAGCCTTCCAAAGCCTTCTGAATTCACCGGTTTCACGGCGGCCTCTCTGCCGTTTGGCAAGTGGATGACGACAGCTCGTTCTGCCTGCTCAAGCAGGAGCAACTGCATCGTATGGGCTCAGGATGGGGCTGAGGATTGGAGGAGTGGTGTTGTGTTGGACAAGCCAATCTAATGCTTAGTTGGGCTCAGCTATGGACCTGTGGATCGCCCCGATCTGTGTGCATCCTTTCCTTTCTACTGCTCTGTGGTGTCTTCGCAACTTTAGAAACGTGTTGGAGGTGAGGCCGAGTGATACAATCATGCGGATTTTCGGGTGCTTTCTGTGCATGAAACCTCCCATACCGGCCTGCAACGCTGTTGGCTCATGTAGCGCCTCAGCTTCATCTGCGAAGTCTTGGAGCTGCTTGTGGTGCGAACGCGGCTTGGTCTGAACATGAGCCTTGCAGGACGTTGAAGCCTTTTCCTTGGAGCGGTGCGGCGGTCGTCAGAGGCGACCCCCTGCCTAGAGGCCTGACTACGGTTCTATTGGTTCTAGAACTTCCTACCTACCATCCTGCCAGATTCTCGGTGCTTACGTGCTTCCGGGTGCATTGCGGAGCACGATACGAGGTGAAACAGGCTATCAGTTGGGAAGCGGGGGGAGCGGAGGGCTCAACAGAGAACTGCGCGCGTCTTCGGGTTGTTTTGAGTATGGCAAAGAGTATGGCAAAGGGGGGTTGCCACCATGCTGCCCAACTGCATGCTACCTAGCTACGTGATCAGCTGCCCAGCATACCGCTTTTGCGGAGGCTAGGCCCCGAGCTAGCAGTGCGCTTGGCACTTCTTATTTTTCGAGTTAAGGGCAGAAACTTGTGACCCCAAGCTGAATGCTTCCTGCAGGCACATGACTCTCGACTACAGGGCGTCGTCGCATGACATCAGCATGTCTTGAATAGTGCAGAAGCAGGTGCTGTTCAGCTCACAGGAGTCGTCCGAATTACCTGGATGGAGCTATGTCTGGCAAGCTTGGGGTCGAGGACTTGAGCACTGGATCCACGGTGAGGGGTGTATGTGGCCGTGCCCAGTCTGTCACCGTGCGAAAGGGCCGCTTGTTGGGGGGCTCACTCCGCCGTGCCCGGGTGATTGGGTCGGTGGCGAGGTTGGAAAGCGTCAGATCCCCTGCGGAATGGTTCTGGCCGAGCCGTAATTTCGGATTCCCAGTACCCTCAAGGTCGTCTTCGTCGAAGATCCCCCGCGTTCGAGCACCCGGCCCCAGCCAACGGTCCTGGAGCATGGCATTCACGTGCAGCGATGCCTGGAAACTTTTGATGTACGCCTTGATTTCTGGAAGCTGGAACAACAGCTCGCACCTCTTCAAGCAATACTTCACATCCTTGACGATTCCGCTCAGCAGCTCTGCCTGCTCAGGTGCCGCCGCCAGCACATGATCGCGCAAGAACTTGAGCTTCTCGTCCATCTCTCCAGGCTCCCCGCTCCAAGTGCCAAAGCCTGTTGCCAGCATCTCCTCACCCGGGGTCTCAGCCCTCAAGTTGGGCTCCGGGGCTTGCTCTGGCGCTTGCTCCGGATCTCCCGTGGCTAGTGTGGCTACGGTGGCTACATCTCCAGGCACTTCCACGGCTCCCGCGGCCTCCGGCTCCAACGGAAGCTCAACAGCCTCAACAGCCATCCCCATCTCTTTTTCCAGACCTGGCTTCTCGTCCTTCTCCGCCTTCTCCTCGGCTTTGCTCCACATCCGCTCCAAGGCGGACACGCGTGCCTCCAAGGAGTCCAGGCGACCAAAGATTTCGGCAGACCGAGACGGTGGGCGAGCCGGGCCCTCACCCACTGGCAAGTCCGTGGGTGTCTCCAAAGCCAGGCTGTCGGAAAGAACTTCGAGCGAGGCTGTCAGGCCCTGAACCTGCGGGCAGTGCAGACATTTCCTGACTAACTTTGTGCATCGGCCGTCATAGAACCAGTCTTGAGTCTTGAACACACCTTCATCTTCTGGTTCAACCTGCAGACGCTAACCCCAGGCCTTGGATTCGACAGTGGTCACGCGCACCTGCAAGGAAGCTTGCGACAGTGCACGGGTGTCAAAGATGTTGGGCTTCATTATATCAAGGAGGTTAATTGCCGTAGTGATAGCTGCTGGGCTGGCAGCTTAACAACATTTTGCCGGGTGCTGCGAGCAATCGGCCTCCATCTCTGCTGCCGCCAGTGCCAGGGCTCCAGTTGTTGGCTCGGCCACGGCACCGCAACCTCGGACCTTTGCTTAGCGACAGGCTGTGCTACTGAACGCAATTATACAGTAATTCACACGCAACATAGAGGTCAAGGTTGGACTTGGCATCCTGTGGAGAACTCCCCCCTGTTCCAGTTCCAGCCTCCGCAGTCGCAGGCTGTTTAAGATCCGCCAAGGCCGTCTCGAGAGCCGAGACCTGCACTGGGGCCTAATATACATGTCTGTAGGTAAGAAGACCCCCTCCCACGCCCGAAAAGACGGAAACAAACTTGGGCCCTCTTTGAAGCCCCCCCTGCTTTCAAACGGCCGGCAGTTGATTTTAAAGACGCCACATGAACATTCTCATGACGCCCCGAAGAACTTGACTTTACAGCGGACCCCCCCCCGCCCCCCGAAACAGTGGCCAGATCCTGAAAAGTAGCGCGGCCAAATTTGTCCAACGTCAATCTCCAATCTCACAATGCAGCAAGAGCACCTTGTCCTGCAGCTCTTGTAGGGACCTTAGCTCAATGCGAGTCGGTGCATCAAATACTATCCCTTTGCATCACATGGCTCTGGAGAGCTTCAAGAGCTATAGAGTCCACGAGACGCCGGACCGCAACACAGCTAGGACCTTACCATTTACGAATGCTTTTGTTGTCAGAGCCTTGCACACTGCACAGCAAAAACGCTGGAGAACCTCCGGAATCTCCCAAAGGACCCCAAACAAACCCACCCGCCGTAAGAGTCAACTCGGCATCCGGACCCCAACGGCTGATGTGGTGCTGCTGTCTCCGCGGGTGTCTCAGCCGCGGCCTCCGCGCTCGCTTCGACCGCAGCCTCCTCCAAAGCTTCAGGATGCGATGTGCACGGGTCGGGGGGGGCTCCCTAAACCCTAAGGATCCCTAACGCCAAAAAAACCTAAGCCCTTGTATGTGGGACGATCACCAGGTTGACAACGTTGTAGTTTTCCTTCTAGTGAGGTATGGTGTCGAAGCACAGCCTCCTGGATGAAATCTATATCGGCCAGCTAAGTGCCGCTGATTGCCGCAGGAGGGGAAGAAAGAAAAAGCTCGGAACAGCAGGAAGTGAAAGGGTTTGGACCGGTTCGGAGTGTGCTGCGGGGGATTTGCAGCACATCACTGCGAAATGCCCTTCTACATCTCGTTTCACTTGCGCAAACCCAAAGCTCCGGCGCCGTCATCTTGGTTTCTTCATCGTGCTGCACGGTGCCTTCTAAGCTCCTCCTGGGATGAAAATGGGAGTGATCGGAGGCTATAGCAACTGAGGTCGCGCACCCTATAATCTTTTGAACATTGGTAGTTGGCGCAGCTGTAGTTTGGATTTTAGGAGCGATAATTCCGCCCATCCAGGCAGCTGCTCATCCTTTTTGACAATGACAACAGCTGCCACAAGGCCTGAACCTTACCAATCCTGTATGGTTGCTACGGGGCTCTATGCTTCGCAGAGTAAGGAAAAGGTGAGGAACACAAGTAGGAAGCACTTCCATGCAACTCTGTCGAGATTTGAATGCGCGACACAGGTACGGCGCCAAAGCTTCCGCCACCACAGTACGGCACGTCCTTGGTGAAGGCTTGGTGAAGCACATGCTCAGCACAGTTGCTCAGATTGGGAGGGGGGGCATTTGTCGGCAGCCGTTCCAGCTAATTAGAAGACGAAGATCAAAAGCAGATCTAGAATCCTGGAAGCCCGAATGTCCAGCTCAATGCCAGTGCAAGCGTCTCCTCCACTCGCCGCAAGAGCTGGATCTGCAGCTCCGCCTCCCAAAGCCCGGCTTGGGAAAGGATGCAGAAACGGCAGGGCCTGGGTGTAGTTGCGGTTCGGGCTGGCGGGCCTCCAGCCGGACGAGCTCTTCGGAGATCAGCGCCTCATTGCGTGAAAAAGCGACGAAACCAAGCTTCATGCGACTCTGCAACACTGCCTACACTGGAACACAGATAGCGGTTCTCAATTTATGTCTCCACGCGCATCTCAGTTTAGGACTTGAGACAATTTGAATATGCGTCCTAGAACGTCAGCTTCCATACAACAATGGATGGTAACCTTTACCGAATGAAAGCGCAAGATGCCCTTGTCTTCGGTCTTCGGTATTCGCGCCGGCCGGCGTGCGGCATCTTCCAAACTTGCAACCGAGGGTCCCGGAGGTCAGCCACCCCAGTCGTCACATCACCAGGCTCTTCGGCAGCCTCGCCAGAAGGGTCTGCAGACAGCTGAATGGCTTCTTGGCTAATGCGAACGTTACTTTCCATTGCAGGAGGCTTTCGGGCTGATATGTCTAAACAAAGCTACATAAGGGGGTCCAGTGAAAATGTTAATGGAGTGACATTTATCAATTTTGGCTGGCCAGAAGGCTAAAATTTTACAGCAGATTGCTTCAGCGTTCCATTGCAGAGAACAACAGACAAACAAAGGCGCGGTCGCAGAGCAAAAAGAACTGCAGAGAGGAGGCAGCACCCTTGAAAACATGCGAAAGCAGACCCTTCTTGACAGCCGACCCCCCCAGACCCCCAGACCCTCTGTTTTTACCGCCCTCAAGACCCGGGAAACCAAAACAAAATCTGGGGGGGGGTCATAAAATGTAACCTAAGGTCTTCCACAAGCTGCTGGCAACGGCGGAGGAAACCGCGGCCCCTCTTCAGAAAACAGGATCGCTCAGGCCCTTGTTTTCGCAGCCAGATTTTCTCCCTCTGCCGATGGCAGCTATGCGGGTGGGGTGCAGCAAAATTCACCGCCCTGCGGTGCGCCCAACCTAGCTGTTTTCCTCTCCTGCAAGGAGCCAAAGAAACATACTTCATCAACCACTCCGGGTCAACTTCTGAGTCATGACGATTAGGCCTTTCCACAGGGGTGTATCTGGCCGTCAGCCCTGCCACTGCCCGAGCTTGTCGGGTACGGGCGTATGAATGCACCCGAACTCCGGAGCCTGCGTGGGTGGTTCCGGCACGTCTTGTAAGGCTCCTGCAGGAAAGGGAAAGGGAAAAGATGCTGACCTTCAAGTGGAGGTGGTGGACACTTCCAGTTTTTAGTCTTTAATCGCATCCAAGCACTTCAGCATTCCTGCATCCGGAAGCATGAATCTCTGCCGAACAGCAGTGGGCCTTGATGACAGCACCGCCATGAGAACTGAAGTCCATGCAGACTCGAGGCTGCACAATTCCCAAGCCCTCCCAAAGCCCAACTGCGTCCTGCTTCCTGCGTCGCCTTTAGCGCCCCCTCCAGCTCTATCTCCTTGCAAGTGCAGTCAATGGTCAATGGGCCCGGAAGGTTCGGGCCGGAGCCTTTTGCAACTTTCACGCGGGGATAGAGTGGAAACTGTTGATAAGCTACCATATTCTTTCGCGGAGAGCGATGACGAAGCAAGCTGCGTTTACCAGTCAACACATTTACCAGTCAACACACAAACACAAGCACGAGCACGAGCACAAGCACAAGCACAAGCACAAACCCACCCACCCACCCACCCACCCACCCACCCACCCACACACTCAGGTAACCTTCCTGACAGCCAATACTGGTACCTCTGATCTGCGAGCCACATCAGCTTAGACAGGCTAGCTGTCACTGAAGTACATCATGCTCCTGAATTCCTCTGATGTTTCAAACTGGTGTTGACAGTGAAGAGAACTATGAAAAGGACATTTGTATCGGCAGATTAGGTCCTGTCTGCTATTTGCAGGTACGCCAGACTGATCAGGTCTGGTATCCCCCAGGATGACTAGCTTCGTTGGCACAGGTCATCATCCTGGGCTTGTGCCGCCTGCTCAAAAAATAGATATGGTTGACTGTAAGTGAAACCATTGGTTACAGGGTTGGGCACACAGACAGACAGTCAGTGGGTTTGGCTGTGTTGACAGCACCGGATCTTGAAACGTGAACTTCGGTTTACAAGCTGCTTGGGTTTCGACTCTCACGCTGGCGCACTCCCTGGCAAGGATTGGGTTTAGGTCAGTTAGGTCTGAGTCTTCTCGGGTGGGTATCACATTTGGGGAGGAGAACATTTTTCAAATCAACTGAAATGGCTTGCTGTAAACTGGTGTGCACAATGTACCTTTCCCATACCTTCAGAGTTCTTGATGATCTGTTCATGTAGCCCTTGACGCCTAGAAAAGTTGCTATCCCAGCATGGGCAAACTCCACTACTTTGCAGCTCCGGTCCGACGCAGCACGGCTCTGCACTTTCTCAACCACATCTTTGGTGTACTCCGCTGCTATCTCGGATGCTAGTCCTGTCACAGTGCCGGCACTCAAGGGGCCTTTCCTTTCTTCTTCGGGCTGGTTGAAAAGTCTGAAAAGGCACCACAACAGGATCAGAGGATCTTCTGCCTGACCAAGCTGGGAGGGCAAGGAGGGCGTGGGAGCATCAACATCCAACATGACTGCGACTTCCTAGATGAGGACATACCAGTACAGGCAACCAAGAACAGAAGGAGCGGGCAAAGTCGGCACTAGCTGCGAGCCTGCTCCGAGGCCTCCGTGTAACTTTGCAGAGGCCTGCCAGACTCGAACTGACAAGGGCTCGGTCGGTATGTGCTTCGGGCACCTATCACCTCAGCCATCCTCTCAACGTTCACGCTGCAAGGAGTTCGCGCCTGGATCGACTCCACCTCAAAGCTGAGTTTGCCCAGCACGGTGCGCCTCGGAATCGAGCCGCAATCCGATGGAAGTGATCCTCACTTGGCCTTCCAATGACAAGGCTTGAAGCTGAAAGCCTTCTGAGTGCTCTACTTGTAATTTTGAGGCAAATGGAGGTGCAGGGAGTTGGTTTCCGTTTCAGGTACTGAGCTACGCAGCTATGCCAGCCCTGCGTTCCCGTGCTTTGTTGAGGGATTTCGGAGCTCTTGCCGCCGGAGAGGCTGCTCATGAACCACTTGCAACAGCCAGTTCACCTCAGGCGCTTCCCAGACTGTTTTGGATCTACGGGAAGCTTTTGTTACAGAGCGTTGCAAGCGTCAGCCTGGAAATCCTCACAAGCATGATCTACTGCTAAGTTCAAGATAGGAGTCAGCTCTGCAAGCTTCCCTGGTATCTCCATCGATCCCTCTGGTCCAAGCTGCGCTCTCCAAAAGAGGAGCAGTGTGAAGCGCCAAGTGCCTAGTAGGAGTTCGATCGGGCTTCGCAACAAAGTTCCGAAAGTTATATGCCAAGGTCGTGAGGATTCGAGGGAGGGGCTTACGGAATTCCAGGTACCGAACTTCACTTGGCTTTTGGGGCTTTGCAGGCCCTGCCGAAGAGTATTTCCACCAAAGTCGGCTTGGTTAACTGCTGTCTGGGAAAGGGCAAAGATGGCAAGTCAATTCTGCCAAACGTTGTATGTTGCCTCCTACATGAAAATTGGCAATCATCCACCGCAGCTTGTGACCAGTCAAGAAGCCTGGCAACCGCCACACACGAACACCTCCCTTCTCAAGCTGTGTAACGCCCTACTAAACTTTGACGAAACCCTCCCTGCCAAAAACTCGAAGAGCTCACGAAGCTCTAGAGCCCCTGAAGTCGATCCGCTTCGCCATCCGCAGCCGAAGCCCTGCATCCCAAGCCGGAGAGTCCCAAACCAAGCTGCGAGGCATCCAGCGCGAGCCCATGGGGTGGCTCGCTGGAAGTCTGCCTGGCTGGGAGGGTTTAGGGCCAAATATCGCACTTTGCGCGCCGCAGGATCTCGACGCAAGGCTGTTCATGGGTTCACCACCCTGGGCAGCAGGCCAAAGCTTTTGCGCGGGCTGTGCGTGCAGATTGATTTGTTGGCCAAGGGCCCGAAAATTCCCAGACACCCCTCCCCAGGAGCACCTTCAGATCTCCAAAAAACTCCCTCTCAAAAGCAGATTGGGCCGTGGCATGACTTGGCCCCGCGAACTCGTAGCTGGGACGTGCCTAAGCCAGAGGCTGGTACTGTGCAGCTGTACTGTTCATAGCACTTCAGGTCCGGCTCTGGCCGGGACCAAAAGGCAAAAACCAGGCACGTGACAACAAGCCAGGAATTGCAGTCCTCAGCGCACGACCTTACGGAGCGCCAGCATGCGCAGGCCAGGTTGGCGCACGGAGCCCATACGGCAGCGAGGGCGATACGTTCACAAATCCACGCTCATCCCGACATGCCCCCAGCAGCCCCAAAGCCATGGCCAGCACAAGTGCACAGCGCACCCCGGCGCTGGGCCCCAGCGCGAGCAGCGAGGCACGCAGCGTCCGCTGCGCCGCCAGGTCAGAAGCCAAGCGACGGCCTCGGCTTCGGTGTGGCTGGGGCTGACATGGGCTGCTTTGGGCTTCAGTTCGGTCAATTCCCCCCAACGTCTTCCACCTGGACCAACACTCCGTGCCAAGTGGCGCTCGCGCTCAAGCTCTTGCAAACGACGGTAGGCCTCGCCACAATGGATGGGAGGGAATGGAAAGCATCAGATGACGCCATGTTGTTCCATGCTCTGCAGATTAAAAGCGCCCCCCCCCCCCCCCCCCCACCTCCTCCGCCGAACCCTCGGTCTGGTAACCTGCGAGGTGAGGTTTCTGATGCGGAACAGCGAAGTTCTTGGAGACTATAAAAGCTCGGACTTCCGCTCGTTCACATTTTCCACACCTCCGGATGGTAGTGTGCTCATCTGCAGCGCGAGGGCAACGCCATCTTTCGAATGCCGGGCTTTCGAGCGTCGTCGAGCTTGACCTGTTGCCTGTCTTTTTGAGCTAAGTCGATTTGGACAGGTTGCAGACGCGGAGGCTGTGCCCTCAAATCCCTCTGGGCACTAGACTTCGCTAGACCTAGCTTCTCCTAGCTTCTCATGGGGGAACCATGATTGGCCATGGAGCATGCCCGTGTTTTGTGTGGGCGCCGAGACGACTTGGGTCGTTCTCGCTGGCTACTGCACCCCTTGCAGCATTCATAGTAGTGCATGTCCTTTTGGTTGAACTACGCAGCTATCAGTGTTCATGTTTTACGTGCGGCTGTTGCAGATGCTTGTCCTCACTGAGCCGGCTCTCCTTCAACAACATTCGTCAACCGTGTGATTCTCTTTTGTCAACATTGTTAACATGTGATGTTACAGTTGGTTGTTCTGACTTGCGGAAACAGGAATGCGATCGGGTTCCGGGGTGTGGGTGCACTCCAGGTCACTGCACCCGAGAAGCATGGGCTCATGGTAGTATTATGGTGGGAACCGAATTCTCCAATATGGTCGATTTGTGCAAAGGTTTCTTGCGATCCTGTTTTCGATACTCTGCGAATGTTAGGACTATTCGGACAGAGCCTCTTCTGTCACATACACATAGACATGTACATGACGAATAAGTGCATTTGACATAACTGTTTGTTTTTTACAAGTGATTCTGGGTGTAGATGTGGAATGCAAGCATGCGTGTACGTGTATGTCAAAAGCCCTGCCGCAACCTCGGAAACTTTTCTGTTGAAAGCAAGTCTGGGCTTCACATGCGCGATGGCCTTGTGCACCGCTCCACTCTCGGCTCTTTTGTCGCGGGTCCATGGTGGGTAGAGGAAACTCTAGAAGATTGCTCTAGCTCTTCGCCAAGGACCGACATCTTCTCTTGCCAACCTCTTGCCCTAGGCGTCCAGCCAGCCATCCCAACTGCGGCTTACGTGACTCCCTGTCAGTGGCAAGCTGGCAGCAAGTAAGGCTAGCAAGCTTCGTCGCTTGTCAGATCGGGCGCTGTAGTGAGAGGAAAAAGAGAAGGGGGAGGGCGGGCCAAAGCCGGGTTGACAACCATCTGGTCCAAGAGCGCCCGCTATCGTTCTCCGAAGGGCAAGTCAGTTGTTGAAATTTGCTTTTGCACTGTCAAGGCTGGCCCTAGGTCTCTACGGGTTTGCCGATTTCCTAGAGTCTTAGAGTCGTCTGATCGAAGTCCTGATGAAGTCGAACATCTAGCCTCAAGTTGAATCTGGTTCCACCGACATGAAACCTGAACCGGAAGCCGGACACCATCGGTGCTGCGTAAGGCTTCGGCCCAAACAGCCAGAAGCTTGCACACAGCTCACTAGGCACACTACTCGCGTTTTTGTCATCATAGCAACAGCAGGGTCAGAAAACGATCAACTGCCGTTGCGAAAGGATGAACAGTCATGCCCAGCTCTTCCCAGCTCTCAGATAACTCAGATAACGATCTGCACCTCCCTGGCGAGCCCGAGCTTCTTCCTGGCCTCATTAAGGATGGCATCGTCACCTGGCGTTTTGCTGACCTGAGAGGCATGAAGGAGCCTGCTCGATGTACACTACATTGAGTATTCACCAGGACCTGGACACTAAGCCGGTCTTGTGGAACAGTTCGCTGCAGTGCCGACGAGCCACCGTCCCGCCAAAGCCCCCGCAGCCTGCGTGAAGCTTCCCCGAAGGTGTGAAATAGCGATTGTCATGCCTGGGATTTGGAAGCTTAGGCTCAGGGCACAGGAGAACTTCCCCATTCCCCACACTTCCCAACAAACGCCGAATCTTGAACACACAGCTGCAAGTGCTTTCCGCAATCTAGGCCTCGTCAGTCCTTTAAGACACGTCCCCATTCCTCCATGGGTTTTCAGCGGATGGCGTGTGGAGATGTTCTACACTCTTCACATTTACATGTGCGAAAAACTGTGGCATAATGTTAGCGCACACCTGCGCAATAAGCATGTCACAAGCGTTTTCAAGGTCCGGATCACGAGCCCTGCTCCCGCCACCCCCTCCCCCGGCTCGGGTGACAATCAGATGCTGCAGTTGGGGCAACCCCGCGTGACGGCAGCATCGTCTTGGTGCAGGCACATGCGGAGGAGATTTGCGAAATCTCAAGCACCAAGACACATGCGATCGCCCAGACATGTGCCCACGGTGTCCGAGGTCATAACCACGTAGTTGCCTTTTCTTGCGTGCTCAATGAGTCATGATGTTGCTATCGAATGAATGCGTAACGAGAGCTGCTGGCATAGGTGGGTCGTCATCGTATTGGGGCAAGCTGCGGGAGGATGAGGCAGGTCTTCAGCAAACGCCTTTGCTAGTGCAACTCCTGCAACTCCCCTGCAACTCTCCTGAAGATCTGAATGATCTGAAGCGACCCAGCGGCCGTAAAAGTAATCTTCATGCCCTTCGATGGTGTCGCACACGCCCAAGGCCTCGCCCACCTTTGCTTGAACGGGATGGAATGGGATGGGATCCAGGCATGATGGCCTTGCAAACACTTTTGCATTCTATCCTCCAAAAGGTACGTACCCTCAGCTCTAGATACAGGGGCTAGGCGTATTGAGAGATAACTTCTTCTAATGCTGTCCAAATGGCGTAGGCATCCACATTGTCGTAGTGGTGGTTGTCATGCCCACCGAAGTCGTTTTTCATGGCCTGGACCAACTTTTCATGGGTTTAGGAGCTGAGGATGGTTGATAGTTTCGGGCTCGTGGGGTCATTGAAGTTGGTTTCGACATTCTGGGGTGGGGAGTCATGCACAAATTGACTGGATTTAACATCATCGGTTCGCTAGAAAAAGTTGGCCAGAACTTAATAAAGTCCCCTCAGGCAAGTACAGAATCTACTGCCTAGTGCTAGATGATTGTCCCATATCTGCGGAAAAGAAGCACTCGCACGCTATGTGATATTACACTACAAACACTATTTTGAGCAACACGCACTGCGATTCAGGTCCGCAGAGCTCTCTCGAACACGCTTTGAGAAAGACGTCGTACGAAGAGCGCTCGTACAGACCGCGATCCATAGCTCGGGACTCAAGTATGTGGTACCCAAAGCTCGTATTGGAACCTTCAATATTGACACCCCATTATTGGATCGTTCAATGCTGACCGCCACCCAAATCCTGTGAACCATTCAATATTGACCCCCGCCTTGTCTTCAAAATTGCCAATCTTTTCGCAACTCTGACGGTTTTTGTCCGGCCCCCAGAGACTCATCTCAAGCCTAGCTACGCTAGCTTTCGTGATATTTATTCAATTTGTTATTCCACAATTATGGGAACAGCGGGCTCAGAGCCGGGCTCGTTCACCGTAGACTAGGAAGTTGTCGTGGGTCTTGTAGTAGCAGCTGCCGTCGTCGTTGTCGACACCCTCCTGCTTTGTAATGCTTTAGCACCTTATCGAATGCCGTCTTTCTTTGAACCCGAACTAGTGCCCAGGCCATGAGACGGCTCTGGCGGCGAAGCTCCCAGAGCCCTTCTGCAGCCTTGGGGGCCTTTCATGAAAATATGCCGCTGCTTGTTATGCGCGTGCACAAAAAAACTCAGCAGCGCGTGCCCAGGACAACTTCCTGGTGCTCGAAGGCCCAGGGCTTTCGCTGCACATTATCGAAACCTCAGAAACAACACTTGACAGGTGTAGCCCAAGACTCCGTACACGTGAACACGGATTTCACTTCTGCAACAACAAAACATGGTTATTGTAAGACTGTACTTGATGATCACAACAGTCCTACAATTTCCTGACCCCTGCAAACCGCAACTATCAGTGGCGCCTGGGGAGAATAATTGTCGATGAAAAAGTTGTGGTGAATCTCACGCCACTGCATGATCATGGAGGGCTCCTCGGACGAAGGCAAGATCTCATCTGAGCGGTGTTTTTTCTGTATGGTTTTACTTGAAACAAAGGCATCTTTGCGCGGATCCCTTCCGCAGTCCTTCCGCGAGTACCGGTCGCTGGTTCTCTGGCCCAGGGGGCATGCTTCCGCGATCGCTTCCGCGAACGCTTCCGCAAACGCTTCCACAGACGCTTCCGCAAACGCTTCCGCGAGCCCATTTCGTGAGAACTTGCTTCCGCGAGCATCTTTGTACAGTGTAAACCGGAACACGCCGGAACGGTCCAAAGTGGCAAGGTGGAGGGTTCAGGGCTACGCTGGTTTCACACGGCGACTGGTTTTGAGCCTTCCCTCCCCCCCCCTTTTGCCGCTTTTCGAGGCTCGATGGAGGGTTGCTCATCAGCTGAATTTAGTGCTTGCTACAATAACAACCATGTTGCAGCAGTACATATTCTTAATATTCATATTCATATTCATATATTTGTATATGTATATATATATATATATTGCAACTATTTATCTGTATCTACATATGTATGTGTGTATGTATGTATGTATGTATGTATGTATGTATGTATGTATGTATGTATGTATGTATGTATGTGTGTGTGTATGTATGTATGTATGTATGTATGTATGTATGTATGTATGTATGTATGTATGTATGTATATACATAGGTAGATACACAGTGCATACACAAAGTACCTCTTCCACGGAAGCTTCCGCGCAGATGTGCTTCCGCAACAACATCCCCATGCTTCGGCGGCCACGGTCCCATGCAATTTCGCCCCACCCCCCCTTTCTCGGCCTTATTTCCGTTTTTGCATCGCATACACCGCTCGTCTTAGTGAGTTGAGGATTTCCGGCTTAGCTGGACGGAGTTTGAACGTTAGACCGCTCCATCTGACCTACAAGAAAGCTACGCAGCTGGCCGACTTGGCAAGCACCCCTTGGTGCAGGAGTCTCGGGGCTGATCCCTACATCATATGTTCTGCCTGCCGGAGAATCGTTTAACTAGTCTCCTTTGAAGATTCTCTGGCTTGCTGTCATGCGGGCTGCGAGTTGCAAGTCACAAAGAGCGCTGTTGTTACGTGCACTTCCTTGCCACTGATGTTTTCCCGAAAACCGGCCCTGAAAGCCCTCTACTACGCCCCTTTACAAGATGCCCAAAGAAAACCCTCAAAAGTCACGCCGGAGCTCGCCCGTTCGCACGGTGGTCAGGAAGGGCTGCCGATCCCAGCTGTTGAAAGGTCCATGGTCCCCGCTCTCCCGGCATGTGGAGAACACCTCCACATCCACGCTGCGGGGCATCACTGCTGGGATTGGGGGCTCAAAATCGGGCATCTCGGAGATACGCGGGGCATGGCTGTTGGGGTTGAACAGGCTTCGGGTTCCTCGACCCGAAGCTCTGCCGTGCTTGAAAAAGGGTTTGTAGCTGAACATACCTTGCATGGTGTCAAGCAGACGCGCACTAGACTCTGGGCCAAACTCTGCCCCCTAAACCGACGCGCCGCAACCCGATCCCTGGAGTTTGGGACGATGCACCAAGTTGAAGGCGATCTCGTCTCCTCCGCCAAAGCCTGGGCTTGCGACTTGTGCTTGAGGTCGTTGTGGGGGGCGAAGTAATGCCGGTTGAGAGTTGACATGCAAGTAGAGGGTCGAGCCAGCCATTCAGCCATTGAGAATTGGGACTGCCCGTTTTCCGCCATGAGACGAGGCTGACGAAAAGAAACTTCTGACAGATCTGGAGCGACGTGCGCAACAGCCTCCTCAAACAGCAGTGATACAGAAAAAAAAAAAAAGCAAACGTATGCAAGCATCGAGGATTTCAGGGCTTCCGGACGAATTCTCACCTGTAACCTGTGTCAAAACCCAGCTTCCTTGGCAGGCATTTGGGGCCGCACTTCTCTGGCAGGCTTTAGGAAAACCTGGAAGGACAAGGCGCTCCGGCCTACGGAAATACAGGCAGAAGCCGGCGAGCAGAATAAAGGGTTCTACGTGTTGTCATTTGCTTGAAACAACGTTGTCGCTCTGTCTAAAGTCTAAAGTCTAGATTAGATGTCCGGATGAACTGATCTCGACTGCTTTCTTGATGCACAGGACTGACAACAGCCCAGACGCCATCGTTCATGTTGATTCCTGCACGAGGACCATTGAAGAACACGTTGGAGAGCACCCTTGACCTGATTGATGGGATAGGGGCCGACCTGCCTGTAGTCAACGACGGGTCTTGAGAGGGACAAACAGATGCTTCATTAGGGCCCCGTGCCCTTCGGACAGTCTCTAGGATCCAACGTGCTGTTAAGGCAACGCATCTGTTTCCACACGACTGCAAGTCGAATGTGTCCAAAAAAACGTCTCATCGCGGGTGTCTCGCGGGCACTGGATGGACAACACCTAGCTTCCAGTAGAACAGCGCAGCCCTGAAGACAACCGCGTGATGGCGTGAACATGCAGTGTCTACACGACACAACAATAGCTGTACAGCTTACTGAATTCGGGCGTCTGAACGACACTTCTGCTTCCACAAGCAGAGACTGCAACATTTTTGTATTATCGAGAAGTCCTGGTCAGGCAGACCATGGCAGACCTGACTGAGGCTAATCCAGTTGCGGAGATGCCCGGTGGCGCCGCCGACCGCAGGGGTCTCTTTCAAGTCTTTTGGGGAACGGGGTTCACATGATATCCTTCCCGACAATTCGACGAGTACCTCATACCGTTACCATTGCAGCTGGAGGCTGCAAACCGCTCCAAGCTATGACACTACGAAACCTCTACCATGACCATCCTCCTAGGACCGTATCTGGCTTCGTGCTGGAAGGGCTTTACAAATGTGGTCTGTTCGGCTACTGTATTGAGGCTTCCGTCGCATAAGGCTAGGGTCCTCGAGTTTAGGGCTGGGCTGGGATATGGCTTCATCGACGCCGTCGAAGATTCAAACAAAGGTTGCTTCCGCTGTCCTGGCCGCTTGTCTGGAGCTCAGCTCCCTGTTCGCATTCCGCGCGAGCTTCACGACACTTTGTGCTTCTGATTCATGCTGAAAGCGAGCTCCGGGGCCGAACCGAAACATTAAACTAATACTGACTCGTACTCTTTCAACTACCGAGGCGCTTTGTCGCAACCAGGTTGTGTACTGCGATGCCCATCGAACTGTGACTTCTGCGCCTCGGCAGCAACTGGGCCTCGAAAAGCGCATTTGGCCTTCGCCCTGTGCTCTCTGTGCTCTCTGTGCTCTCTGTGCTCTCTGTGCTCTCTGTGCTCTCTGTGCTGTGAGTGAAACGTCTTAAAATTGGCTTCAACATGACAAAACCAGCCACCGTGGGGTCTTTTGTCCACTCGGAGGCGGTATGCGCAGCAGCCTCAAGCCCGCTCGGAAGACTGTTCTCGCCGTCGCTGGCGCCGGCGCTTGCGCGTCATGTGCTTCTCCTGTGGGCTGCGCCGCGTGCACGGTGGGCTTGCAGTTTGAGAAGAGGGTTGAATACAAGAGAGGCCATGTCAAAAACAGACAGACTGTAGAGTGTCGTAAAGCTACTTAGCAGATACTCCTGAAGCCCCCACTTAAGCCCCAAGATTGGAACCTGCCTTTCGCCAATCCGAAAGGGCGTCGTCATGGCTGCAGAAGTGGCAGAAGGAACAGGCATCTCCGTGCTTGCAGGAGGCCGCGTGAACTGCGAAAAACCTGCAAGGCCGACAGAGTCCCGCCATGTGCATCTCCAATGTGGGTTTCAGTGGCGCATCTCCTTCTTCACCTGTGCTGCTATGACTGCCAGCTTGTCTCGAAGACTCTCCAGTGTGGCCAAAAGCGCTGTCCCGGGGCTGAGAAGTCTGCTCTTCGACACGCCTTAGGTCACAAGGGCTTAAAGGGCTGGCTGGGGTGAGCCAGTGGGGCTCGGAGCTGCATTTCCGCAGGCACCTTGCCGCTGCCTCTTCCTCTGGAAACTCCAGGAATGTGTTGTGGACCCTCGCCTCTGACAAGTAGCGACATGCCAAGGGAAAGGACCTCATTGCTGAAGGCACCGAGACGAACTCTCTATGCCCTGAGCCATCTGAAGCAGGCAGCCGCCGCCACGAAGTATCAAACCACAAGAGCTCCAGGCGCAGATGTGTGTGTGTGTGTATGCGCATGCAGCGAGAAAAAGAGAGCGAGAGAGGGATGGAGACAGGAGATCAGAGAGGGGGAGGAGAAGAGAAGAGGGGGAGGAGAAGGGAGATGAGAGAGGGTGAGCGCGAGAGATAGTGCGACTCCAACCCCCTCAAAACCGACAAAAAACACGACCAGGGTTCGGGCTGCGCAGTCTTGGCCTGCACGAAGAAACTGGACTGTTTCCTTGGTTCTGCGTTCAGCAGGCGGAACTCGTGAATGGGATGAACAAAGAGTGGAAAGCAGAGTCAACTCCAAGAGGAAGCAGGCTTTGGATACCCCATGGCCACTAACATGACGAAGAACTTGTTTCAGACAAGTTGGCAGCTACGATTGCGCAACAAAAATGGCCATCTTTTGGTACTAACCTGAGCCTGGGCCTGACCATTGATGGGGAACAAGAGAGATACTTCAAAGTCATGGGACGCAGAGTCGGCCCGCAATGAGCAAACGACCTGCATAATGTTTCTAGGAACCGAAAGCACCTTGCAATGGCTTTGCATAAGTCAAGCGAAGCACCCACACACTCGAGTTTATTATGATATGCCTTCTGCTAATTTATGCTACACACCTGCCTGTGTTAAACGTCCGGCCTAGAAGCTGGTCACTGCGAAAACTTGACGCCCGCAATTAAGGATTAAACGATAACCATCTCATTCCAGAAAAGTCTTGCTGCAAAGACTGGTGGCTCATAGAGACCAATCTCACCTGGAGTCCGTTTAGGACTTATAGGCTTGTAGAATTTAGACTGGCTATGGCATTCTCTGAACTGATTTAGAAAACTTGTAGGCAGATTTCGACGCTCATGCTCACAAGGCCCTCCGGCAGTGGTCGCAACCTAAAGAATCTAACAGTTCACTTTGTCCACACATCCCTCGAATCCAAGAGGCGAAGCCGCGTCCTACAACCCTGAATGCAGCAGCACCGCAGACAAGCCGACCACAAAATCACAACCAGGTCGGAAGGAGGTAACAATTCCAATACATCCATTCACCCGTGCCGAAAGACAAGATTTCCCAGGCATGGCTGGTTCTGAGATGTGGATGAACACAGTTGAGGTTGTCCGGTGTTCAAAGACAAAAACCATAGATCCTGAAACGCCCGACCAAGCAGAACACCTCGGAACATGTGCCCTTCAGGCCTTTCTTGCAGACTGCGACAAAGATCGTCACGGCGTGCTCTCTTGCTTACCTGGCCCTTGCATCGTGAAAACCTTGATATACGGGCATCTAGGCTCTGTTTGGTGCCAGGCCAAGCCACGGGCCGTGCAGTTTTGAACGGTCGTGCGCAGCGGATGCTCGCCATCCTGAACCCCAAGCGAGCGCAACATTTCGGGGAGCAGTCAATACCCGCCGACCACCCGACGAACTCTTTACACAAGAGGCCATTGACGAGAGGTTGTTGGGAGCAGTTGGGTCTGGCCACCCCTGGGTTCGTTTACAAAGTCTTACGAACTTACGAACCAAGGAAGCCTGTACTTGCTGGGCTCTTTGCAACAGCAGCAGTGAGTCGAGGGTCGAACCCGCCGAGTCTCACTGTGATAGGTCTGACAGGTTGAGGGCGTTTCAAGTGTGAGCTAGATCACTGCTTAAATTATATCTTCTTATTGACGCATTGGCTGACTGACCAAACGCCCCAATGTCAGCCTCAACATGCCTCAGCACTGGAGAAGATTGGAGAAAACAACAAGAAAAAAACATGCACAGACACATCACAACCGCCGGGTCCGTGCCGTCCACACCGGCCGCTGGCGAATTCATCAGTTCGATGCCTGGTCGACCCCGATCGGTCCGAGTTTCGTTGGTGTACCTGGGCAGCTCGGAGGGCGTTGCGGTGGCGTGTTGCGCTTGAGACGCAACCATCCCTCCTGACTCCTTCAGAAATTCAAGTCAAACAAAACCAAAAAAAGGCTGAAGGATCCATTCCGTGTCGAGGCACCCCCAAGCTGCCACGGCGTTCCCTCCAAGGTACGAGAAATCACTGTTCTGAATAGTGGCGTCGCGGTTGTAGCCCGAAACCATGACGGCATTGCCTTCCAGGCGATCGAAGACGCAAGTGTCAATGAGAGTGCCCTCTGTTCCTTGTAGGAAAAGAGCCGAATAGCGATCCAACGCCCAGTCGCCAGCAGAAGGCACGCCATGGGGCATCATGTATGTGGGGGCCGCCGCGCTGAACTGAATCCCATGCACTTTGATGTCCTTGACGGGTTTCCTAAGTTGCACTGGAGTCACTGCAGACGTTGCCGAGGAAGCGTTGCTATTCTATTGTGGTCGTAAGGTAAATATGACATGACGGCTTCTGAAACAACATCCAAGCGTCCATTGGGTGCCAGTCAAGTTTACCAGAACCTGCAGCTGGGGCGCAACATACGCGGCATCAGCAGGCGGGGCACCAGTCCCGTTGTGATACAGGTACAGCTTCTGCGCGTGCTTGTCAAAGAAAAACTCCCCGGGATAGTCCAACTCCTCCATGACGTTCTCAATGAAGAAGTCGCCTCCAGAGTTCTCACCTCTGGCACCCTGATTCCCCCCGCGACCGAAGGTGAAGTTTTGTGTGGTGGAATCATACTTCGCCACATCAAACATCCAGTTGGCCCACCTGGCTGGACGCCAAACGAACAAACGGGCATCCTCAGCATGCTTGTATGGCCCATTTGGGAAGTCATAGCTCAAGCCCGAGGGGGTTCGGAATGCAAAGGCCCCGCCTCCAGAAGGGTGTTCAGAGCACCAGTAGGAGACGGGAGGATCATAGACACTGCAGAGCCCACCGACACCGATCATGTACTCATTGAACCAGTCATGTGTGGTGTTCCTGTAGTGCCGAGGCGTCTTGTCAGTATAGAAGGAGACATTGCCATATCTCTGGAAGTCCGGAGGTGTCCACTTGCCCTTACCACCATCAATCATGCAACCATACCCGCACGACGCCTCGATCCCCTGCGGCATGTTTGGATATCTCGCTCGAGTGGCACGAACACCATTGATGTGGAGAGAGGGCATCTCCTCAAATCCGGATACATCGGAAACCCAAATATTGGCTCCGCTGACGTTGTAGGGCTTCCAGGAGACCTCCGATTTGTCAAAAGAAATCGCCCTAGAAACTGCCTGAATATGCCGGCATCCCGGGTATCTAGAGCTGCGCAAGCTTTTTCTAGAATGCCTCCCGCCTGAAGCTTCTTCCCTCCAGATATTTCAACTCGCTCGCCAGGGTAGGACATGATGACAAGCCTGCACATGTTACCAAGACGGATGATGCCAAACTCACCATAACCCTAACCATAGTTACGTGGGGTCTCAGTGTCCTCAAAAAAACGGTCTGCTGTTTATCGCTCCCAAGCGGCCCAGAGTGCTTCGGTCCCAAGTGAAGGGTCGTGTCCTCTGGTTTTCATGGGCTTCTTGTGTCTCAAGGGGCCTGGGGGTCTTTTTGGGGGTATTCCTTTAGAACGAACTAGCCAGACAATGCGTGTAGGATGCGAGGTCCCGGATTAGGGAGTGGGACCGTGTACCACATGTACCTAGACTCCGCTTGCACCGCCAACGGCGCATTGCAGCCGAAACTCACTGTAGACACACTAGTCGGGGGCTCACGCAATTCAGGTCATAAGCGAGACTTGCAAACCCACTCAAGAAGGCTCCAGGAAGTGCGTTCCAGCCCGTAGAACCAGCGCAGCACCTTCCCGGTCAATTAACTCAGATAGTCTCAGATAGTTCTGCCATTCTTCAGGAGCCCAAAACAAACAGCCCCCGGCAGCGTCAGTAGATGAAGATCAAAGCCAGCGTGAGTCCCCTCCGAGACCATGCAAGATGAAACCCAGGTCGCCCTCCTTTCCAGTCATCTTGACTCTATCTAACTTGCACTCCATAGCAACATTCGGAACCTTCGATCCCGCAGGTCAGAGTCTGCTTACTCCGTGGAAAGCCTACAGTATAGGGTCCCTGGCTCACGCACGCCTCGACATGTTTTAGGTTTAGGTGTGTTAAGATGTCGTGATCTTGTACTTGAAACAAAACCATGTTTCCGGTTTCCAAGAGAATCAATATGCGGCGCGGCACGCAGTGAAGGCTTGTTGGCTGAGAGTCCCATGATGGCCCGTGACACAGTTGAAGGTGCGGGATCATGTGTGTCTATTTTGCATCAAGCGTGTAGGTCGAGTAGGTCAATTTTAAATGCGGGACGAAACTCCCTCAGCCTTGGCGGGCTGCCTGATCAGCTGCCACCTTGCGCCGTCAGCAGCTATTCGCGAACATGCTTTTGGGGCTCAGGTCGACATCTCCGGGGTAAACTACAAGGACCGTAGCTAACCTCGAATTCTCGGCTGTGGGCTGGGATGTGGCCATGCCCTAAGTCTGCCAAGCGAGAGCCGATGGAGGTGTTCCCTGCTCCCTGTAGCCCTGAAGAGCGCCCACCTTTCACTTTTGGCGAAGTATCTTCCCAAAACTGGGGTACCCCATTTTACCCCCCCAAATACTCTCATCCAGTTTATGGAACCCCTGAAGACGTGTGCGCCTGCAGCGACTTCAGCGGCCGGGCCACGGACCCGTCTCCATCTTCCCTCGGGGCTTAGTTTGTCGGTGAGGGCTTAGGGTTCAGGGCTGTGGGTATATGGCTTAGACTGCTTTCCGGGAGCTGCGCTGGGCCTAGCTATGTTTAGCCCTTGGCGGCTTCAGGTTTCGCGAAGGCTGTCGTCGGTTCGGAAGCAGATTCACCATGAGTTCGCATTCGTCAGTTCCAAGCATGACAGGTTTTCATGGGCCACTCTTAAGTTTTGAAAAGTCCGACGGTGCGGGTTGCACACCCCTTGACCGTCAGCAGCCTCCCATCGACGGCCACGAAGACCGCCTTTGTGGGCAGCTTCGTCTCTGGACCGGCAGATTGCTTCCCTCCTGCAAGGGTGCTGCGGGAAACGGGCACTTGGGCCATGTGGCAAGCCGTGTCTTGCCCGTACCACGGTATACAGGGGCGTACTGAAAAGACTTGGAGGAGGAGGAAAACAACTATGCAAGGCTTGCAGCAAAGGGGTTTTCGAGCCAGATATTTCTAAACCCAACTGATGCCTCCAACAAGCAGAAACCTGGAGCATGAGCCGATTGATGCGGTGATAAGGGCCTTCAAGGGCAGTGTGGCAGTCGGGGCTGTTCAAGTCCAGTGCGTAGTACAGACTCTCCTTTGCGGCGCCGAGGCTTCAAAAATCTCACCGGAGCTACTGGACCTGAAGGTCCACTCGCACTCACTCAACCTTGTTCCATCCTGTTCCTAGATAAAGCCGTCTCTGAGCCCGACGCGGGTTGCCCCTCGAAGCCGGGGATCGATGTCAGGTGCAAGATCCGAAGAACCCACAAGACCGTCTTCAGGAGTGCCGAGTGCAACGTCTCAGATTCCCCGAAGCTCCGAAGCTCCGAAGCCCTCAGCGTGCCAAGGCTCAAAGGAGCCCATGCGCGGAATCAGCCTTGAGAGAGGGCTGTTACGATGCTCATGCTCGGGGCATCTGTGGGTTTAGAGGCAGGGTTTGCAGGGGGTTACTTGAGTAGAGTTCTACTGGAAGGAGTGAAAGCCTGATAAGCAGACTCGGTCCTGAGGTGGCCAGGGCACTGGCTCCCAGCACTGGCACACATCATGCATCATGTCAGACTGTAATGTCCGTCGACAGCAGAAGCTCAAGCAACGCTCCATAGAACGTCCGAAGATAGATGGCATCTAACTACTGTAGACTTCTCTATCCGAAAGTCCAGAATGCTAAGCTACCACAGAGGTCGTGCCGCGCGGCTTCTTGCCATACTGGTAGGCCAGCTTGCGCATTCCGCAGTCAAAGGATGCCGGGACTGCGTCCACCTCAAAGCGGAAGACCCGACAGTAGGAATCAGAGCATACAATTTTGCTCCCATATGAAAGTACAGACCAGTTGCGGGTTGGAGAGTACTTGCGTTTTAGGCCGGGTTTGATTCGCAGCTCTTGTGAAGCACCTGAACACCCACTCACCAAAGCTGTAGAATATCTGAGAATGTCTGGCTCAGGACGGAACTCAGGAACAAACTGTTGCCCCGAAAACCTCCAGCCCAACAAGGATGGGTCAGGGCTCATGCTTCGGCTGCCCGCGGAGGGGCCACTTGGCAGCCGCACTCACCTCGAGGCCGCACACAATAGCATTCCTCGCCCAGCCTCTCAACATCCGATTCCTTCTCTTTCAGGAATGTCGTCCGAACTGTGAACTACGAACCGAACTGGGCAAACCGGACGTGAGTCAGAAATGTTGGATGCCCCCCCCACCCCCAAAGCATCCGTGAAGCACAAGTTGTTTTCATGATGGCCCCAAAGTGCTGCATATGTGCAGGTAACATCAGGTAACCAGGTGTACTCACACATTGCTGAGCGCGCGGCCAGGAGGACGGCACCTAAGCACTGACGCATGGCCTGGGGATCGCTGGGAAACTCCGCCGCGGCTCTGGAATTTGGGCCCAAACTCGATGCTTGCCGAAACAAGTATATGATCTCTGCAGTCTATACATAGAAGAGGGAAGGGTGCAACCGTTAGGAGTACGGAAAGTTAGGCTAATCAAGTGGCACCACCTACTTTCATCAACCTCACATACATATATATATATATACATACGTATACCTGCGTTTCAAAGGCTTCGGGTAAATAGTTCAAACTATGGGGCGCTTCTTGTTCCATGAACGGCATGGAATAAAACCATGAGGACCTCACTGGGGCCCGGAATTAGGCAACGAAACCTCTGACTGTCCAACAGAACAGCGATTTTTCCATCGCAAGCGACTTCTTGCCACCAATGACTACACTACACCGCGGGATTAAAGCGGCGATCACCCTGGATTGACTGAGCAACAGGAACACCGGTGACAACACTGCAACAGCAAAGTCAACTATGACACCATGACCTGGTGCGGGAACTCAAGGCTCAATATGGCTCAATGTACAGCACCCTTTGCGCTCATAGCATGACCAGGGATGACCAGGTCAAGAGCATCAAGTCAGAAGCTGCCAATCAAATCTTTCTGGGGCTTGGGGTTGTACTCTGTGGCCTCCACGATGTGCATGTCCTAAAGCCCTAAAAAGCCCATGGCGGCTTATGCTGCAACCGACCATGCTCCACATTATGGTTGCATGAAGTCGGGCACTGTCTTGATTCACATTTCAGAAAAGGGACGTTTGGAGTGCCTCTGTCGTGCCTTGACTGGAGTCTGAAGTTAGATAATGCGCAACCTATCCGGTGAGACTCTGCCGTGCAACTCACGCAATTTTGCTCACCTGCCCGGCGTGCTGCGGAGGCACCAATTACTAATTACAGTGCAAGGAATGTGGGCTCACGAGTCTTTGACCACTGTTTGCGCACACACACACACACACACACACACACACACGCACACCTTGAAGTGTCGAAGCACTTCGGCTTCCCCTAAACCACCCAAAGTAACCCAAAGTCGGATGTTTCAGGCTTTGCGAGACTACGCGTTCAGTTTAGGGGTGCCACCTCCCTTTGCTTGCGACACATGGAACAGTGCTCAGCACCGGGCTTGCCGATGCCCGGCGCAGGCGTCGTGTTTCGCGTGGCCTTGAAATAGATGCAGGTGTACCTCGAAAGGGCTCGGAATTCAGGGCCCAGGCCAGAATTCGGCATCTAACCCAAGACAAGCCTTGATCCCAGCTTCTACCCAGCACAGGAAACAAGCCTGATGGCTTAAGGCCATCAGACCGGTGATTCCTGGGTGGCTGGCTGCATCTGCATAAGCGAGTCCGCATTTTGCGCCTCAAACGAAGCAGCACTTTCATCACTCATGAGCCGCACAACTTCCCCATCTCACAGATCGGCGCAACAGCGGAGTCTAAGAGTCCCAACGTGCAGCGCATCGATCCACTCCTCCTCCTAGGGCAGCTTCTTGTGGGCCCACTACGGTCCCTTGCGCTTTGTGCCCTGTGGTTGGAAGCTGTGCATTGACGAGCGGCACCCCAATTTGCTCAAGATCTGAAAACTGAAGCTGATACCATGCCCGCCGGACCCCCAAAAACAAACCGAAGAGAGTCTCCTGCACGTCGAAGAAATGGCTGAGGGCAAACTTGAGTTCCTGCCATCCAGGGCTGCTTTTAGAGCTTGCGGCAGACTCCAGGCCACGGAGCCCTGGGAAGCCCTTCAGCCCAAAGCTCCCCCAAGAGCAGTAAGAATCCCAATGACAGGCGTGCGAATCCTGAAACCAGACCCTGCCAAGCAAAGCGTAAACTCCCGACCCTCCACGAAACCCAGAACTGTGGCCAAGCCCCCCCCCCCTTTACGTCGCGGCGAAACGGGCCTCCCAGCTCAACTCCAAGCCATGTCCTGCTGCCTCTCAGGTTGTTTGTATTTCTGCTTTCTGGGTTTCTGTTGTAGAGGGCCGTGGCTCCTAACAATGATGGTAGGCAGGGTTGGGAGAGCCGCACCAGAACACATCTCGGACAGCTTGGTGGAGATACCTATTGTACATCATGCAACCACGCATAACCACGCGCAATATGACCTGAGCCCCTTGGTGACTTTTTACAAAGCAAGTAGGCCTCACTCGTTCGCCGCTGTTCCACCTATGTACACAGTGCTGCTCGGGCTTGCAAACTGAACCTGTTCTTGCAGCAAATGCGCGTTCAATTCTGACACTTGCTGAACTCCAGCATGACGAAAGCTTACTCAGAGAAAAGATTGCAGCTGAGCAGTCAGGGTGAAACTCGAAGTCTCCCAGGGAGGTCAAGCGGCCTCTTGCTAGCGTCGTGGTTCGAATCAGAAAGGTCCAGCAATACTCATAGCGTGTCATGAGGCTTGTTTTCGCCATGAAGTACTGCACTTTGATCTTAACATAGTCGCTGTACAGACAGACCTGGCAGAACTCAGTGCCGTTTGACAGGCGGCGGGCTCAGCATCGCGATCCTATCCTTGTCGTCAAGCATGTACCTTGATGTCCACTTGTGGGGTCTGATCTGAGTGGCGGTTTGGATCACAATGCACATTGGACTAGCAACACAGCCAAGAAAAAACGCTTCCTCTATCTCAAACTGCGGATTACTCGACATGCAATCTTGTGCTAGATGCAGCTGAGCGTACATGACTCCCAGGGGAATACCGCGGAAAATTGTGAACACACCGGCCACGAAGAAAACCGGGCCCAGGAAAGATGGCCTGGTGTGCAGGACAACATCCCCGACCGGAACAGCAAACAACACGTATAGTATAGGACATGATCTCAAGAATGAGTATGCAATAAGCGAATTTCATCTACATTCCCTACGTTGTTGCAAGCCTTCAAGGCCTGAACGCCAAAGTGTTGACCCACTTCTGCCGCCTTGCGCCCGCCTGCTTGGAAGCGCGATACCACAACCTCCTCACAGGGCAGCATCAGAAATCTCTGTGACAGGAGCTGGGTTCAGGAGACGGCTGCACCAAAGCGCTGCTGCATGCACCTATTGCGGTTGTTTGGGAGACTTGAAACATTCAAAACCGCTTCTGGCGCATGGCAGCATCTTCCACGTCCAGATGTGGCATGCTTGGGGTGGACTCAAATAACGATGTGTTACAGCGATCCCCCAGATGGCGCTGATTGCTGAAACTCCCTCATACCAGGTTTGTGTGTCGGTACCTCGAGAGCCCAAGGTTAAAAGTTAGAAGATTAAATTTACCATGCTCAGGGTCCCCCTGTTCCGCGGAGCCTGAACGAAATCTGCGAGTACCATGGCCGCCTGCGGCGAAGGAGTTGCAGAGCTGCCTAAATACAAAGCATGGGGGTCACTGGCAATTAATCCGAGCATCTGTTCAATTAATACTCTCACGTTTCAATATTTTTCCGTCGAGAAGCTCGCAGGAAGACTACTTTCCATTTCGGGGGTTTTCGTATGGGCCAATACCGCCACATTTAAAGAAAATCTCGGCCCTGGGGGGAGCCCTGGTCCTGCGGTCAAAAAAGAAGCCAAAGCCAAAGATTTTTCTAAAAGCTGAGGGCCTTGAGAAGGCTAAGATTTCTTATGTCATGCCTTGCTGGAGGAGAGAAGTTTTCATTCTTTCCTGAGCTACCTCATACGGGCTCTGCCCGGCAAAGACAGCAACATATTTATACAAAGGGACCACAATCATGGCATGGGAGGCCCTGGCCCGTGGGGAGCCCTTGTCCTGTAGTCTTTAAAGAAGCCAAAGCTTAAAACTAAAAGCGTTAAAGAAGCCGAAACTTTAAAGAAGCCAAAGCTTTTCAAAAAGCTGAGGCCCTTTCAGAAAGTTGCCATGGTCTCATTATTGTGGCGCCCTGCCTTTCTTATTGCAGTGGGGCGGGGGGGGGGGGGGCAACCAATTAAACAGATGCTCGATCAGGTGTGGCAAACCTGTCCAACAAGGGATATGTTCTATACCAGGGATTAACAAATAGTCATCCCGTGCTCCTGCAAGGATTACGCAATACAAGTAAAGGAGTGCCAGTCGTTGAAGTCGCCAACTCCTAGGACTCACCGAGCTCAAGGCGCCAAGCTGTTCGCGAAAACATGGCCCAAAGCCGCAAGGCCACCGAAACCGAAAATCTCGCAACATGATGCATCTTACTCCATACCACGCGAGAATAGCTGAATCCAGGCTGCATTACCTGGTCGGCTGCTGCTGAGTTCTGACACCCCTCAAGCCGATGATGCCAATCCCGCAAAGATCGAAAAGCACAACCCTGGCCTGGTCGACTCCTCACGGTGCAGCCATGAGCGTCCACCCGCGGGACCCGTCCCTTGGCCTTTCAAAGGGTTCGGAGCTGCTCTGTGCTTTGGGGGAGGGATAAACAATTGGGAGCCTCAACGAACTCGGACTGGGAGTTGAGTTCACTTGAAGTCGGAAACAGCGGGAGTCCGAAAACGAAAGCTTCGCAGAGCATAAGGGGCATTTCGGGAAATCATGACCTAAAGGGAACTCAACGAACCCATTTCAAAGTATAAAGACCCCCAGAGTCGGATCGAGCAGTGCACAGTGGTTCATTCCTCGCTGCAGCCCTGGTCAATTTGTCGTCGTGGTCGAAACCTTGACCGCTGAGCCTCCGAAACCAGGAAGCCCTCCCAAGCAAAGCAGTACGCAAGTAGACACCGAGCTCTACACCTAAAAACTCCACACCGCAGCCCTGTGCCTGGCCTCGGAGAGCCTGGGCTGCTGAGCCCTCGCCGTTGCCCAGCGACGCGTCGTAGGCACGGCGCTTCTCCGGGTTGGACAGGACCTCGGAATAGGCCCAAACGAGAAAACTCAAAGGTCACCAAGCATACCTCCCTTTGGTGGGGCACTGTGAGTGTAGCTGGCATCCTACACTTCATCCACACAGGTAATTACATGTTCGCTGTATAGTGAAAAGCAGAAGGTTGTTCCCTGCCAGGTCGTGTGAATGGCGCTCTCCGCTTGAGGCTATCCGGTCCTGCTGCGGATTAAGGCTGCAGGATATGTGCGGGTTGACCAAGCTCAGAATTCGTACCAGCTCAGCATGTCGCCCAATGCATTCTTAAGCCCGCCTCAACCCACTCTGCCAAGCAACGCTGTATGCTTTTTGGAGATGCTCGAAGGCCCGGGTGGCACCCTCCCTTGGTCGGTTCCAAGCACAGATCAGCGGCTGACGCGAATGCCGACATCTCACACATCAGATGCGACCATCCGGATTATCGTATGGGCAGCTGACTCCACGTCCGTCCCATGGTGCCGATCCGGATGCATCCTCGGATGGCCGCCCTAGCAACTACGAGCCGTGCGGCATCTGTGCGGAGATCTGAGCACTTGCGTGGTATCCTCACAGAAGTTGAAGACACCCTTCACAATGATATTACATACTCTAAGCAAGCAGTTGGAATACTCGTCCAGCAACCAGAGGAAGCAGCAGCCGTCTCTAAAGACTCAACCTTGGGCAGCCTTACTCAAGCTATCTGCAGTGTTGTCGCTGCTTGGCCATCTCAAAGTAAGCCTGCCAGGGAGGGGCAGTCCTATCAGTGCAAGGCAAAAACACAATGTACCGAAAGCATCAAATTTGCCTGAGCAAGCCAATGCAGAAGCATGGCCCGGCCTTCTTGATCTGGACCTGTCGCGCATCCCGCTCCACGCCCAGCACCGAATAGTAGTCCGGGAGGCTCATGTCGAGTGCGCAACAGCTACCCGGAGCTACCCGATACTTGGGAAAGGAATGGTTTGCGATTGCTTTGCCCCCCCCCTGTCTGTAAAGACTGCATGGTGACTAGGCAAAGGGTGTGCTTTTCCCAGGTTCCTTGAAGGAGGAGGCTAGCACAGGGAGGTCCCAATATCCACATCCTCGATCGTTACGTAGCAGGACCAGCGTTGCCTCTGTGTTTGACTCACCCTTTATCACTCTGATTCAGCATGACACTCTTGCCGGAGCTTGACGCAATCAAGTCTACTCACCCTACCCGTGTTGAAAAAACAACAAGAAGACCACAACGAAAGGCTTCCCATAAGATCTTCCAAAAACACTGCAAGATGCAACAGGCCGTGAAGGCAGAAGGCAGGGACTGTTCGTTCTCTGCGGCATCGCGGAGGAGTCGTGAGAGCCTACCGTTGCTTCAAAAGCCTGCAGGCTCGTATTGTCGCAATGTGGCAGCAGCCGGTGCTTAGTTGGCTTACAAAATGAATCAGGCGATCTGCACCACATGTCACAGAAGTTGATTCGGCAATGACTTCAGCAGCCGGTGTTACTGCTCTTTTAAACACACGGGTGAAACCGAATCAGGTATTGAGATGCTCTGGCCCCATTTCTGTACAGCTGAGGGCACGCTCACATGCTTGCATGGAAGATTGGGGGCGGAAGCAGGACAACTTCTCCAACCGGAATGAGCACTACATGCACCACTCAAAGAGATGTGTGCCAGCACAAGCTTTCACAGGAGCAAAGAAATTGGAGGTGCGTCGACAGTAGCTTTTGACGGACGTCATCCCGCTTCCCTGTATGTCAGCGGCGCACGCTTTGGTGAGCTCCCGCAATTCCTTGCAGAATGTGGCCAAGTCCAATGGCGGTGGGAGCCAACTAGAGATTTTGCACGGGCAACAAGCTGCACTACCCAGTCCTTGCGTGAGTCTGCATCTGAAGACACTGGCTCCAGGTGTCAGGCACGTTTACCTTTCGAACCGCACGCGCTGAAGTTACGACTTCCGCTGCGGCTGACGGCAACCAGTTTGCACAGCAACGCGTTCCCAGCTCCACCCCCCGGTGCCGTGCCTGCTGCTCCTCCGCTGCACCGCTTGTCCAGAGGGTCCACCCGTACGGCTGAACAAGCCTCAGAGTGATCTATGGGAATCATGAGGATCCATGGTGTGGAGCTCAATTTATAAAACCCTAAGCCCTGGCAGCCCTGGAACCGAAAATCCGGAGATCCGCAGATTGGCCACCGAGCGGCTGTTGACGAAGAAGGCACCCGCGTCTGCAGCATCCTTCCAGGACCTTGGGACTGACTTTGACGCAAGCTACAGTCAAGCAACCCAGCCAAGTGCAGCAACGAGCCAAGAGCGACATGTCGCCAATGAGAGTACGGAGGCCCCAGCACTCCGTCCTTCATCGTTGTAAGCTCCTTCTCTTCGGCATCAAGTGCCATCCGCCGCGCCTCATGACTCATGATGGCATGCCCCACTTTCTCGAGGCCCATCCAATCTAGCTGGTACGTTGCAGACGAGCGCAGGAAAAATGCAAAATCCGGTCGATTTGTTGCAGATTCTCCTCCCCCCCTCCCCCCGAGCAGAGCTTTCGAGGATGCAGAATTTTGTTGGGGTTTTGCTTCAGCTACACAGCTACATCATCTCACACAACATCTCCTGGAGACGTGTCCACCACTTACATCCACTTACCGAATGCCAAGGCCTTCAACAATATGGAGGCACAACAGGGCCTCACTTGCGACTTGACAGGAGATACTGGCGAATGATTTGCCTCATGCTGACCGCCGCACAGCGCCATCAACTGGAGTGGAGTTCCGGGATCTTTGGAATTTGGATTGAGGAAAGTGAGTCGCCTGGGATCTTAGAGAAATGTTTGGCAAGTCTGGCCGTCGCCTCCTCAAGGTCGCCCACCGCACGGTGCCAGGCCGTCTTGGCCCAAAGGAGCTGTGCCCTTGGCCATGAGATTGTTCGCGCAACCAAAGAACAGAAAGCAGACTCCCTCTTGAACAGCGGGAAAAGAAGGCAAGAAGGGAATCTTAGAAGAAGGGAAGGAAGTGAATCATTCAGTGAATGATGATCTGCAGGCGCAGGATGGCGCAAGTGCCATGCCACTGTATGCCACCATGCCCTGACAAGTGGTGAGGAGACGGATCCACAAAGCCCTGCGCCGGCGTTCTGCAGACGAGGCTCTGCAGCTTCTTTGTCCTTCGTTTGGAGGGTTGGCCACCAGAACCGTCCAAGAACCACAAGCATACTACATTACATTGAGTTGTGTGCACATGCACATGCGTGCAAACATGCGCAATGTAACGGCATAGAACTGAACATGCACATGCAATATGCCAATGAGGTGCATGTGTATATGTCAATGACATGTATACGTATGTATGTGTATGTATGCACATATGTGCTAGAACTCATTTGGCGCTCATATGTGCGTGTGTACAGTACATGCTCATGCAAGACATCACATTACATTGCACCACGCAAAGCGAATTGTTGGAGTCAGGGGTTCATGGCAGGAGTCGGGACTCTTCCCCAGGTCGGCCACGACAGTGGAGCACGGCAGGCAGAATTCCACAATATCACATATGCATCATCAGTTTAAAGCACGTTGCCTTTTCTTGGAGGCTGCGTATGCAACCAGAATACAAAAACCCCAAACACTTCTAGGCTTAAAGCGAAATCGACGCCTAAAACCAGCGTCCAAGAGACTTCATCCCCCTCCCTTCCCTAAGCCAGGCAGCTCATTCGCCGCCGCTTTATCGTATCTGCGATCCGCTGCTGCCTGCTCTCCGTGAACCCACCTCAAGCGTGAAAGATCTCGGATGGTGCAATCGGAGGTAAGGTGCGCAGTCTCGTTGGATGGCATAAGCAAGGTTTCGCAAGAGAGTGAGTGAGGGAGAGAGAGAGAGAGAGAGAGCGAGACAACAGAGACAAAGAGAGCGTGCACAAAAGTCAACCGTTTTACTAGAGCTCGGCTGTATGATGGGTCTGCATCTCTGCGTGCAACTGCAAGCCCAGCAGCTCCCACATGTTGTCCCACCAGTTCCTGGGTGGGGTCTTGAGGGCTTGATATGCTTGACCCACACATGTCGCGCAAGCCTTCCTAGTGTCCACGCGAAGAAACCTCAAAAGCCTAAAAAGACAACCATCGATCCCATCGAGGAACATCTCGCGGCCCTCTCGAGCATCTTGAACCTTCGTCACAGCCGCCTTGTGCTCCTCGAGCCTCGTGACCATAAACAGGTTTGAGATGCATTTCATGCTCTTCTCAGAACTGTTCTCTCAAGTCCTGCTGAGCGTCTGCAAGGTCCTGATCTGACAGGATCATGATGATGACAATACATAAATACATGATCGACTGCAAAACATGCACCAATCCAGATTCCAACAAGCACACTCTGAACCTTATGATATCCTTATTATGATCAAAAGCCCCCCCCCCCTCCCTCCCGAAAACCCCCATTCTCAGCCTGGCCCGGTAGTGCTCCAGGGTCTTGCGGCTCAACGCTTCGCTCCGCTCCTTTTGCAGAGGGATTCTATGGGGCAGGGCCGGCAGAGCCGGCAGAGCTCGAGACCTTGACGGAAGAGCCGGGATGCGCCAATGTAGCAATGTGCTATTTGCGCAGTAAGGTGGGAGAATGAAGCTTCTCAAGTCTGTGCCGTGTGCTGTTGCCTTGTCTGCCACCTGGGCGTTTGCACGATCCGTGACTGAACCCAAGTGGGCAGCCACTGCGTTTCGAACCTTAGTGAGATCCAAGTGAATGGTCAAGGTTCTTTCCTGTTCTTCTTTCTGGACGTTCAAAGGTCATTGGACAAGAAGACTCGAAGCACTGAGCCAAACCAAGGCCCTAAACCCCTTCTCAGAGCAAAGCGCCCGGACCTGTCAACAGCCCGCAAGGCTCCAAGGAAGCCGAGGGGCGACTGGGGTTGAGCCCACCGTCTCTCCCACCTCTCGTGAAGCAGACTTCAGCTCTGCTTTTTTGGAGGGTCAGAGCCTGCATGGGAAGGAAAGCTTCGGGACCGAGGATCCCAGGCTCGCAGCTTGTGTTCATCTCGCTCGACACCTCCCTAAAAAGGCTGAATTGTCCGCGGCCTTGTGGAGGCCGATGACTGTGGCACTTCTTGCTGCCTTGAAGGCCCTTGGCAGGTCTCACCCAAAATCCCCAGGCGCTACCGCAGCCCCCAGAGCAATTCGCGGCAGCGTTCAGCGCCCGGACCTTCTTCTCAAATCACTCTCACTGAGTCAAGGAGCTCACTGTCTGCCACGCGGTCAATCGTCTCCGCGACGGCGGAACCTCAGAATTGCTTGAAGAGGCCTTTCGGGTTGCAGTGCGCATTCAATCTTTCAGGGGCTACCTGCAATTGTCTTAAAAGGGCGTGCTGCAATGCAAGTGAAAGCTGGTGTCTTGCAAGAACAGTCTGTTGCCACGGGCCAGAGTGGCTTGCAACTGATGGCCCCGGCCGTGTGCTCTTACGTAGTCTGCACCAAAGAGAACTGCACAATCCAGAGTGAATCGAGAAGCTCGCATCGCCTGCGGCCGTGGCCAGGCGATTGGCGAAGTCCTCACCTTGGTGTGCCACCTTTAGGGTGTATAGTTGAGGGGTTCACGAAGTAGAAGAGAGGTCCCTAGTACCCACTGCGCGAATTTGATTTTTTTTCGAGGAGATTGGTTAGTCTGTGCAAAGCTCATCTCACTCCACGCATTAACAGTAATGAGGGTCTGCCCAACCGCCAAAGATTTATCAAAGGTGCAGCTATCCCGGAAATCCCGGATGAGAAATGCAGGGGGCACACTGGTGAAGACTCGCACGCACACTTCTCTCTATCTGAGATCAAGGCGTGTTTCAGTCTACAGCACCAGCAAAGCCATAACAAGAGCAACAATGGAGACTAACCGGCTGCGGGCGAGGCACCGAAAACGTCCCTGAAAAGGTTGTGGGCCATCGACGTAGTGAAGGCGGGCTCAGCCGCACAATCGCCTGAAGCTGTGCATCGCGAATGTCCTAGAGCCGTGCTACAGCAAAATACAGCAAACGATTCCAATCCGCCCAACCCCATCGCCTGAGAGGCTGCCACCATCGTAAGCAGCCCGCTTTGCGGGGTCGTTCCTGAGCGTTTGGGCACAGGATTTCCTTTCAGCCCGAATGCTCGGTCACTCCCCCGAATGCTCCGGTTAAGTCAGAGGCTCAGTGGCAGATTTGGCTGAGCCTCCCTGCAACATTCGAGGCAAGGAAACCTCGTACTCCTCATTCCCTACTGGCTATCAGTCCACAAGTATCATTTGCCACTCCATCGCTCGTGCATCCTTCGCTTCCTCTTACTCTGTTTTCTCCGCGCTAGCATGGATTGATGTAGCAACGCAGCGACGCTCGTTCTGTGCACCTGGTCGAAGGCTGCAAAGTGCCACACCGATCCTCAACATGCCCTGAACACAAGATGTAGCAGTGATGTAGCTGCGGCGCAGCACGGAGTAGGCTTCCGAGACCTCTGCGGGATTACGGCCCTCAAGTCGAAGAGGATGCGTTTCGAGATTCTGTACAAGGGGGCTACAGAGCACCACCTCGGCCAGCAGTTTCGCCTATATAGGTTCGCTTAGAAACCTTGAGGGTTGACACATGTTCACACGCTTACACGCCTCAGGGCTCAGAGGCCAGAACTTCTTGCTGCACATCTGCGAGAACTGCTTTAAGCCAGGCCAAGTAGCGAGCTTGAACTTGGCGGTGGCTTCAGCCACATTGCCAGGGTTCTTGTCCGGATGGTGCCGCAGCGCTTGCTGTTCTTAGCATGTGGACGGGGCTGTGCAGTTCAGCGGGCGAGGGGGGAGAGGGGAGGCAAACGCCTTCAGGCGCATAAGTTTGAGTTTGGGCATTTCCCTCATGGCATGAGAGCATAAGGGTCCCAAAGCCTATGGGAGTTCCTCCGTCGGAAATCCTTCATAGCATTCAGACCGCAACTACTGCGCATCCCTGTCTGATGCTCTGATCCGCTGCGACGTGCCAATGCCGACTGCTACAGCCCAAGCCGAGGAAAGACTGCAATCTTACATGTTTATATCATTACATGTTACTTGTACATTCTTGTAGGTAACATTTGAGCGGCTGTAGGCTTTCCGGATCTCCTCACTTGTGGCATTCTTGGGAATGCCGAGCAAGGCGTAGTAGTCGGCTCGCGGCATGGTAGCTCAAAAGGCCCCTGCACTTGTTTTTGTATTTTGGCGGTTCACTGCCACCTAGTACTTCAAACAGAGGCTAAGGGCTAATGGGGGAAGGCTTCTGCACGGAGGTCTGCGTCAAAGGTCAGAGTTCCGTGCCTCGTGCTTTGGCTGTTTACAGCTGCTGGGCTGTTTGATGCAATTCTTCATGGCTTGAAGCAAATTCGGATGGCGCGGCGCCTCGCGTCTTGAGTGCTACGCAACCCTTCTGATCACAGACAGGCATGCCCTGTCCGTAAAATTCCAACACAACTCGTCCTTCCACCCCAAAGCGAAGCACCACACGTCACGGCAACACAATGCCAAACGTGCCCCATGACCTCGATGCGTTCCAGCTTTAACTCGACCAACACTTTATTGACCCCAGTCCTTCATCCACGTCAGTATTGAACGTACTTTCTCGCAACTTTCGAAGCTTCAAGGTTTCTTTGTACCAATTTGTACCCTTCCCCTTTATCTTCCTCTTTGATTTTCAGGATGGGCAAGGGATCCCCCGACCTCGTCGTGGTCAGTGTCATATGCAAGAGGGCCAAAATTCGCCCACCTCGGCTGCGACGCGCAGCCATGCAAGGGAAGTGAATCGGCGCATGTGTCTCAACCGCCACTTCTTGTTTCTGCAAGGCATAGGCTCCAAAAGAGCTGCCTTGCTTCTTGTCCCTGTCCCTCTCTCCCCTGAACACTCAGAATCGAAGGTTCGACGGTTCGAGAATTCTGTGGGAAAGTTTCCTCGTCAATCTCCAGGCATAGTACAATGTTGGGAAACGTCTGCGTGAATACGCATGTATGTGTTGCCAGGAGGCTGAGGAATTATATTAACACTGAATTCATGAGTGCAAAAACATACCGACGCCCCAAGGTCAGCGCACACCGCCAGGTCTGATAACGTGAGCCGCAGTGCGCACAAAACCTCGCCACCAACGGCACAGGATGCTGAATGTTTAACCGTGTCCTTGTCACTCCTGGTCCGGAGTCTCCCACTGTCGACCACGGATTCTGGGGGGCGCACGGAACACATTCGGAGAGAGGTCCAGCGCATAAGAGGTCAGGAGGCAGTCGAAACCTCGTTAGCTGGTCTGATCTTAAGCTACTATGCCCTTTAAAAAACCTCCCCGACTTCTGTAGATCACGTCCTGGACCGCCGGCAGCCTCGCCGCCACTTTGCTCAATGTTTCGCGGGTTGCAACCATACGTCGCCAAACCCCTCTCCAAGCTCCTTGCTTTCTTTGGCATCCGACCTGGCATGCGCAGTGCACGGCACTCTCATCCCGGGACAGGGCTCGGGGTGCTGCTTGAACGTTAAGTGGTGATGCCGGCAATGCATCCATGCAGCACACATCCCATTTCCCAGCTGCATGCCTGTCGTAAAGAGTGATGAACTCGCCAAAACGCTGTCGAGGTAGTCTCCCTTCCTGCCAACAGCTCTACGTCAGGACTAGCATCTCGGAACCTTCCTTCCTCTGCGTTGCTCGCCGCGTGGGCACACTTCACAAAGCCCATTGGTACCGTCCCCATGGCCTTAAATGGCCCCTAGTGAGGCCCTCAGGAGCACCATGCAGCAAATGTCCGCACGATGAACGTCTTCTAACTATAACTCATCCCATTTGGGAGTGAGATGGCATAGGCTACGAACGTGGCAGGCGGTTAATCCTGCTCCTGGTCAGTCTATAACCTCCCAAAGCCCATCCTCGATCGTGACATCCGGCATGGCCGTTACTCTGTGATTGTCAGAAAACTTCAGCCTCAGTGCACAAACGTGGCGTCCTGATGATAGCACATGAAAGCGCTCGACTGATCCGGGGTGCGTCTCGAACCGAAAGACACAGCACCGAGATCTTCACCGGTTGCATGTGTTCAGCGCGAAGGGCCGTGGCCGAAGCACCTGCGGTGGTTTTGTCATGTGCCCCCATTCAAACAGAAGCTTCCTATGCCATTATGCAATGCTGGCACGGCTCGCACTTACTGGAGCTCGGCTCCTGCTCTCCCTGGTTAGGTTGGAGGTTGGTGGCCACCCGACTGCGGATGCCTCCGCTTGGCCATTTTGTCGCAGGAGCTCCATGCCGAACCAGTGCAGCAACCGGCCTCAGGGGAAGGAAACATTTCTTCACGGCTTCGGCGCACGTTCAGGGGGCGATCTAACCTTGCACGGATGAAAGAACCCCATGCAACGAACGCTTGATGTCGACAAACCTGGCTAAGTTTCCCACGCGCTACGGGCGAAGTCTTGAAAGCACCGAGCTGCAGGAGCACTCAGGATTCGCGACGAAATCGGGCACTCCCCAGGACCCCGCAGACAGACCTGACACAAAAGGCCTTTATGATGTCAGTGGGCTTCAGATGCACGAAAATGTGGTTTCCGACGCGTGCTAGGTCCGAAACAATCAATGGCTGCTGGCCTTGTGCCGAGATCTGCCCAAAGCAAGGAAGAAATTCCCCTGCTGGACTCGCTTCCCCCACGCTTGTCATTTCATAGAGACATGGTGTTTTTTGATGATACGCAATGTTTTCAACTTGGCTCGGGTGCCCCACGCAGCCCACTTCATAGAGAACATGTTTTTTGACGAAATTGTTATGGTGCTTATCCTCCCTCCCTTCCGCTTATCCCGAAAGCTGGTGTAGCTGGCCTTGAGGTTTACTCCGTGTTAGCAGGGGTTCCCGTCAGCCCTCTGAAAGTTTTTCGAGAAAAGGGTACTCCTTCATGCAATGCCCCCACCGTCACCGTGACCGTGAGGTCCGACTGTCTGGTTTCGCCGTCATCCTGACATCACATCGTCACGGACCTGAGGGCTTGGATTTTCCAATTGCCCTCCAACTTTTCTGGCCTCCTCAGAGGAGTGGAGCCTTTGAGGACGCTCGCACTTTGGGACAGGGGGGAGTTCAATTTTGAGAATAAAATATCAATAGATTTAGTTTATTTTGTGTTTAACAAGTCTGTTCAATGAATGTAATAAAGTATAACACTTATTTATTTGTTAAAATATCAATATATTTAATTTCATTTATGTTTAACAAGTCTGTACAATGAAATATCAATGTAATGAAGTATAACATATATAATTTAGGTAAAGAAAGTGATGATTGTATAAATTTCGATGAATTATCATCACAATTTTCAAAAAATGAATAAAATGAAGTTTAAAAAAGGCAAGATATGTTTCTTTATTACACACTTTTTGTTTTTTGTTATCCGTGAGGTGAAAACTTCCCAAACTCAGAGCCAAGAGTACTCGAGCGAGGGCCTCAACATTTAACAATATCTTCTTGGAAAAGGGTGGAAAAAGCATGCTGCGCAACGTCAGAAATCCATGCTTTCAGCATCTTGGGCGGGCCATGAAAAGCTCTGCCTGTGAACGATAGTGCTTCCGAACTGACAGTTGCCAAGGCTGTCTAACTTGCACGGTACCACACCTGACACGCTTTCAAGAAAAGCTGATCGGTCCACACATACTTGTACCATGCTATATGAGCAAAAACAAGCAAAACACCAGAAGCCCTTCCCTCAATGAGCTCCGCGGCTCTCGCAGGATTCCACGCTGTGCCCTCTGCTGGACACCTGTGAGCTGTGCTGCACGGCGGGCTCTTTCGATTACCGTGTCGCACTGCGGGGTATCACTACTGATCCAAGCACTGGAAGGGGTCTTTCAAAGAAAGAGCTTACATGTTGACGTCAAGACAGGCCTACAGGAATGTTCGGCTGATCCTCGCACAGTGCCCCAAGCTAAGCAAAGACCCGCTACACATGCGTTATCAGTTCTCATACATTGAAAAGACAGGCAGACCTGTCGTCCTCAAGTGTAGCAAAGAAACAGCACTTGCAGAGAGCTCTATATCGGGATTTAGGACCTATAGGGTGCAAGCACAGCTAGGAACTCTAAGCCAGCCTTGATTCAGGTAAGCCAAGCTCTAGATTGCAGGTGCTGTCGTCTTGCTCGCCAACTGCTTCTTCGTAGTGGAGATGCGGCACCCGTCAGCCGCATAAAATCTCACCCTCAGAATCCCGAAAACCCTCGTGTAATGTGGCCGTGAACCTTTCGACCCTCCTGGCTCCGCCGGACAACAAAATGTACAACTTGAAGCAAATATGTTTGGTGTTCAATGGTGTTCATGGCCATTCAAAGGAGTCTCCCGATTCTTTGTGGGGGGAGTTGCTTGTGGAGCTCTGAACTGAGGTTGAGGCCTCGAAGGCCAGGCGTCCTGCACCAATTTGGGTGCTCAGCACTTACAATGAGACCGAGTGATGTCACCCGTAACATCTGCAGGAACGTGGGAAGCTGAAAGATTTCGGGATATGCAGACTCAGAACATATCTGAAAGCTGGCAAAACACGCACCCTTTCCGAAATCCTGCAGCTCACTCTTGGAATCGGTGCCGGCTTCTTCTGAACTCTCAGAACTCAAGCTATGAACCTTTCGAACTCCTCAACCCATGTTCCTGCCATGTTCGGACACGTCGCTCTAAGGGCTCAACCCTGGCGCGCCTAGGGAGCAGGCCGGAACCAGCACCCGCCCAGCCTCGGTAGGCACTCCACGTCGAGCCACTCTGCCGGACGTCAAAGACACACATAAAGGTTTAGGCAAGCCAAGCCCGCTTTCCCTTGCATCCGAGACGTTCCCACCCCTGACACACATCTCCTCTTCACGAAAGTCACGGTCGCGAAACTGTGACCCAAACTAGCCGGGGTCAACATACTCACGTACAGAGAAACCTGACCCACAACTCCGAGCAACACGAGCTCCATCATCCCACAGCCGGGTGCCTTGGTGAGGTGGCTGTCGAGGGCTCCTGTGTGGGGCTTTGACGACTACGCCAAACCGAACAGAGCCTCGGAATTTGCAGATGTAGGGCTCGCAGGCTTTTGAAGGTGTCATTCACCAAAGCCGTCAACCGGCAACGCGACCACAGTCACAAGCGAAAACAAGCTTGGAACAGAAACTCTCGAATTTTCTCCTCAGGCCCTACGTCAACTCATAGCAAGATGCCAAGAATTCCACTCCGCACCACCCCACCCCCTGCCCGCACAGCCACCAAGAAACAACAAAACGAAAAGAGGACCGTACTCAAACCCAATGCACCTGAAGCCTCACCCTGTCAGCCTGTCAGGAGGGTTGCACTCACCACCAGTATTGCTCCCGCTCGGCGGCTCAAGCTGCACAACCCAACAACACCGCGCCTAGCAACTTGTCGAAGCAAGCCTTGCGCTCCTGGTGAAACATTCGACTTCGGGACGCACGGTCACACGTACACCTACACTAGACCTGCACAAGCCAGAAGTTGCAAGTATCTTGGACAAGTCTCAAAGTCTTGAAGTGCCGCGAAGCTGGGGTCTCGGGATGATTCTCGGCACGCTACTTGTAGCACAATCTCGTCTATGGTTGATGTGTCGCGCGAAGAGCTTTGGCACATTCTCACCCGGTTGTGTGGAGTACAGCAGGGGTGCAGGGCTAAGGCGTCTGGGGGCAGCGATCGATGTCTTGAGAAGTCCGAGATTCATGAGGGCTGAACTCTATGACCCTGACCACCCCTGTGCATAAAACAATTCAACTGAGCAGAAAACATGCATAACCCTGCACTCCTCAAGCCCTTCTGTGGCCCACTCGCGCCTTCAGAGCAGGGTCTTGATGCAGGCAGATTGCATAGATGAGACATGTCAACGCCAGTTTAGAGAGCATCCCATCCCTTACATTTTTCAGGGGATCCGAGTGGGCTTCCCCTAGCTTTGGGGTTATTCGGCTCAATCCTTTGCAAGAGGCGGGCGCACCAGGCCCATTGCAGAACCAACTCTGAACAAGCTGCACAACCCTCCTTACTGGCACGGCCGTGCAAGATGCAGGACATCCAGGGGCGCCAGCACAAGGGTTTGGAGCAAGGACTGCACCTGATGATGCAAACGTGTGGCACACTGCCGCTGAGGCTTTTGTTGGATCCACCCGGAAACCCAAAAAGCGCTGGCACTTTTAGTGCGATTCTGCTCAACATCTCAGGCTTCTGACAGGTTCAAGGAACTTTTGTTCGAAGCTCATGCTGCTCGCGTCGAAGGCTTAAGACTTAAGATCCACACGATTTCCAGAACCAGCGCAGATTAGCTGATTTACCGGTTCATTTGTATACGGAATTGCTTCTCGGGGCCCTGCTGGTTTGGTCCCCACTGGGATGTTGATGCCGGAGCCCCTCACAGGGAGTGTGGTTTGTGGCTTGTGCCCATGGCGCATGCTCCAACGGCACTCCAAAATGACTCCAGAAGTGCCTCAGCAAGGCCATTTGGCTGAGTCTACTCTGCCCAGGTAAGAAGTCCATGGCTTGCTAACCCCAAGCAGATCGGCGTAATGCATTGTCTTTGCACTGAGACTGAAACACGGCATGGCAGTCTGAACCCCTCAAACCGCACCAAGAAAGCGCCCCAATTCGGAACAGCCAGCCTCTGCTTGGTGCTCTTCTCGGCCGTCTGCGACTCCTATTCTGCATCGCAGGAACAAGCGCCCCAACGCAATCAACAGCTAGCAGCACGCGGCAAGCGCCTACTCTGATCTACTCCGTCAACCTGGCAATCTTGCAGCACCACAACCGGTTTTACTGTAGACTTTACAGACTTTACTAGGCCGGCCGTCTCCCAACAAAGGCCTTTCGGAGCAGCGTCTCGAGCTTTTCGACGAGCTGCAGCGTGGCCGACACAGCCTCGCAAGGCTTTGGACCATCCTCGTCTGTTCAGGTTTCCGCTGGCATGCGACGCTTTGAAGCTTGGAGTGTGAAGCACTCGTCTCTTGAAAGCCTCGGCCTCCAGCAGAAGCCAGAGAAACCAAACCGTGTCTACCGGAATCTAGCGTGACCGCAGGTATGGCTCCTGTTATGCAGGTCAAAAGCACAGCGCGCGCTCAGGCTGAAAGATCGCAGCCCACAAGGTCCAACGGAGTCCAACGTTAAGGACATGCGAAAGCCCCGTCGCCAGCACCCTTTCTTCCATTGAGCGCAGCTGCTTCTGGGTATTTCTGGGTCAAGGGCTTCAGGGTTCAGGGTGTTGGTATGTCACCTGCCTGGCGGCCTTTGAACGAACCCGGGACTTCCCACGCGGCCATGCGCATGCAGGCCATTTAGTTTATCTCTATATGCATACATAGAGAAACAAGACACAGGGAAAAAAGAGGCCATTGATTATCGGTAGATCGTTAAAACATGCAGATTCTGCAGCTGGTTTCCCCTCACTGCATCGCCCGCAGGAAGTCTAAAGCTTCTTCCAGCCGCAGGGGTGCTTCCGCTTCGGAGGACGGCCGGAAATCCGAGAGGTCCTGGGCACACCAGGCTTGAAACCATGTGGACTTTATGTGTACCCTAGCTGGGCCTTCAACGGTGTCGAACCTATGGCAGGGGAGACGCTCTGCGTTTCAAGGTCTCCATCTCCCAACCTGTGCATTTATTTTCCAGGAGCAGGTGGCCGAGCAATCATCAGCTACAAATGGCCACTAGCCGACCATTCTTCTCATGCTCGCAGACTGAACCGAATCTGGATGGATGGGCTCTCGGTGCCTATATGCAGTCCGGGCACGCTTCGGAAGTCACTCTTGGCGTACTCCCGCTTCTCCTGAGCAAGCCCCCGGCCCTAATACTGTGACATTAAATGAGATCCCCCCTCCAAGCTCTGAAGCCTCCCTTCAAGAGTGCTTGCGTGCGAGCGTGCATGCAATACTACACATACGCACACATATGTCTGTACCTATACGTACACACACACACACATATATATATATACATACATACATACATATGTTTTGTACCTATATGTATACACACACATATATATCTATATACAGACAATCACATGCAATAGGCTGTTGAAGTTTCAACATTCTGTTCTCTAGCTCTAGGCGATGCTTCCATTCCAACTGTGCTCAGCACGGCAGCCAAGGAGCTGCATCCGTGAACAGAAGGGCGTATGCCTGCCAGATCCGAAGCTGAGGACGCGGAGTTTTGGGATTTGGGATTCTTCGGGCTCAGAGCGATAGGGAGAGCCAGCGTATTTTTCGATAGTTAAACAGGTTAACTCCTGCTACATATATGTATGTGTCCGCAAGATTTCTTCTCGCACTTGAAGGCGCAAGCTGTTTATGTGCTGTCGTGTTTGTGGCCCTTCTGTAATCTTAACCGAAACCAGTGCAAGCTTCAACGCCCAGGCTAAGCGGCTTTCACGTCTGCAGGGGCGCTACGTGTTGAGGGGTGTGTGGGCCGGGCTCTTGTCGGAAGGTGGGCCCCCTGTCGGCCCAATGTAAACCGGAAGATAGTCTCAACTCGGTGCCAGCCTCGTCGACTGACAAAGGAATCCTGGGGCGACAGCGAATGCACCCTGCACAAGACAAGCACCGACGCCGTCCAACAGTATCTGCTATCCATCGACCCTTCTGGTCGCCTGGCCCAAGGGAAGTGCAGTCCAAAGATGTTGAAGATACGGACCCAAAGTTATCGCGCAGCTGAGGATGCCTGATGCTGCGATCTTGAGTGGACACGTGGAAAGTGTTAGGTTGGGCCCCGATACAGCAGAGAAATACACAGCCCTTCTACGCGTGGAATCCTGAATTACGTCACAGCGAGGTTAGCTATGCAGGCATATGAGGGGCCTAGCCTTAAAGTGTGCTCCGCGCCCGTCCTCGAATTGAGCTCACGCGGCCACGCTGCCTTTCGAGTCACTTTGTCTCACCCTCTCACCATGCTCTGCCATACTCCCGTCCCCAAAAAAACATGGCACAGGATAGGCTGTTCTTGGGTGGATTTGGGGAGGGAGGGGAGGAGGGAGGAGAGAGGGGGCCCCTTTGAGGCCTCCAGAGCTTGCTGACGCTTTGCCGTCAGCAGCGGAGCCGACTCTAGGCGCTCGGCCTCCCAACATGGGACCGGGGCTCAAGGACACCGTAACGCCGTAAGACGCTCCATCTCTGCGCCTCGAAGGCATGCAGCTGCTCTCGCAGCCGCTGGGCAGCCGCGAGCGGCGAGGCCTCGAGAGTGTTCTAGAGCAAGGATGAGCAAGGTAAACACGGAAAACTCTTGGAGCCAGATCTGGGCCTCGTCTCCTGCAGTCTTGCGAAGCGTCACTGCCCGGACGGGGGGTCCTGAAAAACCATGGCAACACTGAACAACTTTGGGAGCGCCAGGACGCAGAGTGGATGAAGAGAGAAGGGGTCTGACCATTTCGTCACGCACCATACAACATCCCTCACGTCGACTTCCGGTTAAGAATTTCCTATACTCTCCTATACATTACACCGCCCCCTTTCCTCTCCCAACAGTCCTACAGTTCTCTGGAGATCCACGAGGCTCACCAACTCAAAGGCCAAGGACAGTAGCGACACCAGAAAGTCCTGAGATTCTGCTGACAGCCACTGTGTCCTGTAAAATGCGGCAAAATCCTGCCCGACACAGACTTCACAAACGCTCAAGCCAGACTTCTAGTTTTTCGCGTCGCTTTGTAACCGATACCACGTCTCGATCACCGGAGGCCAGGTGCAACTATCGTCTTGGTTATGCTGTGCGCCGTGTGCCCCAAGCTCCAATCATGAGCCCGGCAGACCCTTCACTGATGATCTTGTCAAGTCGCCAGTGGACCGCATGAGTTAATACTCCCCTTCGGTCCGCTGTGGACAATGCCACGCTTAGTACTGTCTTATGTCCGAAATCCAGAGCCCGACTTTGCAAGGCACGGCTCGGTGTCATGGAAAGAGATCACAACATAGAGGCCCCCTTGCCGCAGCATGCGGTGGACGCAACCTTACAGCCCAGTCTCTTGGGACACAAGCGCATGGATCCCAATTGTAAACGGGCAAAGTACTCGAGAGTCGCTGAGCGGATCAGAGGCGCTGCAATAAGCGGCAGGCTCGCGGTGGAAAGCCGCGTGCATCATCACCCACGGACACTGACACAGACCCCCTTCACACACGAAAGGGCCCAGTGACATATTAGCCCAGCGGCAGCATCGCTGCAAAGAAGGCCTCGGGCACAGGAAGAGCAAAAGTCTATGGGGTACTCTCAGCGTTGATCCAACATTTGTTTGGTCAAGCCAAGTACTTCGCTGCAAGCTCCCGATCAAATGAACAAACCATGGCCCTGGACCTGGGACACTAACACAAAGAACGCGGCTCCACTTCAGGTCCAGATTGCAGCGTCGGGGATCGATTCTGTGGGCCGAAGGCAAAGGTGAAAAATTGCAACTCAGAACAGGCTACACTTCGGGTCTAAGTTTCAGTTCCCGATACATTTCTTGCCAACAGAAACTCAAAGAACCAAGCCCAAGACTTTTCAAAGTCTCAGGGGCAGTCCAGTGTGCTCTTGTCCACCACGAGGTCCGCACTGCCATCTGCCGCCACCTAGGAAGCTCCTCCCTCTCTTAACTATACTGAACTCGGAACCCCTGCAAAAGTTAGCATTTTTGCTGTTTCTTGGGAATTATAGTGCCCAAAAATTAAAAAATATTTCCAAGTAGTCCTAAGTCAACATGTGTGGATTGGAGAGGACGGGCTTTTCATTGCTGGCTATCGGCTGCTTGGACAGCGTGTCACACATCGCATCCCCCATTCCCAGACCTACCTCGCCATCCGATGTGAGGTCGCCGAGAGCAAAGGTCAGGCCCGGAAGGGAACCGTGGCGAGCCTGATACTGTCAGGGCGGCTTCCAGAAAGCCACCCTATAGGGCTGAGGTTTCGATTAGCTTCCTAGACCCGATTGTTTTTTTGCCGGCTGTCGCTGGTAGTTGTGCCCATCAGGGGCAGCGCGCTGAATCGCGGCAATCGGCACGCACTCACACATTGACCACCAACCGGCCCTGGAGCCTTATGCTGTGCCTATGGCATCATGGTTGCCTTCCCTTTCAGAGGTGTGATCCGAGGCATGCCAGAACTAGCATGGAGAGCCGCCTTCATGTGTTGGATGACCGCCTCGTCGTTGTCAATCGACAATACCTGACGATGCGCAGGAAAGGTTCCCAAGCAGCAACGTGGTGTTCCAGGTATCTCTGCGAAGATGACCACCCGATTGGCCATCCATTGCTAGCTCCATGGTGTCCAGATTTTTGTGCGGGATTTTTGCTGCTCAGCATTTTGACAGCATCATCTCACCTGTAGTTTGGGAGTAGTACTTCAAGCTGCTTGCATCTGCGAACAGCACTGTAACTTGTCCCACATTCATGGGCAAACCCTCACTGCTGCAAGAACCTTAACAGAAGCCAATGCCCTGCACCCTCCCTGAAGTGGCCTTGCAGAAACCGCACCATCTCAACCACCCCGGGCCTTGTGGAAGCCCAATGCCAGGTGGAGGTCCTTAGAGAGGTCTGACCTCGTGGCTTGCCGATCAAAACAGCTTCCAAATATCGGGTTGAAGTTCAGAAAGAACCCATCCACGCACCTATCTCTGAGCCCCCACACGTGCCGCAGCCAACCACGACCACCGAGCTCTCCAGCCCTCTCCTCGTGGTTTCAGGGTACGTGCCTTTCAGATCTCGGGCCTTCTGCATGTTTGATACAGGAGTTCAGCCTTCAATTGCACAGAGAGCTCAGGGTTCAACATCCGGCCAAAGTGCTCAAGATCCAGTGTCTCGAACACAGGCTTGAGGTCTGCAAACGGCAGAAGCCTTAGCCACGATCGTAAGGATTGACCCAGCATACTCGCGCACGTACGGACATACTCATTCTGAGGAACAGGCCACTCATAGCAGCCTGACTGGGAATAATCTGGTCCCATCGTGTCCATCGCCAACTTGCTGGCAGCCCCGCGCACATGGCTGCAGGAGTCAAATGAAGCTTTTGAGGCTTTGGGGTTGAGTGAGTTCTGGAGGCAGGACTCTCTCAGGGCTGTTGACCCAGGCAAGTCTGGGCTAGATGTTACCTGCACCATGCGAGGTAAGCCAAGCCCCAGATGTATAGAATCTGTCTGAATCTGTCTACAAACCTTTAGCTGGGACCGAGACCGCGGCACAGGTGTAGAGAGAAATGTCAAGCGAGGACTACATTGGCACATCCATGTATTGAAGGTGTGCCTATACACATGTTTGTGATGAAGGTTCCTAAGGAAAAGGGCCGTGCCTGCAACCTTTGCCGTGCAAGAGGAAAACCAGTGATACTTCGCGTTGGGAACTTGAGCTTAGAAGTACAACGTAGCTGCACAAGCACACTGCGCAGCAAACCCTGACAGCCCACATGCATCAGATCTGAGCTCTGGTGCTGTGCTCGCACCCATCTCCAGGAGCACCATTCAAAGAAGCCCTTTGGAACTTAATGGAACTCTTTTGGGTGGCGCCTCCTCCATGGCCTTGACCTGCTCTTCCGGCTTCCTTGCACTTTTCGTGGAAAAACCGTCTCAAGAACAACTCGGATGGTTCCTCCTCAATCGCCACATGCACCCTGCCTAATCAGGGAAGCTTTGTCATCGTCTGACAGCCCATTTAAATTTCGCCGCACGCGCTCCACCTGGCCAAGCGATCATACAGGCGGGCAGGCTTGAAGTATATATATATATATACATATGCACTGCTTAAAGATGAGATGGCTCCCTGCCAGGCCATCCCAGGTTTACTCGCAACGCTGCTGATTCGGCACGGTGTGACACGTCTCGCCTCCCGGTTGGTAATGTCGCGGTACTGGCGCAGGTTATCCAAGCAAGTGGCGGCAGCCTGCCGATACATGGCACTGGTACACAAACCAGGCGCAATCGAATGGTGGAGAGGTGGCATCTGGGTTCATCTCTCAGGTCGCAATGTCTCCCCGACTCCAAGGGCCGCACCCAGTCAGGCGGCCGCTCGCACGCCCCAGCCATGAAAAACTGAGAGTTCCTACAGCTATAAAAGAACCAAAAGCCGCCTGCAATGGGAAGTTGAGCTCATGCTGGTCCGGGAAATGCATGCAACAAGTGGGAGCTAGTGGCACGAATTCGCTGGGATAAACCTGCACCATTTTGTCGCTCTACGGGCAGATGTCTGGACAATTGAATGCCCAAAGTGTGGCCATACGAGTCCTTTCACCCGCAGTTCGTGATTATCGATGTCGGGTCTTCACACACGTATTAGACCTAATGGTAGTTTAATGCCCAGGCCAACCGGCAACCTAGCCTGGGTCCCCATGCACACCTTGTCTTTTTGCATGTTCTCTTCTGGGATGTGCTCAGGCAGCCGTCAGGCCTCACCAAGCACACAACATGCGCACGTTTTCACGCTGCAACAGGCTTACAACATCAACCTGGAGAGCAGCGGCTGAGGCAATCCCTGAAGCAGCAGTGCTAGTGTCAACCCTGCTCCCATGCACCCTTCCCCACCCACCATGCCCCCCCCCCCCCCCCCCCCCCCCCAAGAGGGGGGTAGTTGCACAGTGTCCAAATCCAAGTGTAATTCGCACCCCTCCCTCAAAATGTCATCATTCTATGCAGGTCCGGACTTTTCAATTGACAAAGGGCGGGCGTCCAAACATGAATTTCTCAGCGACGCTCCGCCATTTAATGGACAAAGGTCCCGAGCCTAGGTCATCTCTCCTTCTTTTGAGAGCCGACAAAACATTGAAACAACTCTGAGCATCTCCTCTCAGGCTAGCCCTGGATTTGCTCCATTTGCACATGATCTCATGGAGTTCGCAGATGGTCATGAAAGCAAAGATGCAGCCTGACACTCAGGCGTAAAGTCTGCAACTCGCTTTCTGCTTGACTGCAGGCCGTGGAGCCTCTCCTCAAGAAGAGCTCTGCTAGCAGTGATAGGATAAACAAATGGGCGCCTGACAGCAAAACTGCAGCCAACTCCAAAGCTTGACCGACTGGCCGTTTTGGTTGCCTAAAACTTCCCTCAGCAGCGCCTCACTTCTTCAGCCAGACATCGCCGTCCTGCCAGAAGATCGCCGGTTGCGGGCCCCCGTTGACCTCCGCGGATTGCAGAAGGGCGCATCTGCAAGGATTTGGCAGGCCACGAACTAGAATGATACCGTGGTTGTGAAACGCAAGAAGGTTTGCTGATATTGATGGACATGCTCTGTCTCTCTCTTCTTCTTCTCCTGCTGAGCTTGAAGGCCCGAAGGCCCCCCCGCGCTCTGGCGCGCCCGAAGTCCGGTCTCAAGTGAAAACTCCCGGAACAGGCTCTGTCAAGTTTCCCCCAACCCCACCTCCCCCTCTCTCTCTCTTCTTCTTCTTTTTCTTCTTCTTCTTCTTCTTCCACGCTTTTCTCTCTCTCTCTCTCTCTCTCTCTCTCACTCTCTGTTCTGAGTCTGTGTGGCCGCAGGTATGGATTCAGAACCTGACACGTATATTCACGCCTGCGGATGGTGTGGGCTCTTCGGCATTGACATGCAGAAAGCATGGCCGCACGTTGCGACAAAAAAAGCATCTTTTAGACAGTCTGCCGGCAAGGATGCCTTAAACATGTCACTGTGACGTGTTTTCTGCATGTGCACGCACAAGATGAGTAAACTACAACAAACAAAACTATTCAAAACTCTAAGTACGAAACATAAACTGAATATGCATCCTGTGTATAATACTGAAATATATGGTACCCCACCCCCGCCAAAGACCCATACCGTTTCTTGCCTTCCACAAGAAAAAAAAAACCCTTGGCCTCAAAAGTGCTGTACTGTCCCAAACTTTATGGGGTCTCGAGGCAAAGGGATTGCGACAGAAACGCATTTTTGCTGCCCCAGACCTCAAGTGCTAAAGAAAGCCCAATCCCAAAGAGTAAAATTGCTGCAGATTGCTGTACTGTCCCCAAAACCAAGAAAAAAAGCCAATCTGTTGGAACCCAGGGCTCTCGCAGTTGGCGGGCCTAACGATTGGGACAGTACAGCATTTTTGTTCTTTAAGATTGGTTTGCTATCCTGGACGACAAAAGTGCTGTACTGTCCCAAACTCTTTGGGTTCTGGAAGCAAAAGATTGGGACAGTGCGGCATTTTGGCTGCCCCAGACATCCAGCGTGCTGTGCTCCTCACACAACCCATGCCGAAGAGCAAAAGTGTCCCAATCTTTTGGGCCTCACATGTGCGAAAGCTCTTGAGATTATCCCAACTACATTAACAGGCCACAGCCCAAGACACCCGCCTCTATATAGGCCTCATTCGTAATTCTAAAAATATAACCTTAACGACCACACCGTATGAAATCCTCCTCTGGCCCCCATTCGCAATGAAATTGAATTGGAATTGTAAATCTGGACTCCTTGGTGACCGAATTTGATTTGAACTTTAGATTCAAGGCAACACCTAGAAGACATCCCTTCTAAACCTGATCCAGAAGTTACAACACTACACTCACTACACCCTAAGAAACACACCCTGAAGAAGCTGAACGGGAGGTACTGTCTGTTTCGCACATGACGTCAGCATCCCTTCATTCCTCTGCCTCACATACTACTTTCCTGCGGCTAGATGGGCCATTAAAAACTCGATGGATGCAGGGGGTGGGGGGGGGGGGTCGCACCCGGATCGCACATACAAATATGCACAGCTTGTACATACACACCGAATGCAGCGGCATGCAATTTTTCATCCCCAACAAACGTCACACCCTGAAACCTGAAGTGCGTCTCATACCCTGCCTCCCCAAAAGTGATCGCGTCGCCCAGCGTGATTTTGATAGTGGTGGTGCCTAGCAGCTCGAGTTCACCGGATGCAAGACATGATAGCTAAACCCTCCCTTCCTTCGTCGGACCAGGGGCACCAGCGCAGACAAGTACAGTTTTCGGACAGTGACCGGGAGACTTGCGAATGATCCTAAACAGCTCTTCTCTGGAGCTCCTGAGCCACGCGAAATGTGCCTTCTCTCTCCGGCTTTTCGTGGGGTTCCGGGCATGCCAAGGAAGGCCCCAAGACAAGCATGAGATTGCAGCAGTTGGAGACCTCGAAAGCTACGTGCGCCACCCTCGGCCCCCATTCCGCAACCAGCCTTGGGTAGTCCCATCCGCGGCCATGATCTCCAGCTCGGTCTGAGTTTCCGGCATCCTCCTCTGACGGCGGAAAGGTTGTTCAGGGCTTGCATGCGTCTCGGGAAAGAGGGGGCGACCATCGGATTTGAGACCTTCACTTATGTTCTCTTGAAGCCCAAATTATCGAAGAACTGAAGACACACGTGTAGAAAGCTTCGCTAACAGACCCCAATTTTTGGCAACCTAAGGACCTAAGGCGACGAGCATTGACGAGCTGGGAGCGAGGCTCACCGTGAAACGGTCAGTGAAACGTCGCGCAACCTTCCCCGCTTGCCCAAAAAGAAGCCAAGGCTCCAGTGAACATGCCAAATGAGGCGTCGGCCGATACACTCGCCGACCTGTAGGTTGTCGTCCTTAGGTTGGATGCGAGAGCGCTATTTGGGTCGGCAGGAGCTTTGCAGAGAACATCGGGGCCTTCTTTGAGAAGCTGTAGGTCGGAGCGGAGCAAGTGTGGAGCTCTGAAAGCACTCATGTAAAACCAAAGGTTTGGCCAAGTCTAGCAACGGTCGTATGTGGAATAGCAGATGCGTTCAACTTGAGTCCTCATTGAGACCTCGCGCCGACCTCCCACATGTCCTGGGGAGCTGCCAAGAAGGCCATGGCTCGCGGCGATACCAGGCTCCTTGCAAGATTTCCTTGGTCGTCAAAAGCTAGTTTCCTTGTGATTTGTACTGAGCCTGATAAAACCGAGAAACACTGATGCAGCAAAATGCAGCAAAGCTGCGAACTCGGGTTCGAGGAACTCGTCTTCATTAGGCAGGAAGGGCTCGAAGTTGAGGGTGATAGTGCCTTCCGCCTCCTGGCTGTGTAGTCCTTGGCGGGTGAATTTCCGAATCCTCTGTGGGCCTTACGCAGCCTTAAAGCCAGCCTACGTCTACACAAGGGGCTTGGCGAGGACTTCAGCCCAATGAAGAGCATTCACGTTGAACTTCTTCCACAAACAACAAAACCATGCGACTCCTCCACGCCCGAGACTCCGCACGGCCTGCCTCCGCACTTGTTTTTGCATTTGTGGTTGCTGCATTCGGCTCCCATGCGCAAGGCCGGGCACCGAATGTTGGAGGCTGGACATGCAAGTAGCAATTCTCTGAAGGGCCAAACTTCAATCGACCCCCTTGGATGAAGCTCTCACTACAAGCTTTGTAGCTCTTGACGTTTCTTGGGCCCGTGTCGTGGGTAGTTCCTGGCTTTGGGTTGCGTATGTTTGCAGCAAAGCTGGAGCCATGCAGCGGGTGTCATCGGAGATGTCAGCACAGCCGACCTTGTCTCGGACACCGTTAAACTTTTCGGCGCTGGAGGTGGTTGCCATGAGAAAGGGGAGCATGTTCATAGGCGTTGTGGAATGGTCTCCGTGGTGCCCGCCCTTGTTTCTCGGTACGACCCAAGAGATCTGGGATAGGGCGCGTTCCCAAAAATCCCCCCCCCAACTCTGTCTCAAATGGGTTGAAGTTTAAGCAGCCTCCGAGGAGCAACGACATTGAACGCTCAAACCTCCCTCCCTCCCTCCCTCCCTCCCTCCCTCCCTCCCTCCCTCCCTCCCTTCTTCTTCTTCTCCTCGCTTAAGAGGACCACTCTCTCTCTCTCTCTCTCTCCCTCTCTCGGCCCCGTAAAGCAGGGCAAAATGGTACAGAACGCGCTAGTCGAGCCCAGCCTTCTTAAGCAATTGCTCAGATCAGCCGCAGTTCTTGGACGGATCGGCGTTGGGGTTCAGAGCCTCCGCTGCTTCCAGTGTGACTGGGCGATGTGGAGTCATGCGCAATTCTTCAATTGTGAAAACCCCTTTGGCAAACTCTTCCACGCCTGCAGCACCATCATAATGCGACGCAGGACGACCTAGCTGGTGGCCGAAAGGAGCACACACACACACACACAGAGGGGCACCCGAACCGGCCCTAACTTACTCCTCCCCCCCCCATGACTATAGAGGCTGTCCCGGGCATCTCGACGATTTCCGGCGAAAGGCGAAGGGGCCCTTCTGCCGTTTCCTGATTCTAAGTGGCATTTTGCCCAGCCTTTCCCCTTCAGGACTGTGCACGTCCAGTCAGCACTGCAGTCCCAAACCTCCCCAGAACTTCCCCAGATAAATTTAAAAAAAAACTAACGTGCACTTTTTTGCAGGAAACCAACCCTCTAGTCTGAGAGCACAACGACGTGATTCCGTAAGCCAGCTTCATCAACGGGATGTGACCCTGCAAGCTGCGGAAATGCCCATGGCGGTTCAGGTGCAGATTCAATTCGGTTCTCGTTCTTTTTCCCAGCGCTTTGCTTCAGCCCCAGCAGCCAAACCCCATGCCCGACACAGCCTAAGGGCCTAAGTATATACGCACTCTGCCAAGCCAAATTCCAGCACCGCAAATTCCATAAACAACGCGAACTGAGGTCCAGGTGGGCAACAGGCCTGACTCGGGCGTCCAATGGACCTGCCATGGTAGTTGCACGTCCCAGAATAAGGTTCGTCGTTTTCTCGCACATGTATGCCTTAACGTCTCTCTCACTTAATTGCTTGGCACACGTCAACTCTGACAACCGCCGCTGACGCATGGCTTCTCCCAAGTCATTTCTCTTATCGTGCACCACGTGTTTCGTCTCTAGTCGTCTCTCTCCCTTTGCTGTCTCTGGTTCCTTGTCTCGTCCCGACTTGTCGTCGTACTCACTCTCACACTGCACTACCCATCTCTTGTACGTAGCCACCCCTGTTTGCAGGCAGTGGCAGCACACTATCAAGTCTCTCGCGGCATGCAGGTTCCGACTCACATGTTCCTATGTAACCTCATGAAGCAACACCCTACAGCTTCGACGGCTGCTTCCACCAGATCCTGTAATAGGAAGGGCTACGCGAGAAGCTCTTCCACGCGAGTGGGGCTCTGTCGAGTCTTGGGAATTCGGGGCTCGGCAGCATGTGCCTCGGTGTCTTGGCGCGACATGGAGAAGTTCACCTGTGGGAGCCCGTCCCGCAAAATAAACTCTTAAACGATGGACCAAGCACCAGCCCCTGGATTGTTTTTTGGCCACCTGCCTAGCAAGGCACTGCGGGGCACGCTCTTGGAGGAAAAGTCGGGATTGGGGTTCCTGTCGAGGGTCTTGGGGGGTTCGGGATCTCATGACAAGGTTCGCAGCATTATACTTTTGACTTCGATGTCAATGCTGGTCGTGACCGCTGCTGTGTCCTATGGGACAACTGAGTGAAAGGAGATGGCTGGCTACTCGCCTTTTAAGGGAAACCCTCAGCTTGACGAAGCTCGCGCATACATCTGGACAACATAGGCTCCTGCCATGTAGGGCATGTCGTTCAGCCACTTCTTCGTCCCAATGACCAGGTCCATGTAAATCTGTGTTGGCGCACGGCAGCTTCGGTTGTACCACCATGACTTCTTGATCTTATCCATGGTTTCTGACTTCTCAAGACAACCGAGAGTATGTGTAAATGACGAGGCTGGCTTGAGCAATTTTAGGAAGGTCAAGGGCTCAGGATGGTTCAGGGTGTATTTAGAGCTGTGGTGACAATCCCCCCCCCCCCCCGGCGCCCGAGTTCGCATCCCTGTTTTTGGTGAGGTTACAGATGTTGGTGCGGCAAATTGCCGTCTGATTGCATGACAACAAGTCGACACAGTAATTGGCGCACGCAAGCTTGAAGATGTTTATAGATCAACCAATGAAAGGAGGAATTCTGCCCTGCAGGAGGCATCGGGACCCCTCAGCCGTCCTTGTTGGCATTGGCGTATTCCCGGTCACCGATGCTGACCACCATCTCCTGCTCCCAGATTCGGCATTTTTGGAGATTCCCTGTGTCTTGACCGACACATGTTCAAAAGGCATCTTTCAAACGCATATAAACGCATCATATGGCCCTCCCTGATCTCGCCCCTGCCTCAAGCTTCCTCAGGAGGTCCACAGACAGCCGCTGGGCGCCTTCAGGGAGACACCAAAAACACAAACTCTGCTCCACGGAGCCCATCCTTCAGCTTCGGGGCTTCGGGCTGCAGACGTGCTCCTTTTTCTTCGTGCTGACTTTTTTCGTGCATGTGCATGCTGCTAGCGATGCGTGGGACGATGGCCGCCAAGCAGGTGAGGCACGGGGATTCGGAGCTAGACGGCAACAGACACGGTTTGTCGGCAACTACCAACCTGACTCGAAAACTGAACTCCGCTGGTTACATGCTGTACATGCTGTCGTGGGCAGTCCGCTAGCAAGCACAAGGGACCGAGAGCAGGAGGTAGGAGTGAGTGCAGACATGTGCAGACTTGATTCAAGAAGCCGATTTGCAAGATCAGGCTGGAAAGCAACCGACATGCCGGGAACCAGTGCGGCACTTGCTGAATCCCAATAGTTTGGCCTTCTGAAACGGGAGCTCAAGGTTGCTGAGCGAGTGAAGCAGGTGAGTTTTCTGAGAGCGTGTTGATGGCCTCTGAAGATTGTCCTAAACCCTGAAAAAAAACTAAACTTTTGGCACTCCAGGAGTCCGGCCGAGCTTTCGGCACAGCTCCTCCACAGCACGTGCTGCCTCGCAATGCCAATTCCCCCCTGGGATTCCTGGGTTACCCGCAGCCAAGCAAGACGATGGATTCGAGGGTCAGGATTGCAGATTGAAGTTTCATGTTCTGTGGTCTGACAGGCTAGTGTGCACCAAACGCGGCTGTAAACAGCGCAGTGTAAACAGTGTACTTTGCAGCTTTGCGCCCCAGGTCACCTCGTCACCAACAACAGCACCAGAAAGCACACCGTCAGAAGTTTAGATTAAGGCGAGAAGCTCTCGCACCCCTCGCGGTTTGTAGTATATATCTATATATAAATATACATATCGGTATATATATATATAGTCATATATGTGTGTGTGTGTGTGTCCGTGTCCGTGTCCGTGTCCGTGTCCGTGTCCGTGTCCGTGTCCGTGTCTGTGTCTGTGTCTGCGTATGTACGTACAAACGTACGTACGCACGTATGTATGTATATGGCACAACCAAATTTAGCTCCAATACAGCCCTTATAAACTCTGCCCGGCAAAGGCCTCACATGTTTGTGCTCATCGGGCCTGGCCTCAGCTACTGACTTCTCCGACCTCGGCTTTATACAAGCGATCTGCTTCAAGGCACAAGCTGAAGGTACTAGGGAGTCGATGTCAAAAGTCTCCGGCACGCCTAAACCTCGGACAGCACCTCTGAAGTCACTACAGGCCGCGTCCCCGGCGTGAGGTTCGAACTGCCACTGCCGAGGCCCTGATGTTTTCATGGGCTGCGAGGAATGCTGCTTTCTGCTCGTCTTTTTCGAACCTTAACATGCAAATGTGTGCTGAAATGTGCAAAATAAGATGCACTCGCTTTTCGTGCGCAAATAGATGACCAGCTGATGTGTCATTCGTGCCGCAGCGTACCGGCTATGTCAGACCATGCCCTAGACAAGAAGAGAAAGTACGCCATGACTACGTGACTACGTAAGGAATTCAGGGGGGCAGCCTGGAGCCTGCTTGCACTCGCCGGTTCCTGCAGGCCACGCCGCCAGCCTTGGAGAGCGAAGCGTTCTCAGGATTTTTGGGGATCTTTTTGGGGGACTGGCCCAGTCATCATCTGGGTCTTCTCATGTTTTCTCATGGTTTCTCATGTTTTCTAGCCTCCCTCATTGGTTTGAGGACTTGGGGGTTTCGGGATGTTTCGGGGCTTTGCTCTGCTCGAAAGCTTGCCAGCATTTGCAATTGCGAGCTTCAGATCCCCTCAACGACCTGCAAAGGATGTAAAGTCGTCGACCAACCGAGGAAATACCGCAAGACCAAGGCCCTTGAGCCGCCAACAAACACGTCAGAATAAGGCATCCGTGATGGCTGGGCGTCCCCACAAGAAAGGAAGTGCTCCAAGGAATGCGTCTTGGCACACTCGGCACACTGCTTGATCTGCTTGAAACGCCGGGTGCTGAGAGAAAAGGAAACTGTCTCAGGCCAGGCTGGCTGAGCAACTGGCCAAGAAGCCCACGGAGGTCTCAAAGGAACTCCTGCCATCGGAGATGTGTGCGGTCTCCTGAACTCCTATTTTTCCGCTAGCTTCGATCGGTTTGAGGGTTTAAAGTTTAGGGCAGCTTGTAATGTGATTCCAGCCCGGCGCAAAAAGAAGGCCAGTCATTTTTGAACCTCCTTTGTGCGGAATGGCCGGGCTCTGCGAGCCCATGAAAACCCAAATGTCCCAAAGAGTGCCGGACACTCACGGACACTCAAGGGAGGCGCTTCACCCGCCCCCGGCCTCGGCAACCACTCCGGCTCCGAGGAGGCCTGCGCGATGTTTCCGCAATTGGGGGTATGGGAAACTCTGCTCAGGTACCGACAAAGCTTCTAAAAAAAGACAAACGCATCTGCAGAGAAACTCCTGAATGAGGCCTGCTTGCCCAACGTTGCCCAAGCAAACGCGTCGGGCAGATAAGGAACTCTTTGGCAACACCACACCCAAGCCAGAGCCAAGCCCTCCTGTTTTGCATCCGTACATGCTTGATCTAACCGGTCTGCCCTTCGCTTCATAGATCCACAAAAAGGGCTCAGAATCAGGGCCCACCCTCATAGAACCATACCATAACCCCATGAGGAGTTTTCTTGAGACCTACAGTACGGAGGTCTCTGCTGTCCGAGCACCTTGGGCTCGCGTCTTGGAGAAGGTTGCGGCTCCTCTGGCCTGTGCCAGACGCTCTTAAGGGGCGTTCAGGGCGTACGGTTTCGTTTTACGCTTCCAGCTCTGTGCGTGTAAATCACTCCACAGATGCTACAAGAATCATTTGGTGCACGAAAGCTGTACGTACTTTTCCCGTGTACACTGGCCCAGCCCACCCCCTTGCACCGAGGCGTCGGCTCCGACATGGCCAGGGCGGCTTCCGGCTTGCATGGCTTCGCCTCTGGGGTGTAATGGCTTATAGGGTGTGCACTATGTGTTCAGGACATTTCAGGACGCACATGGAGGGATTTGGAGGCTTTGGTCCGAGAGAGGCTTAGGACTCTTGGATATCGTGTTGGAGCCCCGAGGTCTTTCCTGAGACGCTTACAACTTATCTGAGCCACGAAACGAAGACCCCCGAAAAGATAGCCAAGAAGAACCTCACAGAGCCCACCTGACACCTGAATCATGCAGTACAAAAACATTGACAAGCGCACGCGATGAATCATCCGGCATGTTTGCCTTGACCATAATTCATGGTGATTGCCGCGCACGTCTGAACAGCCAGATGGTGGGGGGCCTCCTTGTCTGTCGCGCGACCTGGGTTGCGGGTTGAGAAATGCTGGGGCATGTTGGTGCTCTGATGAGCCTTCACGGCTACTGCCACGCGCCAGCTCTACAAGCCCAGACTTCAATCCCGAAGCCTATACTTTGATCATAAACCAAAACCTTACCTTGAACTTGGAGCTCTATCCAATCAGCTGGGAGCCACACGCCAGGGGCATGTGCGGACATTAATCACCACAAGTTCCACTGCTGAGTACAGCTTGAAACTCCTAGTCGCCGTCCAATCCAACATGCAAAAGAAAACTACTAAGTCGTTTCTTTTACATCCAGGCCTTAGTTTTTAAGGCTGCAAACCTTGTCCGTCTTTCTTCTCTGCGACGTTGCTTGGCTTCTATAGTGCTTCAACTCTTTTACAGTCTTGTGTTGTTCTCGGAGACTCTGCAAGTCTGGAGGCCTGCCTCTTTAAACCCCTCCGCAACTGGACTTGTAGGTGGCATGGCCTGCCTACCCTGACATGTGATCGTGAGATCAGAAGATGAACTACAAGTAGCAGACCCACCCCACCGGTTCAAGCTCGGCACAAGTGCCTTTGAAGCAGCTGTTCGTTCTGTAAGCTTCTCAAAACGCTTGAGCCTTACAGCCACTTACACCCTATAAACCCTAATTCCTGAACAGCCTAAACCCTAAACTTAATCCCGAAACCCTAAATGCCGTTAACGGGATTTCCCTGGGCTGCCCCGCAGCAGGCGAAGCCCCAGGATTGCGTCTTCGTGCAGAACCAGGACCCCCACCTCGACCACTTGAACCGAGCGTTCAGAGGCAGCGGATTTGGGAGGGCCACCTGGCCGGGCAAAGCCACGCAGGCGCGGCGCAAACGCAACAACGATGACAGAAAGGCTTGGAATTGGAAGAGTCATGCACTGCAACAAGTCGTCCGCCAACCTTTGCGAATCAAGCCCCGACCCTTCCAGAATCCACATGCGACGAGTCGGAATGCTCACACCAGCAGCAGCACGTCACCATCCAGGCCCCTCACACACTCGCATGCCCCAGTGGAATTGCATCCTGCCATATACCATCCAGGGTTTCGGAGCTCTGGGGTAGTCCGGCACCCAAGCTGCAAATGCCCAGCTCGTCTCAACTTTGTGGTGGACATACCTCACGGCCCTCGTCTTCATGAGTCGAAGCTGAGTCGATGGATCCCTGCCTCTGCATAGCGCGAGGTAGCAAGACTGCGTTGGAGTTCGTAGCCTGAGCCACATGTCGAGGGTGAGGGTGTAGAGTTGAGAGTTGGGGATACAGGAGAAGGCCTTATGCCATGTATGCATAGGTGCTCGAAGGAAGCTCCCTAGGGTTGAGGTGGGATGCCCAGCTGTCCGTATGTCAAATATGGGCGCCACATTTTCGTGGTTCATGCGCTATGTCAGACGTGAATGAAAACACCATCTTCAGCTTTCAGGCGTTGAGGGGCATGGCTGCTTCCGACATACCAAGCTGCAGGCCGGCATCCATGCTCGCTGCACGTGGGACGCAGCATTACATGCCATAGGCTTCGCAGGTTAATGCCTCCAAGGCTGTGAGACAAGAAGACCAGGTGGCTCAGAATGTTGCTGCTCTGGAGGTTATACCTTTTGCAATGACATCACGGGCGGCGCGAAAGCTGGCCGTTTGCTGCATATCCCACCCACGTTTCGGACACTTCAGCTTGAGCATGGTATGTAGAAGACGTGTTCATAACTGCTTCCCTCTGACATTGAACAGCAGCTATCACTACGAGTACCAGGTACACCGTCACATACCGTCACGATAGCTTGTGATAGCTTGTGCTTGTCACTTGCGAAGGTGCTTGCTTTCCTGCCCTTTTGCACGAGTAGCTTTCATATCACATGGCTTCAGCAGCAACGCAGTCGCCAAGGCAGCAAGCATCCTAAGTGTGCAGGGCAACTTCGCACCGGGAGCCAACCGGGACTGCGCAGTCGCAAGAAGGACGGGTTGCCACAACACGCACGTTCACTGCTCACAGTGGCTCACAGTAGCTCTGTCCAACACCTCTCTCTCCACTCCCACGGGTCAAAACTTTACGCCGCCCTGGCCCTGACCTCAATGAGAAAGCAAGACAATACACTATAATACACCTACATAACCTGTGCTTGGCGCGTGAACTCGATACTTCAAGGCTGGAGCCCTTTCGTGCTGACATAACATTCAGGAACCAGAGGCATACACGTGTGAATGATTGTGACTGCGATGCGTGCGATATGCAGGCACAGTCCACAACCGTGACGATAGAACGTGATACCAGTATCAGAAAACATCTCGCGAATCCGATGGGGCACGCTGCTTTTCGTCCACACCATGTATTCTCGTGTCGAGCTCAATCGAAACGAGTGAAACCGACCAGGGCTGCCCAAACACTGATATGCGATCGGCAAACGCAGTCCCAGATACCGACTCCTCCACATGAGAAAGTGAGAAAGTGGGGCTCTGGAACCGCGCCCTGGGCCTGAAGATCCAACTAGCCGGACGCGCTCAGCTGCTCTTCCAGATGCTTGAAGTCTTCATTGAACACCGCTCGCCTGGCACGTTGACGCTGGACTCTGCTGTTGCAATACCGAGTCAATACCGGCCCTCCAAGGCAAACTGCTCGAACTACCAAAGCGCCGCCGAAGCGTCTGTTCCTCGCTGGGGCTCAAAATGAAATCAGCCGCTTCCTGCCGGGTCTGCCGAGCTCACATCAGAATCAGTATGCTGGGACAGACGGTTGAGCAATCCTGCCCAGGACGTGGCACGGCAAGGCTCAAATGCGGAACCAGCACATGGGGAACTACAGATACTTGCGCTTGGGACCACGGGGGGCGGGGGGGAACTTCTCTCTCACAGCACTGTGACGACCCGCCTTGCAGATGGCATGGCAGAGGTATTCATGTTCATGTGCCGTGTGCCCGTCGATCTTGAATGATTCGCCTTAAACTGGAGGAGGTGGGAAATGGTGACGAATGGCGGCTTAAAATGATGAACGCAAGCCCCCTTCAGGTGGCACTGTCAGTACCCCAACGTGTCTTAGTCCAAGTCGTCACTGCCACCAACTTTGCACCGGAGCGCTCCACCCGCTTGATTCTCCCCAAGAGCCTGCCTCGAAACCACTGAACCCCCTCAAAGCCGTCGGCCCCCCATTGGACGGGATGCGGATTTTCGTAGAGCTGAAGCTTGCCACCTCGCCCCGCAGTGTCCCCCGAGTCGCTGACGTCTTAACATAATAACGAAGTCTGGAGGCTTGGAGCATACACTTGCTTGGGATTATCTGGGTTCTCGGGAATATTTGGCTTTCGCGTGAGTCTTTCTCAGCTGCGATGCAAGGTGCAAGCGGCTTCGGGTCACGACGTTTGTCAAAACTGTCCAGTTCGGCAATGCCGGATGTTGTTTAGGTGAGTGCATCGCCATGCGTGGTGAAGGTGTAAGGGCTAAACTTGCGAATACGCGCGACTAAACTGCACCTCAATCACAGGCACTTCCCAATGTCGGCCCCGCACGAGGCTAGCCATATAGACACAGAGAACACAGAGACACACAGACGCAGAGACCCGGAGACACAGAGACACAGAGTCACGGAGACATATACACACAGACACAGACGCACACACACGCGCACACACACACACACAGAGACACACACAGACAGAGACCCACGCACGTGGGCACACAGGCAGACAAACAGAGAGAAAGAGAGAGAGAGAGAGCATCTACAGAAATTTAAAAGGGAACATAAGTAGATATGTGCACAGCATATTCCAAGACATAAACACATGCATAAATAATGAATGCGTACAGACAACACAAACAAATGTAAACATAACATATCGACACACGGATATGTGTACAATTGTGTACATATATATATATATATACACACAAGATGAGACAATAAGCGTCGTTGCGCCCCCCCTGAAGGCAGAGTACAACGCAGCCCCGCGGCATCCCCAGGAGCTGCCGAGGCCACGAAGACGAACTTCCCCGGGCTCTCCGGCTGCGGAACCTGGCGAACATGGGCTTCGGATTGTGGGAGGGGGGGGGGGGGCAGATGATCATAACATAATCATTAATCTCTGTATTCTCTACATACCTGTGCATATTTAGCATATATTTCGCATCTGGTGAGACCTGGCTGTCGCAGAATGTCCCGAGAGCGTATCGAGTCCACACTGCAGCAGCAGCCTCGCCCTCGCGCGGGACCACGACGACCCCCACGTTCTCCGCATCTCCGCCAAAGCGGCCGAAGCCCTCCCGAAGGCAGCAGGTTCTGCAGGTGCTCAGACGCCCTCAACCAAGGCCCTGTGTTGATATTACGTGAGACAGCCAGAAACAAGGCAGCTGCATGGTGGGGTGCTTTCTGCGAATCTGTGTGGGATTCCATCGCATTCCATTCGTGAACGAGCACCGACGGCACCGCTGCGCAACCTGGTAGAGACCGCAGCGCTTGGCATGGTCTGTGCCTGTGCTCCAGGAAGGTCGGGGCATAGTGCGAGACGAGCACAACACACAAAGCTCCAGGTAACTTCCGGCCAAGCCACCGCAGGCATAGAACACGCGCGGCATGGAACCCAAACCTGATTCTATAGGTGTTGTCAGAACATTTGGCATGCATTACGTACATCCTGGATCTCTGCCGACTTTCCCGACGTCCCGTGCCCTTCAATGTCCAAGAAGCTTTCTGGGTCTGCAATCTGCTCCTGCATCTTTTTCCTTGGTTGAGGAGCTGCGCTTCGGGCATGGGAGTCTTGTCTATTCTCGAACGGCGGTCCACGTCCTCATAGAATTTAAGATTGCGGGCGCAGAGAGCCCCCCTCCATCTCGAGCACAGCACCCGAACAGCACACAGGTGCGCTCTAACCCACACTGGCCACGCCAGCCGTTGATCGCAAGTGCGCAAATGCCCCAAACTTGAAAACACAAGACGAACGTCTGTACAAGCGCCAAAACCCCCCGGAACCCCACTCGAGCCAGGCAAGAATCTCAAGTTCGACGGCCACCTTCACATCGGGAGCCACGTAAGGGGTCTCACTTCTTCTTCGGGTTCTTCGGGTTCTTCTAAGGTTGGATTGCAACATTTGGCCAGCAAGCTAGTGGACACCTGGCCGAAGCCACGGGCTGCTTCTTTGTCTACAAAAAAGGCTCAGCGCAGTCGGGCTAATTAGCAAGTGGTGCCTGTAAACCTTAGAGTGTATAGTGCAGTACTTGAAACACAACCAGCTCGTGCCTCACAGACAAACCAAGCGATGCTTCTGCGTGTCTTGGTTTGGGATTTCAGCATGCGCTTGCTGACGGTGGAAACCCGCAGATCTTCTGAATCCTGTGTTGCACCAAACACGACCTTCCAAGTGCACCGCAGCTTCTTGGAGCCACGATGGGCCATGCTCTCAAGGAAGGATGCAACAAAGAGCTGCTCGTGCGTGATGTAGAAAAAAGTAGCGAAAAAAGAGATAAAGTTATCAGATAAAGATAGTGCCTGGACCCTCAGCAGAGCCTCTGGGAAGTCAGGCCATCGTCCAGTGACGTTTGCTTCCCAGCTTCCCACGGCCACCAGGTCGTCCTCACCTTGCACGGCGCAGGGCTCCGAGCGAGTCTTACAACCCTGCGCCTCAAAAGAAAAGCCTCACAATGCTCGATGTTTCCAGGTCCCAGAAGCTCACCATCAAGTGTGCCAGCTTCAGCCGGAGCCCACTGCTGAGGTGCAGGGTTCCTAGGACAAAGAGCAGGATGTCTCTTTTTCTTTCTTGGAGGTTTCCTTGGCGACTGGGGTGAGAGCGCCCCAAAATGCATGTAAGATCAGCTGCACTCCTGACTATCAGCCTACTGCATGGCACACAAGAACCGACGGCTGCCTCCAAAATCTTCAACTTTAACGCTCCAGCCGCTCCAGCCCAAAACACTCCGGCGACCCTCGGCCCCCTCCCCCCCCCCCCCCCCCCCCCCGCCCAAAAAAAAGCAATAATAAATCCCCCCAAACCCCAATGAAAACCTCCGGCCGGGCTGCCCAGGCGGCAAGCCTTGGGGCCCACGTAGTCCTTGGCTTCTGGGACTCTTAGACTCTTTTAAGGCTCTGAAGCTTTCAGTGTTTCAGTACACCAAAGCTCTCCATAGGGAAGGAGGGGCTTATTTTCAGGTCAACTGCGGTGCATACCCTCTACAAAGCCCTACGCGTGGAGATCCTACATCTCACCAAGCGTCGTCATGTGACGGGGACATCCATGCCCCAAGCACGCAGTAGCCTTCTCCTTGCAGCGCGGCAGATAGAGGTAGAGGGGAATCTGCTGCCACCAATCACACACATCAAAACACACCCCTGAGACGTTGAACCAAGTCTCTGTGAAGCCTGTCCGCGGCTTGTCGTAGAAGCTGCGCATGCCCCTCATGACATGCGTTCATGAAGCGTGTATGCGACTGGCCTCCAACAAAGCACAGATCTATTCCTGCCCGCCAACCCAACATGGTGGAACAGTCTATAAAGAGGCACTAGGACAAATCTCGCGCATGCACAGTCGCAAGACCCCACCTTGTGAGGCGGATTCATGGCCCCCGTGGTTAGAAGCACACACGGGCGCAGCGTCGACGCCGCAGCACGAGCCTTGTGCAAGCTCAGGGGGTGCAGAGGAAACTCGAGCAGTTTGTTTCCCCGGTTCGGGTTCAAAAAGGATGTCGGGCATGTTGGAAGGTCATCCATTGGCACAGCTGTTCGGGCGGCAATCATCGATCGGCTGACGACTGAAGTTCACGAATGAAGAAAGCCATGAATGGAGGATTTAGCAGAGGCCCTAACAAAACACGTGGAAACGCACCCCGTCAATTGGAAGTTGAAAGTGCCTTAATAGAAATCCCCCGTCCTCGGCCAGCCGCTCCGGGAAACACCGGGGAAGCGGCCATGGCTCCTCGGGGGCCCTCGGCGCCCCCGTGGATGTCCCTAGGGACGCCATGGTGCAGCCCATGCCCCGGGGCGGAGCCGATTAGACAGACATCATCTTGACAAAGTTGCTCTCCGTGTACTTCGTATGCTGCTTGCAGAGAGAGAGAACCAGCGCTACTGTAACCGCAAGTAGCAAAGGGGCGCTTTTTGGGGCAACACGCGTCTAGAGACAACGCAGAATACGGAGTCTGAACAAAACTGCCTTAACTGCACAGGAGTCGGTATGTTGCGAGAGCTTCTTCACGAATCTGCGAGATAAGATGGTTCTTGTGCGTGCTCTACGCTCCAAGCTTGACTACCCCGGCACCTTGAACACGTCCAGGATCATATTTGCACTGTCCTCTTGCCACCTATCCTGTACCTGTGTCTTTGAAAACCCCCAGGCGCAAAGCAGAGCAGATTCCGAGTAGAGGCTACTCGCCGAAAGCCGGTAAGTTGCCAGAAAACTCCGACATGCTTGGAAGCCCTCCAGGCTGTCTCTCTCAGCCGAAGGTTGCTGGAGTGGCCGGTTCACCCGCGTCACCCTCATCATCCGATCTACATCCGACTCACTCGGCAGCCCGGCTTCCGCATTGTGGGGGGCGGCGGAGCATCGAACCGCCTCACGGACCCGATGCCCTCAGTCTCTGATTAGTCTTTGATTCGTCGCTGATTAGTCTGCAAGTCCGGCGCCCTCCACGACATGCCGATTTTCAAAATTACCTTCGCGGAAGCCACAGTGCGTGTCAACATAGTCATAGTCCCCGGGCTTTGGATCTTATACGTCTGGCAGGTTTTGTCAAGCCAGTCGTGATCATGAGGGGCTTAGAAACCTAGAAACGATGCGCCAGGACCCCTCGGCAGGCAATTGCAATCTACAGATGACGGAACATCAGCTGCATGGCTCTGGTGTAGGCACTCCCTCAATTGCACTGATAAGGGTCCATGCGCAAAGCATGCGAAGCATCTCAGCACTATCTCAACTGAACAACTGGCAGTAGGCAGTGTCACCAGTCCCGCCGCAGCAACCTTCCTGCCCAAGGATGGTGCAATTCCCGATCCTGGTGACATCGCACTTGTCGCAACAATCGCTTCTGCATCCCCCCGAGTGCGCAAATGGCCTTGCAAGAATAAGGGTACCGGGAGTCACATTGGACGCCAGCATCCCGGATGCAGTCAAGGCTGGTGGACTCATCAAAGTCATCAATCTGATGAGGACGATCCGGCATCATCTGAATCATCGGTCGACGGGAGATGCGCAACTGAGTAGGCCTTAGGCTCGTTCTCTGTCTTGCTCTTCCCCAGCTTTGCCTTTGCCCGAGACATGGCACGTTTCCATGTCATAGCCGACTGCTTCCAGTTGTGAGATGCCCTGCTGTATGGCTGACCACCTTCAGACTGGGCGGAATCATCAGATGAGGATCCGACATCATCCGACGGGAGATGCGCAACTGAGTAGGCCTTGGACTCGTGCTCTGTCTTGTTCTTTCCCAGCTTTGCCTTTGCTCGAGACATGGCACGTTTCCATGTCATAGCCGCCTCCTTCCAATCGTGAGATGCCTTGCTGTATGGCTGACCACCTTCAGCGCCGGGGAGACGCTGCAGAAGCTGGGCAGAAACGTCAGGCGAGGACGATCCGGCATCATCTGAATCGTCGGTCGACGGGAGATGCGCGACTGAGTAGGCCTTGGGCTCGTGCTCTGTCTTGCTCTTCCCCAGCTTTGCCTTTGCCCGAGACATGGCACGTTTCCATGTCATAGCCGACTGCTTCCAGTTGTGAGATGCCCTGCTGTATGGCTGACCACCTTCAGGCTGGGCGGAATCATCAGATGAGGACGATCCGACATCATCCGGGAGATGTGCAACTGAGTAGGCCTTGGACTCGTGCTCTGTCTTGTTCTTTCCCAGCTTTGCCTTTGCCCGAGACATGGCACGTTTCCATGTCATAGCCGCCTCCTTCCAATCGTGAGATGCCTTGCTGTATGGCTGACCACCTTCAGCGCCGGGGAGACGCTGCAGAAGCTGGGCATCGTCAGGCTCGCAGCTGTCGTAGGCACCAACGACAGTGAGCGGAAGGAGCAAGACCAACGCAAGAGGCGACATGGCGCGGAGTGGCACAAACACAATGGCAGACTGCATGACCACTGCAACCTGTCGCCTGCCAGGGCCCATGCAGCGGTGAGAAGTCCATGAAAGAGCCGTGTTGCAGCACACGAAACGTACAAAAAATCCCCAGGACGCCAGCTCAGTGAGATGGGCCGTATCAAGGTGCTACATCCTGGTGCTAGCCAGTCACGCAAGCTTGCTTTCACCTTTCTGAAGATGGGGGGGGGGGGGTTGGCATTGAGCCTGAGGTGACAGAACGTAAGGTAAGGGCCTGTAGCCTGGGCTTCAAGCCAATACCAAAGCGTGGGCCTGTGAGGGCCGATGCGGGTCACGAAGTGGCTCACCAACTCAGGCTCGGGGCTCCGAGAGCGGCCTTTGTTGCAGCTTGGGGCTTGTGGCTTAGGGCTTCGACTCCACTCTCGCAGGGTTTAGAGTTTAGGCCGGAATGGAAGTTTACGGCTGCTGCGCCTAGCCCAGCGGTCGTGAAGCGCATCTGGCTCGTCTTGAAGCCGCAAACTGCAGGTTTTCTGCTTCAGAAAGCATGTCGGATTCAAAAGGCTGTGGTTTATAGTATAAGAACATTGAACTAAATATTTCACGAAGGTAAAGAAGGGAGCCCAAGTCACCGGCCAACATGGGCAGGAGCTTTCCAACACCAGCATGAGCCATGAGTCCAGCCTGGCGTCAGTCGCATGCACGGTAGGACCCTGCCCAACTCTGCCGGCAGTGAAGTAGCATCGCTGAGTGCCCTTGCTGCTTAGGGGTTCTGTCGTCGCAGCAAACAACGGGTAAAGGAACTGCGGGAAACCTGTGACAACATAATCGCTGCTCCGCTCCGAGGCAAATGCTTATCTGGCGAGAAGCTAGCACTTTCGGAAGGCCTCAGCAAGCAAACTGGCTCGGGGCTTAGGGCCGTGTAGCAGTGTGGCAGTTTACATGGCGAGCACTGTCAACAGGGAACAGGGGCTCAAACGATTCTACATCCGCCTTCTGAAAGAACAGCGCACTGGGGTCTGGTTGTCTATACTTTCCTTGCACTCGCGATCGCATTCCAACTCTCACTGGTATAAGCGAGAAAGGGTCTTGGTGCGAAGTTCCGGTGAACTGGCATCCACACCGGGACCACGAAGACTGCAAATACGTGGTTGCAAAGAACCTGCCCGCAGCTAGCTGCTTTGAACTGCTCTTTAACACCTCTGGGCGGTGCAAGCGCTGACGATAAGCGAAGACATACTTACCAAGTGCCGCACATCGCGATTGCAACGTATTGCAACTACAACTCCATATCACCCAACCACCTCATCAAACATGATGTCCGAGCTGCGCCCGTGAGCAGTGTGTTGCCAGACCCCATCTATAGGTGGGAGTCAGGAGCAACTGCAGCGCTGCCAGCAAGCCGCGCGACGAGAGTTTAAAGGCACACTCAATTGGCCGGAGATCGGCTCAGGCAGACCTTGGAGAAATCGACATCCTGCCTTGAGATGCGCGCTCTCTCTTCGTGCTGGCCACGCCGGGCTGCATGTTGCGTAGGGTGACGACCGACGCGGAAAATTCAATCCAACCCAGCATGGTCACTTTGCAACCAAGCAGTTGGACTGTGTCATGTCCAACAAGAAAAGACAGGCTTTGTGCTGATCTGGAAGGTTGTTTCGGCGGACTGCACAACTCACATGCGTCCAATCAAAAGACATGAAGTTCTTTAGGGTGCCGCTTGAGGCGGCGAAAACTGCGCTCTCCCTGACCGGGTCGAAGATGCAACTTCTGGGTTGTCCTGCGTTTGTGGAGGAAGCCCTTCGGCCATTGCAGGGCAGCGCCTGGTCAGATAACGAATTCGGCCTATCTTGCGAGCGAAGACCTTGGTCTCTCAATTGTTTAAGCAAGCACTTGGGACTTTCCAAGATACAGTACTTCAACTATCCACTGTTGTCCTAGTAATGGTGAGCCGTGCACAAATACTCTTTCGAGTGGACGGCCACACACAAACGCCCGCAAGAACCAGCATGAACTATGGCGGAATACTGGCAGAACAGTTGTTCACCTGAGCAAGTATTTCCCTCCTCCCTGCGAAGTAGATGATATTAATCGTGCTCCTTCCAAATCCTTGGTGAAGCAACTGACTACTCATAGAAGGAAGTCCACCAGGCACACATGCATTGCATATGTGCATTCTCGTGATGCACTTCGGGAAAACCAAGGCTTTGAGCTGGAAGAAACATAAGTTCAGTGGCGCGTGCTACGTCAGTCGCTATTCGCTGCTGAGGCTGTCCACTAGGTGCGAAGCTTAGTTTCACTTAAAGGTCAGGCAGCGATCAGATACTGAAGACACACTTCACAGAACCTTCCGCCTTGGCATTGGAGTGCACGGGGGCACTTGGCGCATTGGCCCACAGGAGGTTGGCCAACTTCAGCGCCGCCTTGGGCTTCGGGCTGCTGTGGAAGACAAGCGCTGCTCGCAGCAGTTGGGTCAGCCGCGAGTCAGAAAGCGTGCTATACCATCTGGCGACTTCATACCAGGACTCAGCAGGCAGCATCGGACGGGCCTTCGACTCTGCGACGATCTCGTGGAGTGCTTGAAGGAACCGTCCCCAGGTCTCGTCGGGTTTGCGGGACCAGTGAGCACGGCTCCTCGACAGCTCACAAAGTGCCGCAATCAGGAGCATCGCCTGCTTGGAGTTCAGCTCCAAAGCCTCTGCCGTGGGTCGGAGCTTGTCATCCACCAATCTAGCCGATGGAGTGCGGCTCGGCCCTGAGGTCCAGCTCTTCTTGGTCTGAGGCTCCACCGCGCCAGGACTGCCTTTCTCGAGGTCACCAACGCTTGGGGACGGCTCCTCTGGCTTCTCCAACATCTCCAACTGTCGCACCAACCGTGGAGCTGCCAGTGCCAGAAGGGATGCGGCAGCGATACTCAACAACGAGGCAGCCAACGCCATCACGGGTGGGAGGAGGCCAGCGCTGGTCGCGGACACACCAGGCCCCGTGGAGTGGGCCAAAGCCGTGGCAGCACGGCCCACACCAGCGAGCATCAGGCCCAGGGAGAGCAAGTACAGGTACAAGAGTAGCTGGCGTCGAGCGCTGCTCCTGCTACGTGCCCCCACGCTTCCCAGGACCACGCGTGCAGCAATGGCCAAACAGGTCAGGCAAAGGGCAAGATCAAGCATGGCTCCGCAGAGAGTTTCTGCTGATGCCACGTCCATGACCATGTTCAGAGACGCACAGGGACCAAGCTGCCCCTCACCGCGTCTTCACTGCCTGCAGCCAAAACTTGAGCCAAACGACTCTCGCGATCGCAAAACATGCTGGGCGTTCAGCAACCCCAGGTACATCCGCATGAGACTTCGATGAAGCTGGCAGCCACTTTTGACCACCTGTCCAATGCCAAGCATCCAGCCGTCGGTACAATGAGGCCAAAGAGCCACACCTGCAAGCAGCGGCAGGGCGAATTTGAAGCCTCTTGCTACTGGCAGCTCTCGGGTCTTTGGAGCATCATCTTCAAAGATGCGCTGTCACAAGCCACATCTTTGGTGCTAGCTGCTGAGAGTGCTTTTTTCCGCTGGCTCAGCATGGCTCGGCAGGAGAACTTTCATGTCAACAGGACTGCCAGACTTTGGTGGTCGCCAGCGCGGCGTAGCTTCGGGTGCTGAGAGTGAAGTCGCCTAAGGCAGATGCAACAATGTAAGTCTCACTGTAACTCACTGACTCACTGAGATCCAATGACGGGTTGAAAATGCAATTCAGTGCTTGCCCTCCGGCATTGCGCACTTCACTCACGGTTCAGGGTCCTCCTGACCCTTCACCAGAACACTCAACAGCCAGGAGGCTGGAGATCAAAAATCTACGTGTGCATGGGGAGCACTAAGCATGAAGCCGCACTTGAGGCAGCCAGACCGCACGACGCGCAGATTAAAAGACGAATTTGAGGACTTCTCGGAAGCAGGGTCCCCCAGACCCATCCAGGAGCACGCTTCCTGGGGTGGGGAGGGCCTGAAGCTGAGAAGTGACCAATTAAATGGCAAAACCTGCAGTAGGCAGTTGATGCTGTTGCTCCGCATTCTCGCGTGGAAGCGCTTGGAGGTGCGTGCAACTCTGCGCCCTAGTCCCCTAGGCATCAGGGCACAGGAAGGTGATCTCGTAGGTGGTGCCATGCGGGCAGTTGTGGTTTCCATTGCCTGGCAGTGGGAATGTGGAGCAGTTTCAAGGGATTGAAATCAGGGATTGTACTGATGTCAGAACAATCGTACAATCATAACTGGCTCTCAGCTTCACCAAGGAGCTATCGTCCAGGTCATAGGCATAGGTCTTGGGGCAAAGCCGGTGGACCAGGTGGATGTACTCGCCTCATCGAAGGATATTGCGATGCTCATGTAAGAGCCGCGGTTAGCCGCTGCCGCAGCTGATCGTCAAGTCTGTACCACTAGCACCCGACAGGAACCTTTCGGAGCTCATGGCACGCCTCGAACCGAGCCATGACTGCAAGCCCTGTACTGCTGTAGACGCATGTAGACGCGACAGGCACTGTCCACTACGCCCGCTCAGAATGCACGCAGAAACGCAAACTTATTTCAAGGCACCGGTCCCGTGCCCAGGACGGCCCCGTGCATGGCAGCCCATCAGCTTTCCGTTGTAAAACTCCTTCGGGCAGTTTCGGGCAGTTTCGGGCAGTTTGGGGCTCTTTGCGGCTTGGGCCTCTTGCATAGAGCTCCAGGCGTCTGCGAGAAGCACAGCCACACTTTCACTGCCACTACCTGCTCGCAAGACACAGCCGTCCTTGTTTGCAGCAGGGCAGGCATTCAGCGTCATGTCTGCGCAGTCCAAAGAAGTGCCAAGACCTTTGTTTTCTCTTGTTTGCAGGGCTTTTTTGTCAGGCACCTTACATCGAGAACTGATACCTCCCCAGACTGTCCCAAACCCGACGGAGCAGAACTCCCAGCCCAACTCGACCCTGAACCATTCCACCCCAGTCGGCGCCTGGAACAGAGCAGCCGCGAAGCTTCAACCTGGGCTGAGAGCGAACTCCGAGAGATGTGGCCCCAAATGGCCCCAGTAGCCGGGCCCCAAGCTTCGAAACACTATGCGCCAAGCAGCCGGAATGGCAAAGTGTATCCGTCCACCATGCTCATGTCCTTTGTGATCTCCACATGCTCTACGGCTACTGTAAGATTTAATGAGTGATACAATGTTGCCTTTGCAGGAGATCAGCTTTGGGGAATGGAGACGCAGGACGGGAGAGGACTGAGAGGAGAGAGGAAGGGCGAAGAGAGTCTCAGAGAGAACAGGAGACCCAAGCCAAAGCTTCAGCCACCGGGCTTAGGATTCGAGACCTGTCGGGCTAGCACAAAAAAATGAGGCCGGAGGAGGGCTGGCTGCAGCCCTGTGGCGAAGTAGTCCGCGCGGCCTCCGAAAGTCGCCTTTCAGCTGGAATCTGGAGAGTTGTGTTTCAAGGAATTCACGACTTTGTGAGTTTTGCGGAGGCTGCACCTGAAGGACTCCAAGACGTGTGAAAGTGTGGGCCTGCAAGTGGGGCTGTAAACCCTCAACTCTCGAGCTCGAAGACTCAATCTCTCTCTCTCTCTCTCTGCCGTGCCATCCGCTAGGGTCTTGCTCGAAGACTCGATGGGCTCAGTTAATTTAATTTTTTTGATTACACTTGGCCGTCTCTTGGCCGAACAAGCTGCAACAGCACATGGGTCCACGGGGCCAACGAGGCCAACTGCAACGCAGGCCTCAAACTTTGTGTCGACGTGCGGCTGACAGCGCCAGTTTCCGTCGGTCCCGCATGGCTGACCCTTGCCCCCACTCCTGGGCGTGAGGGCTGCTTGCGGAAGAGGGGCGCAGCTACGGGAAGTGCCCATCTTCAGGTCGTCGTCGAAAAATGACTCGCAGAGGGTAGGGTCCGCATGAACTATTCCGACTCGGGGCTGTGAAGAACAAAGGTGATGTAACCATTGACAGATACCCCCGCCCCCCACTGCTAACGCCACAAACCATGCTTCGCCCACGCCATCCCAGGTTCTGACCAATGTAGCAGCCGTTGCCGTCAGAATTGCACCTATCAGGGAAGGCTCTTGAACACGCGCCTCCCTTGATTGGACATGAATTGCTCCCCCCGCTGGAGATGAAATTACTCCGAGATTCACCCGAATGAAAAGGATCTTGAACCAAGCAGCATAGTTCTAGATTTTAGCTTGCCGAACGCCTCATCTTTGGCCACAGCCGGAAGCCCCGAAGCCCGGCATAGGCCGGAAAGTCATGCGAGGCACCTTCCGACTTGGGCGCATTTGGGTCTGGATGCAGTCCCTTTGCACTGGGCATGGGGGTTCCCCACTCCCCCCGAAGGCCGTCTCGAACAAGAGCTCATACAGAGCAGACAGAGCATACAGGGGCTGCCTCCATCAATCTTCACATTCTGCCGGTAGTTGTAATTGCAGCAGTGAGCGATCCAAATGGGCTCCCGGTAGCCTTGGCTGTGCCACGGTGTTACAGCAATGGGGCCTTTGCCCAGCGATATTCGGGCTGCAAGGCCGTGTCGATTCACTTGCAGAGCCAGCAATAACCATACAAGTGTAGCTGCAAACCATAGCTGCACGTGTCAACTCCGATACGACGATACGATGATGAAGGGTGTTGGCACATCGGCAACGCGTCTACATGGGCCTACATACGTTTCCGAATGCCAACACAAGGCACCGCGTGAATCTGCATGAGGTGCTGGCAATCCCTACTTAGACTTGTTGAAGTTGATTGTCGGGTTCCGGCAGAAGCGGGGCACTCAGGTGGACAAGGACGTCGAACAAGCATTCATCAGATCGTCAGGCATAACATTCCTCAAGCATGCTATCAGCCATGAGGCACACCTTTTTGCCGATTTCTGGGCCATTCTGCCAGGCTGCACTTGTTGATCACGCGGATGATCGAGGAAGACCTTGCCGACCGATCGTGACTGCTCTCGCCCTCCACCTCCTGCGCACCCATGCCAGGTGTTGTTTGAGTATGGGACCTTCAGGACCTTCTGCAACTCTGCAAGCTTTCGAATCAACCAAACCGAAGGCTACAGCAAGAAACGGACAGAAGTGCAAAACGATCGACACCATGGTTTCACAGTCTATGGCTTCAGCGCCTTTCGTGACAGCTTCACAGCAGTTCCTTCGATCTGTTCTTCAGCATCGCGGCCAAGTACTTGTTATTCCGCTTCAGGGCGTCGACCGCGGTCTCGTTGGACACCTGAGCCTCAACCCACGAGTTACGAGTTCCGACTTCTTGGGGCTTTGGGGTTTCGACCGCTTTCGCCCCCTCAGAGTTGGTGCCTCCTTGGTACATCTGGGACTTCCGGTGTAAGTTACTCCAAAGTTGCACACTGGCAGTCAAGAATCCGTCGCCTCTGCAAGCAGCCCACGCGCTGCGGCTGCGAGCAGGAGGCATGGAAGGAGGCAAGGCATGGCTCCGCAAGAACCGAGATCCCCCGCGAAGCGCTTACGAGTCTTACGCGCAACTTCCGAGCAACTGCCGTCACGAGCGCCAAAGCTTCCGAGCCACAACGGGCAAAGCAAACACATGGCAATGCGCAGGAGCACCAAAAAATTAATATGACATACACATACAAGCACACACAGGCCCGGACAAAGAAGTTCGAAGCACCAATCTTGAGGCCGAACCCCAAAAACACTCTCAATCTCAGAAAAGAACACACACATCTCACCTCGATGTCTCCTTTCCAAACTCCTAAGAGCTATAACTCCCTGTAGACAATCAACCCCATAGGGACGGGCACCCGGCACTAGCAGCCCTAAAACCCTTCCGAGCCTTTCGCTACGACTTCAAAGGGAACAACAAACATCCATAATCACAGCAACCATGATCACATTCATGTCTATATTGATCAAATCAGAATCATCTGCTTTACTTTGGGAATGGATGGGGCAAGGGTCAAGGGCACGCAAGCTTTCTTCAGCCCGACTTCGGCGGAGGTGTTCCACATTTAATTGTGCAGTGTTCCTCTTTTTTGCCCACACAGCCTCTGGACCATTCCTGCGACGACTACCATTCTGAATCAAATCGGATCCCACCGGGCATGAAGCAGAACACGGCTCATTTTGGCATGCAACTACGCGGTTGGCAAGGTGCAACGTGGGGGGGGGGGGGGGGGGGGGGGGCGCGGAGGGGCCTGCTCCATTCAGACCTCGATGTACACGATATAGCCCATCAGCCACAAGCAACCATAATTCTGTAACAATTCTGAAGTTGCTAATTTAGCGTGAAGAACCATCGTGAAGAACAGCCCCGGCTGCCAGCGGAAGTCGGAGGAATGAAGGCATCTGCCTTGCAGTTGCATCGAGAAATTTCGCGCTTAGGACGCCCTGGACGTTTGGGGAAGCGCTGCAAGGAATTTAGATGCAGCTGAAAACCCTCGTGAGCCCCATAAACTCGGCCTGCTTCGAGCTCCAAGTCAGGGCAAAGTCAGACACCCGGAGCCTGCAAGGACTCAGCAGGTCGAGCATTCCCCCGAAAACTCAGAGAGCCCATGAGAGGCCTATCTGTTAACCCCCCGAAATCTCCTGGTGCATCACGGGGGGCACAGCACCAAGCTGGGCCATCTTGGCCCAGAGGCGCATCTCGCCTGACGGAATTTGCCCCAAAACAAAGCTCCATTGAGATCACTCTCCCTCTCGGCTGTTGCTGCGCAGGCTGTCTGCCGGACTCTTTGTGCCAGAGCACCCGGGGCACCCGTATGATGGCACCACAGAACACACAAGGTCCAAATCATGTCGGCAGCCTTGGAAAGCGTTCATGGCACTGGCTGCCAAGTCCTTCGGGGCTCTGCGCAAGCTTTGGGGTCCTGGCCCCTCAAAAAATCTTCGCATGTTTTTCCTTTGGAATCTAGGCCCCAAGCCCCACACACACTCACACTGAGGCATGGAAGGGAGTTTCTTATGACCACGTGGGTCATGAGCTGCCCTGGCCGGTGCCCAAGCCCTAAGGCCACTGAAAACGGAGCAAGAAAAAGGTTTGTTCATCAAGCAATCTGAATCAAATCTGACAGCCATGGCTGTCTCAAAGGCGGCCCCGGAATTCGGCTACACTCCAAAAATCGGCTAGAGCGCAAGTCTGTCATCACGTATCCACGGTGGGAACTGGCTGATGACGGACGATGTTGAGCTTGCACTGCCACCACCAAGGCAAGAGCAAGAGCAAGTCTTGAGCAAGGCCAAGAAAGGGGACGCCGAGAGGGAAAGAAAGAGTGAGTGTGGGAACGAGAGAAAGAGAAAGGCAATTCAACATATAGATTGGCACGGCATCTGTAGCATTTACACCTTAACACCCTGATCCAAACACTTACGCACCATCTGAGCGTTTAAGCCGATTCCAAGTACAGTACAAATCTGACCCGAACAACCCAAAAAGGCATGGCGGGAGTCCTCCTTGATGGTGGCACGGGCCTCTTCAATGCGAGCCTCCAGAGCTGGGACCTCCTGCGCTGCATCTTCAGGGTCTCGCATCTCAAAGCAATGCGTGGAGCGCGGGAGACAGAGAGGAAGCCCCATCTCCTGACAGGCGGCCTCCACCTTTCGCATTGCCTGAACAGCTGATGCTTCGACACTGTCGGCTCTGTCAACTCCATTCGGGACTTGGCCTTCTGAATCGCAAGAGGGGGGCCCAATTCTTCGAAGTGAAGACGTGCGAAGTAATGCGAAGTGATACAGTCTTGCCACATGGTCCATACTAAACCAAGTCTGTGTGTCATTCGTCTGTTTATTTTGGACATCTGCATCATGCAAGGCCGCCCACCTCGCTAAGCGTCACCAGCCGCTGCTCACGCGCGGCCTCGCGCTCCTGGCACGACACCCTTCGCCGGGACTCACTGACTCTCACCACCTGCTCACCTTCTTCACCTCCTCCCCCTCCTCGTCCCTCCGCATCCCGCGGCATCCCTTCTCATACCCTCCTCGTACCCTCCTCCTCCCTCCTCCTGTTGCCCGACGTCAATCGCAAGCACGTCACCTGGAAGGCGCTGCGCCAGCTCTCCGCGGCCAAGAGGCGGCCGTTGTAGCCTGGCAACATGATCTGGAGCTTGCATGGATTTCCTTGCATTGAGCTTTGCTTGCAGGCTTTCAGGTACTCAAGCACTCAAGTCCTTTCTCGTAACAAGCCGGGGCTGCTCTCGAGCTGCCCCACCAGTCTCCCTTCCGACGTGGCAGAAGCCAACCGCTGGTGCTCCTGTGCTGAATACCAGAACAGACCCGCAGGAAACACCTGGAACTGTGGGACTCGCCGGTCATAGGATAGCATTCATAGCATGGCCCCCAATACTTCTAAGATCACCATGTTCCCGTACGCCTGCGCTTCGTCCACGCGTTCGGCCACCTCTTGGGCCAACTTCTGGAGGCCTCCGGAAGTCGGGCGCATTACTGAGCGACTGCCAAAACCGGGTGCCGGTGCTAACGGACGCAACATGAGGGGTGTCGCTTCTCAAGTGTGATCCTGGCTTTACAGGGCTTTAGCATCAATTATCCACGTTTGATGTCTGCAGGTATCGCTTTGGGCAACTTCAAGATAATTCAAGGCTAAAGCCCACCCACCGGTTCATTAACTTAAGGGTGTCGCTTTTCAGGTGTTCCCATCGCTTTACAGGGTTTTGGGCATTCGTGTCCACTCCTTGCTTACTTGAATGGCTGGAGGCTTTGGCGCTGGCTCAGATGGGGTGCAAGGCTGTGTGTAAAGTGTGCCGCTCACCTTAGAGGGCAGTTTCGGGCTCAAAAGGTTGACTTAAGTTGCGGTTTGCCCGGGAATTTGGCCCATTGAAGTCCTTTGGGGCCATTCCAGACAACGTAGTCACAATACTCACGCCCTCGCGCTGTGCTGGGTGGTCAGGTGTTCAGCGTTGCGTGATACGTGGGCAGAAACGAACATGAATCTATCAGAAAGCTCTAGACTCCTCTTGTCGAGCACGAGGGATCTAAGGGCGCAAGCCCAAAACCCCAAAACCCCAAAACACAACGCATCCAAGCGCAGCAACGCAATCAAACATTCGCGAATTTTTAAATTAAGTAGACTTCCAGAATGCAGCAGAAGGATTGTGCCTCGATCCAGCAGCTCGTTGGACCGTTCCTCTAGACTGCGGCGTTGCGCCTCCTCGGTCTCCTCGAGAGGCGAGGCTTGTGTGAAACGGACGGCGGGTCAGAGAGTTTTTACGTTTCTTGCAGACGGTACATGGATACATGGGCAGCCTATGCAGAGCCACGGGGAACAAGGCACTGCATGGCCAGGGTGCCACGTGTGCCCGCACACACACACACACACCTCGCGCGTGAACAGTCGAAGGAAAGTTGCTAGTTGTTGAGAAGCACAATGCCAGCAAGGTCGGTTGTCACGAAAGGCAGGCGAAAAGAGCTTGGGATGAAGATGGAGCACAACACAAAGCCCAGGCACAGTCTGAGCGCCTAAAGCGTGGGCGACAAATGAATGCCTAAAGACAAGCTGAAGACCTGTTTCGTGGTCCCCAGTGGCCTGGACTTGCTGCAGCTGTGCCAGAAGCTCCTCCTTGGCAAACGGCAAACGATCTAGCATGCGGTAGCAGCCAGAACAACATCAAAGACCTCCCATGCTTCTGCTTGGGCTTCGTGAAGTTTGGACCACTTTGGGGTGTGCTGTACCGGGCTCAAAGCTGCACAGCGTACGAGTACCAACATGGAGCACAAAATGCCAGCCGCTAGGCTCGAGAACAAGCTTTTTGGGCACAAAGCTACAGCATTTACCGCTCGTTCCCACAGTCTGAGCCTTCACAGTCGAGGCAGCGTCGCAAGCCTGAGCCAAGCACCATTCTGCAAACCGCCAAAAATCCAAATCTCTAGGAAGGAAGTAACACTAAAGTGCATGTAGCGTTCTATACTATCGCGCCTGCTTTTTCAGCTCTGGGCCCAGGTCCTGGCCACCGCAAAGTGGGTCCGCTACACTATGGTTGTTGCGCCCGCTCCTGCATGCGCTGCATGACCCGCTGCGTTTGCTCTCCGGCTTGTTGCGACACCTCCCTCGACCTGGCGCTGCCAATATTTCAGCATTGGTTATTTGATTCGATGCGACACAGAGGGACTGGGCCATGAGAGCAGGACACAGCACTTAAGGAGCTCCCCTGGGAAGTTATGACCTCCTCCGCTGCATGGGTCCATGGGCGCCTGCTCATGGCCTCCTGGTGCTGGAGCTCCAACTTCTGGCCCAGGCGCTGGAGCTCCGAGCTAGTGCCCAGGCTCCGGGCCTCTCACGGAGCTGCTTCAGACTTCTTGGGGAGGTGTTGGTCTGAGAGCCAGAGTCTATGAGTAGCGAACTGGGCTTTAGAGGCCGGATCGTCTGAGAGAGAGGCGCTGTTTGGAAGGCACATGGCGTGACATGGTTTTGTTGAGCTTTCGGGGAGTCCGGTTGCCGGAGCGAATGGCCCGAAGTCTTGCTGAAGTCTGCACGTCTGGCCTCGATCTCCGCCACACGCCGACTTTCATTTTCCATGGATCTCCGAACATCCTGCAACGATGCTCTAAACCTTCTGGGGGAGCTCCTCGCACGGAGTAGCTTCGGCTTTTTGCGGTCTTAGACTGCGGTCTTGAAACGAGAAGGCCCTCGCCCACACCATCCCAACCCTTCGCGTCCTCGGCACTCGAATCGATCTGCACAAGGCCAGGGGAAAGAAGGCCAGAGTCTTGCTAGGCTCGTTTCGGTGAGGATGTGAAAATCTTTTGGACGACACACTTGCCCCTGACCCCAACACGTGCAGCTTCGATCAGGCGCCCCTCACAACTCCGGAACTTGAGCAACGAACCTGCAGACGACACTTGTTTAGCTGAACCTCAACTGCTGGCCTCAATTGAGCCGGTATGAACTCGTTGAAGCAGACATCCCTAAACTGCCCTATGAATCCTGCACATCCTGCCTTCGCATAAAACCCCAAGCCATCTCCACACCAAGGAACCAGCTTCCGGTTGCCGTCCACGGCCCTTTCCAGCCGTGTCTGCTCACCCGCGAGGCGGCCAAGCTCCTTCTGGACGGAATCCAGACCTTATGTAAGGAAGCCTTCCCAGGCGTTCAGGAGTTTGGCTCAGTTTCACAACCCCAATTCTGCACGGTTTCGACGCTATGCCATGCTGCAAGGTTTGGAGCTTCAGCCAGGAGGCCCTGCTGGTGCAGCTGCTCCTTGCTTTGGCCTGAGGTCTGCTACAAAACCTACACGGTTGGATGTTTGGCTGCGCCTCGGACTACGTGGGCCAACAGGCTGTTGACGCTTGAGGTGCCCCCTTTCATGAGGCTTTTGCAACTCTGAAAGTGAGATCGTCATTTGTTGGTCCCTTCTTTATCCAAGAGGCGATCTGCTGTCTCCGACTGGAGGGAAACCTGCTTGAAGCAAATGCTGACAACGTCAAGGGTCCCACATTGAACTTCGAATCGCACTGATAACACAACTGCAGAGAACACGCGGATAAATGCGGAGAACATATGAGAACATGGAATCGAAGCCCCAAATGGCTATCCTACGGGTGTACGAGGCGCCCGCCTCAAGCCGGCGGAGCCCAACAGATGCCTTAGGTGGTGGTAGTCTTGTCGGCATAAATGGGGCCACAAAGGAGCAGTTGGGGAGGCAATGGCATGTCCCATGCCCGTTCTGACAGCGCGCCTCATCCAGCCGGTCCCAGAAGCGCTGCTTCAGCTGATTCAGGCCCTGCTCCTTTCGTAAGACATGAGACTTCCCTTCATTGACTACAACGCCGCTGCTTAGTCATCACCTGAATTGCTCCTGACAGCTCCAGAAAGTTCATCAAATCTACGGGGCGATGCATGCTCCAATATTACAGCATCGTACCACAAGCCCAATTGTCTACTACCAGCATTCGAGCGCCCAACAGCCTACACCCCAGCAGGAGCCTGGCGCTCTGCCTCCTCCTGCAGCTGCTGCCGCAGATGAGCCTTTGGAAATATCTGGCGAACATGCGGGCATGTTAGGATTCAGCAAGCTTGGTGAGAAAGGGTCCAGGATGTGGAGGCACCAAGCTTTTCGTGAACCGAGAGGCTCTGAGTCGTTCCAGCGCAGCGTCGCGGAGCACTTCCGCCTCACCTTGGCAAATCGTGGGCTTCGACTGACACACACACACACACACCCACCCACCCAGGCACAAGGCGAGGATCTATGGTACGACCAGACTAGGATGCTTCGCATTCAAAGCGGAAGGGACGCCAAGACTGTCAAGACAAGATCTTCAAGGCAAGAAAAAATGTCTCAGACGGTGTGTGTGTGTGTCTCTCTCTCTGAGGA